TATATCATTTCTACAAAATATCCTAAATAGAAATGGATGGATCTAATCATGTTCGACGTGAGATTTAATTTTTTTTTTTGGTTTAAATTTTTTCTTTCCATAAATTGTTATGCATTCTCCATTGTTTTGTGTGTGTGTGTGTTTGGCTCATTCGATATAATTTCCAATAATAACAACCACAGGACGTAAATTGAGTCGGTATTGCTGGGAAAATTCTTTCCGCATCAGTTCTCATTTCTTATTTTTTTTTGGATGATATTTTGTTGTTTAACAATGGACAGTAGTAAATAACGATTTGCAATTGCTTATTTTCTTCTTCTCTTTCTCTCTTTCTGGGGGGGACGTTTTGAAAACGAGCTTTTTCTTAGCTTTACCTATATGTCTACGGGCGGCTAATCACTTAATCTCATGCCACAAACGGTTTTTTTTACCTTGTTTGTTTTACTAACATTTGCCTCAACATCAAACACTCCGTCGAATTGTTTGGCATTTTCGTTCAATTCGAACAATCCAATAAATTATGAATCATTTCAATCTTTTTTTTCATTGCACATGTTTAATATGAATGAACTTTCACATTTGCAATGTGAATGAACGAAAATGATTCATTCAATCCTATATGGCTTCATAGAATTTTATGTGACAGTCAATTTTCACAAGTGCTTATCGAACCAAAAGAAAAAAAAAACGTTTTTGTGTTGAAAACAATTACAGTATTTGTTGTGCCTTACTTTGCCCTTCACTATGACTCAACCCTAATCTACATAGAATAAAGATAGACTTAACAATTCAGAATGGCAATTCATGGGTTTGATACTTTACACGGTAACGCATTTTTTCGTATAAAAATGCTTTTTTTCTCTTTATTTTGTGATGACATTCATGCATTTTTCATTCAATTACACACTGCAAGGTGGTAGAGAATGCCGTTGTTATGGGATTCAAAACGTTGTTATGGGATAGCATTTCAACGTACATAGTTGTCATAGATCATTGTGTTAATGTTCGTTTGCCTTCAGGAAGATCGGACTTTTTCTTTGATTCTTTGGAAAAATTCATCTTTACTTACGATCTTGAGGGAAAAACACAAATTTATCCTAAGACATTTTACCATTCAAAATTATTTTCCTTTCAAAGATCAAATTTTCTCTAGAAAATAATTCGGAAAGTTCTTTTTCTCGTTTTTCCTTTCACAAATGCCACAAATAACTTTTTCATGAACTGTGAACTAGGCTCGAAAGAATGAAAGAAAGAATTCAAGTGGATCGAAGTTGATTTTTTCTTCAAGAGGATCGACGTTGACTTTATCTTCACATTTGGAAATCGATGAATTTAATCATTTTTGGAAAATTATTAACCAATGGTTAGCTTCCAGACTTGGTCTGGGCGAGAAATTACTTTACTACTCTGCACTTTCTAATTGGCGGTTAAAAAATGAGCTTTAAAGTCAAAATTCAAATTGACTTACAGTGTGCCATTCTAAATATCTTGCTGTGTGTAATTGAATTGAGATCGATTGCATCTTTCGTAGCATAAAAGCAGAATACTCTCGAGGTATGAATGGGAGGACCAAAAGAGAACTGGCTTGAAAGATTTAATTTTGGAAAAAGATGGATGGAGGCTTCATCATAAAGCATACTTGAAAGAGGATCAGAACATAGAGTCACCCATGAATCCTTATTCTAATCAGAATTCCGTTTATAAGCGAAAAAAAACTTGTAAGCCTGAAACTAAAAAGCTACAAGAAGGTGGCGCTGAAGAAAACACCAAACATTTCCTTTTCGATGAATTTTTGTTGAAGAAAATTAGAAAAAAACCGCATTCAAAATCAACTTTACCAAATACTGATTTAAGGCCAAAAGTTTCTTCTTTCATCATTCCTTCCTGGGTATCAACTTGATACTATCAAGCACGAATTTAATCAACTCAAAAAGTTGTACGTTCACCTTAAAAAGAAAAACGTTGCAAAAAGGTAAAGTAATTGTTAAAAATTGGTAACTTCCATTTTCTACCTTTGTTATTTCAATTTTATCTTAGCATCATTGGTAATGTATCAAGTAATAAATTAGCCGGTTCATAGAAAATTGTTCTTACGGTAACTAAAAATGTGCATAAATTTGTGTATGATTAAAAAAGATCATGAGTCTGCTTGTCTACGAAGTGAAAGTCACCCTATTTCATTTTTATTTTCTAAATACGTTCAATATTTATGAAAACCATTGGAACTTTTCGCCATAAAGCCATTTGAACTGATTATTAAGTCTATTGAAGGGAAAGAAAAATCGAAGCGAAAAAACAGTAAGTGCGTCAACGATTGTGATAATTGTAGCGAGATGACGAAGGATAGTGTAAATATCATCATTGCATTTGCAAACGATGAGTTCATCGTATATGTCCTAACATTAATTTCCCACCAAGGAAACGACTACATTAAACATAACATCATTTATCCACCCACCGAACATTTTCTTTTTCATCATGACTCATAGTTGTATGGTGCGCGAGCATGTTTCTTCATTGAGAGAATGAAAATTGATTGGATTTGAAATGCATCTTATTATTCGAGTATATTTTTGTTTGTTTCATTCTTCTTCAGCCACTACATGGAACATGTAGAGTCTAAAATTTATGTTATGCAACAGTTTCAAAGGCATATCTTCGGCAGAAAGATGTGCAAAAATAGATAATTAAATGCTAAAAATAGTAGTTATATGTTTAATTTCAAGGAGGGGCTGGAAAGGACCTAATGAAAACAATACAATGTAAAAAATGCAACCGAAAAGGGAAAGAAAACCAATCAAAAATAAAAAAAAAACAAAGCAATTTCAAAAAAAATGGAATGTTGTTTATAATACAAATTGTCAATGTACAATGTCAAATCAAAAAGGCGAACATAAATTGCTCCCAAAGGGACGAACAGAAGAGAAGAAAATCTCCAAAATGATACATTTATATAAAAAAAATAAGGCAAGAGGCGTGCTTTTTTCGCCGCAATTTTTTCTCTCTCTCTCTCTCACTCTCACTCTCACTCTCTCTCTGTGTATGTGTGTGTTCTTATTCTAAAGGCCAAAAAAAAATCTAGAACATAAAAGATTATCAATTCTGATTTATCCCTCTTATTTCCAATTTCATAAAATATTCCTTCTTTTTCATCATTTTTTTTTTTCATTCTTTCTTTCGTCTCATTTTAATTTCTAAAAAAAATTCAGTTTTGCATTACTTTTTCCTAAACACACACATATATTTTCTTCTTGTTTACTTTATTGCTATCGATCAAAATGAATTAAATAATTTTGAATTTCTTCTTCATTCAATCTTCTCCTTCGTTCAATTCGTTCTCGTGTGTGTTTCATTTTTTTTTCAGTTTCGTCTTTTCTTTCTTCTCATATTTGGACAGTAGTAGTTTTACCAGTAAATTAGAATTTACTGCTCAGTAATCTATATATACAAACATGCATAATTTATTAACACCTAATAAATGTAACAAATCATCTAAAAAAAAATCGTATTCCATATTTGTTGCTCTTTTTGTTTTAGCGAAAAAAAGAAATGAAATATTGATTTTTTTAAAAATCCAACTAAATTCATGGAACCGAAGAAAAAAAAATTAACTAAAACTCCCTAAATTGGTACAATAAAAAAAAAGAAGATTTCTGCAGATCGATCGATGATATGGTGTGCATACGACGATCGTCTGTAACAGCACATTTTGTCTTTAAAACGTTTGTAAGCACTAGTTTTTTTTTTCTATCATTAGTACCATCCTGCACCGATACAATGAGTGATTTTTGCTTGCATTTCTTCATACATGGTGAAATTCGCACAGTTTCAGTTTGCATTTGGATTGACAATCAGTCAATCTGTCAGTATTAATGAATTTTTTGAGTTTAGTAACATCAATAAAATTGACACCCATAGAATGAAAGATAACTTATGAGTTCTTTATCCATAACTGAAACGGAAAAAAAACTTAGAGCAAAGAAGAGACAAATAAAGTTGCGATCAAAAGTGATACAACTCAGCATTGAGCAGAAAAGATGTTTTTTGCATTTTTCGCGCTACTGGAAAGAGATAGCGACTATGTGTCTTCGGTTTATTTGTAGCTCTTTTTGTTTTCTACAGTAGCGAGAAAAATGCAAAAAACAACGTCTTTTCCGCTCAATGCTAAGTTGTATCACTTTTGCTTGCAACTTTATTTGTCTCTTCTTTGCTCTAAGTTTTTCTCCGTCTCAGTTATAGATAAAGAGCCCATAAGTACTTCTTTTGTTTTGTTTTGGGTGTCATTTTTTTCTCTCATTTTTTCAGTGATTTTCGTCATTTGAAGGATTTTTTTGATTTTCCAAAATTTTTGAATGAAATTGAATTTTTGAAGACAAACATTTCAAATGAAATCAAATATTTTCAAAAATGTCATACTTTTCATTTGCACTGTGCGAATTTCTCATAATTTTCTTAAACCGAAAAAAGTCGAAATAATTTCGAAATAAGTCGAAATAAATCGTCAATATTTTGTTTTTAAAACTAACAAAACTGAACTGAATTTTCATTTTGTGTTGCACGGAAAGAGATATTTTTAAAAAAAAGTTGATATAAATTACCCTAATTAAACTAAAATCACACTTTGACACCGAAAGCGTTAAAATTCTACTTTCACATAATAATCTTAAATGTGTACAGTTTGTTATTTTGTTATGTCAGTATTTTTTTTATCTATCAGCATTTTGTCCACAGCAAGCGCATTGTCATCAACATAAAGTGTAGTGATTATGTCTAGATGTTAATAGTAAAAAAAAGGTAAATTGGGCTCGGAATTAATAAACCAACAAAAAGACAAATTGGTGTGACAAAAAGTGGATACAATCAGACGAATTTGGTTGGAATTTCGAGAAATGGTGTGTCATTTATCTTAAACGTAATTTTTGTTGCAAAATGCTCTAGTAAAATATATGTGTTTTTTTTATCAATAGACAGAGACCAAACAGAAAAAAAAATCAGACAGATCGGCACCAAAATCAATAGAACGATATGCTTTAATTTATTACTTTTAGGTTTCTACTTTTTTCTTGCTTTTTTGCCATTTTTTCATTATTATTTTTTCCTTCTCAATTTTCAGCATTTTTCTCCCTTTTTGCACTACACCACACGCATGTAGCGATACTTAATTCCCTTACTCATGCTTCTCTAATAGTTAGTATTGCATATAATTTGTTTGTGTTGAATTTACGTTTTGTTGTTGTTCACTTTTGTGCTCATCATACGCCCAATTACATATCTCTTACTTGCATTTTAACACTTTACAACATTTAGGTTTTTTTCTCTTTCTCTTTCACCACTTCAGTTTCATTGGTGCAGATGAATTAGTTTGTGTTCATTTGTATGTATGTGTTTTTGTGTGTGTGTGGTTTTTCTCTTTTAATTTCTAGTATTTCCATTTGCGATTCGTCAGCTTTGGAGACGAAATGTTCCCACTTTGCATTGATTTCGATTTGATCATTGGACGACGACTGATTTTTCGACCGGACGGCGGACGATCAGCGGTTGATGGATGCGTTAGACCGGTATCAATGTCATGGGAACATTTCCGATACAATCACTTGCGCGGCGTCCCAACTGTGTTCAACGAATCACCTCGGCTCTTTGAACGTGTCAACGAATTTTCACGCTCTGAAATGAAGACAGATTTGATTTAGTGATGGGACAAAATACAAAATTTTCACACATTTTCTTTCGATTGCAAAGCATTACCTTTGGCGAGTTTTTCCGCTTTATAGGCTCGCATGGCTTTGCCACGTTTGTCTTGAATCAGTTTATCGCCTCGAATGAAGATGCCGTGCTTGGGTTTGCAGGAAAAGTATTGAATATTTTGAACAGTACCATCGTTTTTGCCCATGGGTGTGTCGAGTTCAACGCCAATCCAGGTGCCGCTCTGCGAGAAAAGAATGTATTTTTATTAATCGAATCCAAGTTTAAATCGATTTTTTTCAATAATCATTGGAAATATTGAAATTTTTAATTAAAATGCCTCATGAAAAGGTTCAAGGAATTTGAACAAAAATGAAATTTTTTCCAACTAAAACCGACTTGGATCATTTATCAAACTGAGTGCCTACCGAAAAATGCGTTGGTCCAATGAAGCTAATGACACCACTGTGATTGTATGGCCGAATGAGAACGGATTCATTGAGTGCGATCCAGTCGGGCAATGGGGCTTCGGTTTGTGATGTGGTCATTTCGTTGGAATCGGAATCGTTGTTGGTGGCTGCCGTTTTTGCATCATCATCAATGTACTTTGGTGTGATTGTGGTTGTCAATGTCTGATTATGATTATCACTGTTTGGTGTGCTGAGAATGTTTTGATTGTTATCGTCATCGAGAATGATTATATTTTTATTTTCGTCGTTTTGCTGCTGTTGAGTGATTGTGCATTTGTGTATCGTTTTGTCGATTGCATTTTCCGACGGTGATTCATTGGCCGAAACGGGCGTTGGTGTGTCTTTCATGAATGGGTTGAAGCGCTTTTGACCACTGCCCGGTGTGTATGGCGTTGTTGTCAGTTGGGAATTTTGTTTGGGCGGCGATGAACCGGTGCGATCGAAATCTAGAAAAATATAATGTCCATAAATCAAGTTTGATGAAAAGATTGTCGGAGAATTGTGTTTTTTTTTTGGCTCAAAATTTCGATTTTGGGATTTCTCTGCTCGGAGGCTGATCAAGATCTAATTCTAGAGATTGATCGGATCAGTCTGATCCAAATCCAAAAGAATCTTTTGCCTCAAAAACAATCGAATTATTGATTCCAAAACATCAATTTCATCACGTAAAAAGCAATTAACGATCAAACTTACCTGGAGTTTCATCAACACTCATCGAGCGAAGCGACAAAGCATCATCGTTTGTGAGATTGCTGTTACTGACAGCCTGCAATAGAAAAGACGGGGTTTTAGCATTTTGAAAGGAAAATTCGTCGAAAAATTCCAAAAATAGACTCTCAAAAAGGTAAATAACGAAGTGTGTACCTGTGATCCATATCCACTGGACGTGGATGAGGTCATGCTGGGCGTGCCAGATGCTTGTTTATTCGAGGCGTTTGTCGCGTTTTTTCGCACGTTTTTTGTCACATTATTTGTGATGCTCGTTGAACTGCACATCGATTGGTAACTGCTGCCGATGTCTCGTAATGAGCCCATCGTTTTTGATGTGGGAAAACGGGATTTCAATGGTGGCTTTCGAACGGCACTCTCATCAAACTGATTCAATTCCGAGTCGCTGTAGTTCTCTTCAACCTCTTCGGTTAATGTGTGCCGTGACGATGGCTCTTCGTGCAGCGTTGTCATTCTTAAACCAAGTTTACCGCTCGCCGGCGATGCTAAATAAATCAAAAGAATGCGGTTAGGGATATTTCTGAAAAAAAATTGCTAAATTTACACACAAAGTGGCTAAACTATGACATGTAATCTATGGGGAGTCTATAGTAGAAACCCTATAATAGGGTACAATTCATGCAATTGTGTCACAAAAAATAATTTTTGTCAGAAAATTGTCTTGACTCAAGACTCTTGAGTAACAATTCTCCTACATAAGAAAACTCTACTTCTTCTAAAGAAAATAAAACATTTCAACAAGAAAAGACATTGTTTCAACATATTTAAATGGTTGTTTGTAGAAAGGTATATACTTGTTCCGTCGAATAACATACGTTTTGAGGACGTTTGTTGTAGACGCAGTGAATTCAAATTTAAATTTAGATTCAAGAATGTTGGTCGAGCTGCATGATCCAATGTTAAGTGTAAGCATGTTGTGAGAAATTTATTACAGGTATTCATTAGTGTCAGGTATTCATTGGATAAGAAAAAGTGGAAAATATTTATTTCGAGCTGTGGGCTCATTCAAAAACGAATCAATCTCATTCAAAAATTTGGCGAATATTTCACCAGAATAAAAAGGAATTATCGATTTTTTCTACCAATTCTGGGGAATGCGACATAAGAGTTGGGCAAATGTTCAGTCGATCATGGCGAAAATGAGTTTTTTGAATGGAAATTCAAATTTTTCTTCCATGGTTTGTTCAAACTATCTTTTTTTTTAATTCGTTATTCGTATTCTTCGGTTCTAGGACCGAAAAATTTGATTTCTATTGTTTATATATATTGTGTATTTGTTAGCAAGTTTTTCATCCGAAATTTCAAAAACATTTAATTTTTCTTCGAAAATTTACAAAAATTGTCAGCAAAATTGCCCAAATTTCAAATTTACACGGGCGATGATGTCATTTCATTTGGCCATGTACCGTCCATTTACCCAGAATCCTTGTCATTCTACCGCTACACACTGAGGGTTTACCCTCGCTACACACTCAGGCATAATGAAACTGAAAAAGCGTTATAAAAAAAGACTATTCGAAGCATTGAAAAGTGCATGCACTACATCTAAACGGCTAAAAATCACAAGGTTGCTGCAACAGCAATATACCACAGGCGATCCTGGTGGCACCGATTGTAATGTCTTGAAAAATACATTGTAACACATGGGATTTTACTATCGGTGCCACAAGGTGTCGCTAGTGGTGTATGCTCTTGCAGCAACGGTGTGCTAAAAATCTTGTGTAATTCTGAAATTTAAAGAAAAAAATGCAGCGATGAAATGCGACGAGGAATGAAAAAAAAAACTGATCGTGCTGTAATTCTCATCTATCTCGAGCTTTGCGAAAAAATTACGATTCAAGCCGAAAAACGGTGCCCAATAAAATGCATGCATGAACGAAAAAAAAAAGAAAAACTCAACGAAAAAAATGGCATGCGAAATGATTTTGAAACAATTTTGATGCAGTTTTTTTTTTCAAAATTTAATTCAAGTCAAGCCTCTATGTTCATTGTTTTTTTTTTCTTCTTGTATTTGTACAAAAAAAAGATCATTCTCTTCAAGTATCTAACATTTACGTATCCCGTTCAATTTCTTTCAAAGTCAAAAAGGTGAAACGGAAAACCGAAAGAAAAATCGAAATAAAAAACGTCAACAGAAAAGAGCGTGAGTGAAAGAGACAGAGACAGAGAGCGTCCGTAAACGGTGTGAAACAAGAGTCAAAGGATAAAAGGAAAAACAAATTAAACAACGAGTTCAAGTATAAAAAGCTAAACACAAAACTGAGAAATCATTCCATCGCTAGGGAAATGTTTGTTGAAAAGAGAGAAAAAAAGAACAAATGATGTCCGATTTAGGTAAACAAAATGTTGAGTAGCAAAATCATTGTTGAACAGAAAAAAAAGTAGAGTCGTTATTTTGCAAAAAGAAAAGAGGAAGAGACAAAGAAAATGACCGGGTTCGAATTGCCGAAAAAATACGGTTTTTTTTCCTCAAAGACAAAAACATTGTTTACGCCTAAGTTGGAATTATTTTTTTTTGGTTTTGTTTTGTTTTGTTTGATTTGTTGTTTTTTTTTTGTAGTTCGATTTGATGTTTACCTGACAGGATAGAGCCTTGACGATTTACAACGGAAATACAACGAGAACGAGTTTGATATGCGTTTGTATGAAAAATTTTGAATGGAAAAATATAAATTAGATATACAACAGATTTTTTTAGTTCAAAAAAACATTGATCTCGAATGTTTATTGCGTTTTTTGTAGATTAGTTTAGTTTTAAACGGAAAAAACACAACAAAAAGCCAGAAAAACATAAGGCCGAGAACAAACGAACGAACGAAATCAAAAGACCAAAAACAAAAATTATATATTGTCTTATATTTAATCCAGTATTGTTGTTTTTTTTTATCGAGAGATCCGATGAGCTTATTCCATCAATCAGTTCTTCTTAATTAACGTTCAAACATTGCCGATCTCAACATCAATGGCTTGCAAAAGCCTTATGGCTGCTTGATTCGAAAGGAAGGAGTATGAATTCTTCTTGCACAAACAAGCACAAATTTGAACAGCCAAGTTCTTAGCCAAAGTTTTGGTCAAATTGGCTACCGATTTGACACTTCTTTTAAGAAAAATTAAATATTTTGCTCATTCGACAGTTGATGTTGGTTTTATCAAGTTTCGCTTGCGAGTTTATTTGCAAAACGTTTTATACAAGCTAAAAAAAACTTTTCTAATGGCGTTCGCCTATACTTTCATCCAAAAACTTGTTCCGATCTTTCAATGAAGCCTTTAAAATCAGCCGCATTGATCTGTAGCTGGAAGCTATCAATTTTTGTTCTTATTGTTCATTTAATCAAGGATCAAAATCGAAAATTTTGTATGGAAAATCAGGCGCGTGGGATTAATGCGGTTCATTCGGTTTTGTAAATTCAAAATGACTCACTGACTTAGTAAATTAGAAATGACTCATTGGCTTATTTAGCAAAAATCGTGGAAATTTCTCAAAAAATAGTTAAAATCTCCCTGTATTCATATCGGTGTTTGCGTGTTTTAGTTCTGTTGCTAAAGGTGCCGCCTCTGATAGGATGATGAATATTGTTCAAAATTAAACGTCAAATGATCCGTATTATTGCTTTAAAGGCACCTTGGAAATGGTGGCTTAAGAAATCAATCTTGATGTTCGGGAATATTTTTATTCAGTAGGAAATTAATTGGGATTTGTAGAAAAGCTTTCGTCATACAAAGGGATATTGCAACTTTTTTTGACCAGAAAAAACGCAATCTTACGTCGTGCCCGTAAATTATTTTACTGTACATTTAGATGGTAGAGCTTGAACAAAAGTTCGACACTATGCATAAACTTGGAGAGAGCTTGATAAACTTGATGAAATACATATATTTTATGGTCGTTGCAATACGCCTTTGTCGTCATAGGTTAAAAAAAGCATTTTATTCAGTTCTGTTTCATCTAATGTGTGAGTTTGGCATCGTCGTTAGGGTAAAAAAAGTAGATTTTTCTTGTTTTATTCTGCCAATATTGTTCGGTTCTTTTTTCTCCTCCACTTGAGTGCTTCACTTGAATGCTTGACTCAAGCATTGCTTGACTATCTCCATTGTGGGTGCTGAACGAAACTGCCGATTCAATGATTCAGATGAGTTGAATGTAAAGTTAAGACTGTGATGAGGACTGTTATAGTCAATGAGAAGTGATTATTTATGAGAATGTAGTGAAAAAAAATTGATGAAAATTCCAAATGAAACAACGAAAAGAAAACAAGATGAATTGGCCGAATCATTTGAGCTACATATTCGTGTCAAACGAAAAAGAAATTCATCGATCGATTGCAAAGAGTTGAGGGTTATGAATGAAGTGGTGCGTGTATTCGTTTGGATGATATTGCACGATCGTGTAAAGTTCATGTTTTTTGGTTTAAAATCCATCGACTGCGAGCAATAAAAACACAGAAATGAATCGTGAGAAAAAAAGTTGTTAATGAATTTTTGCATGGCTAACGGCTACGTATTGAGAATGATCTATTGAGTCGGGTATAAGTATAGTTGCAGTGTGGGTGGTCATTTGCTCCAAAAATAAGTTCTAAGAATGCAATTTGTGTATTGTTTTCAATCAAATTTCGTTTTTCATTATTAGTTCGCTATATGAGGGGGAATTGATTATATGTTTTGGTAAATAAAAAGGTTTTCAAACTTGCGTTGCGAGTTTATATAAAATATAGGGCTATTCATTGGATTATATAGTATCGATAAATATTATGTGTGTGTGAGAGAGAATAAAATTGCAATGCAACTGTTCGACCTAGCTTCAGCCAAATGGAATCGATTTTTTTTTTAGTTGTTGTCAAATAAACCGATGGATTTGTTGTTATTCGGCGCTGATTCGGCAATGTATTAATCTCATGGTGGCACTCACATAACCAATTGTCACCTAATTTTGAACGTTTGACCGTTTTTCGATTGCATCGAATTCAAACTCAGTCAATTTTCAATTCGAGGCGATGCGATTTTAGGCGATTCCATATCCAATTCGATTCAATTTTCAATTTTCAATTTCACCCATTTAGTTTTGCCCATTTCCAATTCCAATCCAATTTCCAATTTTGTGCAATTCAATTTCTCGAATTTCAATTTTTAAAAAAATGAGCCAGAGGAAGGTCGATTGGTCTATGTTAGTGTTTCGGTTGTGTGGGATTTTAAATCGATTGGCAAATACAATTTTGTATATGAATTTCTTAACATTTTTTTATTTGTAAGCTGATCAATATCAACTTGAGACCAATAGGATGAAAGAAATTCGCCATGAATAACAATAAAATCCATTGGAACTACTGCGTTTTGCTGTTGGAGGTGGGGGTATTATATACTGAAAGATAAAACATTATTGCAGAAAACTTGTGCAAATCCATGTCAATCACAATTCAGATTGAATACAGCGTTACAGCCGCCAGCGGTATAATAATGTTTCATCTTTCCTCTTGAGAAATTGAGCGAACTAGATCAGTTGATTAATATATGATGTTTTGTTTTATTAAAAAGGATTTGGTTTTCGATTCCATTGAAAAATGATGTTTCGGTTATAAGCCATTTTCAGAAAGAGAAACAAACTGCAAAAAGGATTTAAGCAACAAAACAACAATAAAATATATATGTAAATGTTTGAACGCAAGCTAAATTCGCTGAAGCAGATATTTATGTAAATGGACAAACAGTCAACTGTTAATTATATATGATTTGGTTTTTTTTAAAGTTATATAATAAAGAGAAGACATATATATCGGTTTAAAATTGAAATTCTAAACTTAAAACGTGTTTTTTTTCTTCAAAAATGATTATAGATTTGTAAAACAATAATCAGAAGGATGGATGATTGAATCATCATCATCCTCGATTTTTTTATGATCCTTGTGCTTAACATCAATTCTTTGTAATTTGGCAAACGATTTTGTCGGAAAAAAATGATCTTATGCAAGAATCGATGTAAACACAGTGTTTTTGCCCAAATTCGGATTGAGTTTTTTTTTCTCGTGCGAATGTTTCTTCTTTGCGATCGTCTTAACGTCAAATGATCTACTTTCCTCACGCAATTTTGGTGGGAGTGACGGTGATCATCTTAGGAAAATATGGGAGTTTACAGCTCAAAGGAGTCATTTTGAAACTGGCAACGCAATTTTCCCTTTGCAGTTAATTAGAAAAAAAAATTTAAAATCAGGTTAGGATCGTTTTTCTAGATCACTATTAGACCACTTTTAGATCATTATTTAAACCATTTGCCAAGATCTTTTGTCAAGATCTCTTTTTTAGTTAAATTTTAAGCTATTTTTTCATCTTTTTCAAGATCATTCTTCAAACTCATTTTATAGATCATTTTTTGTGATCATTTTTCCACCAAAAAGACGAATTTCCAAGACTGTTGATCGCATCGAAACATTCACAACAATTTTGATAAATAGAATTTACCATCGAAAAATAAAATACTCACAAAAGTAATAAAATATTCTTTTTATATCCAATCACAAATAGAAAAATGAATAAAAGAAACAAAGAATTGACAACGAAAAATGAATGACTTTTTTTGGTCGTGATCGAATTTGTTCAAAACGGAAAAGTGAAAATGAAAATTTCCGTAATGTTGTATGAAAAAAAAAATCAGTTGAAGCTTTTGAACACTTACCGATTCCATACTGTTTTGATGATCCGCTAACCGATTCATCGTTCATGCCTTTGCCACCGCTATAACCGTGACCTAAACCGAAAATGAAGCAAAAAAGCGATAAAAATTGGACAAATGTTTGGAAATCGAAGTAAAATGACATGATACGCGTTCATATTTTGATTTAAAATTCCGAGCATTTATCGAAGGATCCCTCCTTAATAAATAGCTTCTTTTTTTTTGTAAAGGAATAAGGATCGTTAGAAGTGATAAGGGATAATTTCCCCTTTTAATTTAAATTTTTATATTTAATTGATAGGAAGTTTATTGAAACAATGGGTAAATTGAACGATTTAAGTTGGGCATTCGTGAAGAGCAAAAAATTTTTTGTCACAATAGAAACTCAAGGAAAAACTCAATTCCAAAAAAAGTGACCGCACTCCAATCTTTACCTTGAAACGAGATGAACATGTCACGTCCTTGATTGAGAACGGATCGTGATAGCGCCAAGTCGCTTTCATTGAGGTCAACAAACGATTCGGAGCGTCCGGTATTGATGAGCGATTCCATCGATGCATCGAAACGCATAATCTAAGTGAATGAAATAGAGAGGGTAACACTGTATTAAAATCCGCCTCGTTAAAATGGCTGGCACGGAATATCGCGCCAAATCGTGACCGAGCACAATATGCGAGAAAATTGAGAGGTATAAAAAAAAAGGTTGACAACAAAAAGCGATTATCAATCTGAATGAATTAGAGCTAAAAAGGTATACCAAGAGCAAAACCAAATGTCCATATATATGTATTAAAACAGATCTCGACAAACAAAAAACTAAAGTGAAAAGTGCTTAGGTTGGTTTTTATTTTTCAACAAAATTAGTACAAAATTCATAAAATAATGAGAGAAATGAAAAAAAAAATTAACAAGTACTTACTCCAATATTGTGTGTTGTGTCTTTTACAGCCTTTTTTATATATTGCAAATGATTTTTTTAGTTTGATTTTAGTATATGGTTTTGGTTTAGTTGTGATATTAGAATATGTGTATATACGTGCGAAGAATGGCAGCATATGGTTTTTTTAGTGCAAGATTTTCACAAAAATCGAAAGGCAGAAAGAGTTAAGAAAAAAAATATATGATTTAATTAAAAGAAGATTCTATTTTTTTTTTCGTTAAAAGATTGATTTTGAAAAAATGGTTAGTAAATAGTAAATATTTTGCAACAAATCCAATGGCTTTGTAAATTAGTCACACTCAAATCAAAAACCCTGTTGTTAGCGTGAATTAATTCTATGTTTCGTTATTTTCGTGAAAGCAAATGAGTGAAAACGCTAGTTTCATATGCGAAAATGAATTTTAAAGCGATTAAAATCAAAACGAAAGTTCTTTTTTTTTCTTCTCTCGAGTGAATTGCAATTGTGTCGGTGTGTGTGTGTGTGATAACACCACTCATGACATTGTTAGAAATGGAAATACACACATAAATAGAAACATGAATAAAAATGAACAATTTGAAGCCATTGCTTTATTGCATTGAAAAAAAAAGAGAAAAAAAAAACAAATATTTGAATAAGAAACATGGTATGGCTGCACGCAACCCAACCACATATACCTGCGAGAAATTTGGTACGCTGACGGTCTTTCGCATTGACAATGATTGACTTTGGCTTTGTTCCAGCTCTTTGATTGCAACACTTTGACGCAAACGGTCTAACGTTAATATACTCTCCACCGCTGACACTCCGCGCGTGTATTTCTCTGTTGGTTTTTCGGGAGGGATGAGAGAATAATTTTTTCGATTAGTTTTTTGTTTGCCAATTTTTGCATTTTTTTAAAAATAATTTTTTGGATCTTTTTATAGATTTTTGTAGGGTAATGTTGTAATGACTGGGCCACCCAATCGATAATCCTATTCATAATAGAGAAAAAAAAACCAACCGATATAAGTTTCTCCATCGCATGCGGAGTTATCTTCACCGCTGGCAGCCAATTGAGCCAATGATTCACGGTCTTCCAGTTCTTCGGATGCTTTTGGTATGTTAGACACCACCTCATATGTGACGCCAGTTTGTGTAATATTTAAATCGGCTCGGCCCAACCATTTGGATTTTTTCAACCGTTCCGTGATACTTTGTCGCTTATAAATATTCAAACTAATTCGCTTGCGAAGGACCAAATCCATTGGTGCGGGGTGTGATAAGCGTACGGTAGTTTTCAAAATTAAATATACCCGTTCATTAGCTGCAATGCAAAACAAAGAAAAAAAATTGTAACAATTTAGTTCATTAGCAAAACGCAATCATCCGCAATCGAAACACAAACAAATGGTGGGAAAAAAAGTAGCACGCATGTGGGCCGAATTGGATTCATTACCTTCGGTAACGCGATTGAGTGCTTGGCTATCGTGCATTGATGAATCCCAGCTGACAATGGCACACACATCCTTGTCCAAATGCTGTAGAATTTGCAATGTGTAGAATTTGTTGCCGTGCTCTTTGGGTAAAATGGAGTTGATTCCGGCAATCGGCACCTCCTCATTCGAATTTTGTGCACTCATATCATCGGCTAGAAGTGGGGAAAGAGGAAAAGAAGAGAAAAAATTGGTGCATTTTACTAGAAGAACAATGGCAAAAACTATGAATAATTCAGCAACATGTTTAAAAAAAACGATTTAGATTGAGCGCATTAGAAAGGTCGATTTCGCGTGACCTTTAGCCGTGACCCTGGCTAAAATCAACCTTAATCAATTTGCGTCAAACTGACTGCAACCGTGCAACAACAACCGCAATACTAAACCGAGATCCAAAACGACTCCGGCAAAGCACTGCGATCAAAAGGTTAAACGATAGCCAAACTCACCATTGAGATCTAAGAATAAAACTGGAACATGTGGTTCCATTCCGTGTGGCGGACACCAATTGGCCGGTGCACCGGGTATACCACAACCAGCGGCTGGAACAAGCACCGAATTCCGTTCTTCCGTCAACGAAATCCATTGATGCACCAAACTTAATTCACGTTCACGTTCCTCTTCCGTTTTGTCCTCTTTATTAATCAGCTTCTGTATCTGTTGATCCAAATACTTACGACGTCGGCCCAATGCTTCGCTCCATTTTTCACGTAGCACCGTCAAATCTTCCTCTTGATACGAATCCATTGGTTTTTGTAGCTTTGACCGTACGGTCACACTGCCAACGGCAATATTCAAAATTGATTGGCAAATAATGGGTAATGTGCCGGAATTTTGTACGGGCTTAACGCGCACTTGAATGCGTCGCTGTTGTCCTTGTCGCAATTGATAAATGCCACCCGTTAGCACATCCGTACGATTGGTAACTTCGACCGGTGTATATTCACCGTTATCGTTGAGCTCATGGATTTCCACCCAGATTTCAATTTTACGCGACAATTCAGCCCATCGATCAACCAGTGATCGTGCTTTGGCTTGTTGCTGTTCCACTTCCCAGCCTTTATTACGTGAAAAACCGGCCGAACGATGGCCCCATACCTCAATCGAGAGTGCACCCTCGGAACAATGCTCCAGAAATTCTTCATTTATATTAACCGTATATTCTTGGGTATGATCAAAATTGAAGGTCATATTTTGATTGTGACGCGGTGCTTCGGAATTTACCACCGGCACCACCGTTTCTTGATGATTCCAAAATGTGTACTGACAAAATACGAAATTCGATAGTGACAACGGCAAACCGGTAGCTTGTTTTATTGTTATGCGACACGATACTTGATTGTTGGTCGAATCATTCATGTAGTCATCGTCACGATAGTCAGACGATGAATCCGATGCCGTTTCACACATTCGATCTTGTGGCAATTGACCGGCCGTTCGACTGATTTCCAACTGTAAACGACCCGCCACTTCACCTTGCTGACTTATTATTGGCGTATGATAGTCCAGTTTGACGTCATGGAACAACACATCCAGGAATATATTCGCAACACCAATCAAATTGTGCTTCTCTTGCGATTCATAAAATGGATCCAACGCTTTTATCGATTCATCGTCCTGTGTGAGGGGAGAGGAAAGGAATGAAATTGTTTAGAATTAGCGAACGTGTTGATTGGATTTAGCAGGCGAAAAAAAAGAACGAGGCGTAAATTCTTTCAGATTTTTATACCATTGTGCTTTCAAGCAGTAGTGGAGAAGTTACATACTCAAATACACTGTACTTCAGTACTATTGATTGCTAAATAATCATGGCAGCTCCATATTATTGCAAAAACCACAAATGGTATAAAGTCTTCACACGTTCTTTGATCAAAATTCAACGTTATTCGAATGAAACCATGTATTCGATAATCGATCTTCGACCAAAATCAAATTTCGATTAAAATCAAATGTTTTTGATTCGAAACCTAGTTAATTCAAATCATAAAACACAATCAAACAACTTGAAATTCTACAAAACGTTTAAGCATATAAAAAAGTACGATTTAAAATCGATGACAACACATTTAAACGAAAATGAAACTCAGAATAAGGCAAAACAAAAGTCAAAAAGCGGGTGAAATGGGTTACATATCCATCTCTCTACATAATATAGGGTAGCAAAACAACAGAAACATTTGAGCCAAACCAAGTAAAAAACGGAACAGAAACGATTGTTGTAACAAATATTCATTGAGAGTCTCAATTTGGAGACTATAATTTGTACCTCGTCGTCGTCATTATCCACACGAGGATCCACGATAGGCTTTTTTTAGCATGATAGGGGAAAAAGAGTGATTTAAGTAGAGATTATTAGTTTTGAAACGTTTATTTGTTTATTTCGGAAAAAAGTGTTAGTTTGCATCAACTATCGCAATTGCGATAGTCGATGGATTGAGAATGAGTCAACGGGTGCGTAGCCATCATTTTTCTACTTACACGTCCGCTAATCAATCGTTCTTTGTATTCTTGGTACATATCTCTCATGTCAACTAATTTATTTTCTAATTTTTCCATGCTCCACACTTGGCTGCCCGAATTCACGCGTCGCACCAAAATGGCCGGTTCACTGACGAAAGCTCCGCGCTGAAAACGATCGAATGAAAATGAGATTTTAATTAAAGAGAACGGAAAAAACAATAAAAAGTGAAAAGAAAACCTCCCAAGGAAAAAGCGAGTTTTTTTTGGAGCAAACTTTGCTCAGAAAATCAAGCTCACGGGAAAGAAACATGCGTTTTAAAATCAAGATCAAGGTTAATCCCACTGTATCTCACTTACTCTTCGATTGGGGCTAAGATTAGCCGGTGGAATTTGCAGTGTAACACTAAATTTGGTTTGTTTTTCCATTTCTTCGGCAAGTACGTTGGCCTCTTGTACGAGTGCATTGGCGCGTACAATGTCAGCCTTGAGTTGACCGAGCGAACGTCGAAACATTTCATCGCGTTCTTGTGCCCATTTTTCCATGCGTATTTGTGTCGTCGGTGTACTGGCCACTTTGCCCACTTTCAACGGATCATATGGTATATATGGAGCGTATGGGGTGGTTGGTGATAAAATGTTACGCAATTTTTGAAATTGACGCTCATATTCGAGACGCTGTTGTTCTAATGCCGTTTGTTTGTCCTCTTCGTGTTGTCGTTCCAGCTCTTCGATGGCTGCCTGAATTGGATCGTTGCTCATTTCATTTTGCATCAGTTCTTCGCGTGCAAATTCATAATCAATTGTTTGTGCTGGTGTTTGTGGTTCGGATGAATGATTCGGTCCGTTGGTTGCGGTTTTTGGGCAATTTACACGGAAAAAATGATGATTACCCCATAGGATACGGTCACCGTGTCGTAATGGTGTTTTCGATGTAACCGCCGATCCATTAACAAATGAACGTGCATTATTTATTGGCTCCATGAATAGGCTACCATCTTCAATGGTCAATGTACAGTGTTCATCTTGAATGCCCAATCCGTTGAGTTCAATATCAGGCTGTGGTATGGTACTACTTCGGCCACCGACCAATGTGTGATCCTTCAAGTAATACACCAATAGCTCATTCAACGATGGATCTGCATTCAAATTCACCAAATAGAATTTATTCTTTTCCACTTGAATGCCACTCGCCTGAACGCTTATGCCCATTTTCTCCAGCGCTTGTTGACGCTCATTTTGAATTCGTTCCGTTTTTACCAGTTTCTCTTCCCACGTTTGTGACACTGTGAATTGAAAAAAGAGAAAAGAGAAGAAAATATGAGTGATTTCATCAATGCTGTAACGAAGTGCGTCATGACAATAGACATGTCTGTGCATGAACAGTATTAGTCAACACAGTAGCAGTCAATATTACGTACAGCAATAAATGCCATTCTCGTTTCATACTTTTACCGAAACTGACAGTACATTTTTATTTGGTGTTCGGATGAAAAAGCAAATCAATCATCGCAATGAATAATTCAACTAAAAGGCACACAATAAAACTATCGCACCCCAAATCGGTGGCCAATACAAAATCAGCTGGAATTGAACCACAAGAGACAATCGAATTTTAATCATCCGACGATGAAAGCAATGACAACGATGCAAAGAAGTTGCGTTTACAGGTTGAGCCAACTGAAACATATGGTAAGAAGACTTGAACTAATACAATTATGAGAAACAAGTACGGAAAAAAATGCGGAGAGAAATTTCGATTGGGTAAAGAGAAATATGAGAGAACGAATTGATTTTTCATAATTTATTTGTCAATTTTTCAGTGATTGTTGCCACTAAAGAGCTGCGTATCGTGCAATCAAAGCAAAGCGTCGCAAAGACAACCAAGTAGGTGTTCATGATCCGATGTACACAAAGCTAGTTGAATCGATCGATTCCGAAACGTATCCGAACAATGTCGAATGTACCGTCTTGCGCAACATGAAAATTTCACCAACTATTGCCGAGGCTTGCATTTATTCTGCGTTGAAAGATCGTCCCAATGGTGTTGAAATTCGCAAGCGATTGTGTATAGCACGTTCAGAAATAGTAACCAATCAGGATGCAATCGATATATTGCAAACACTTCAAGATGAAAAAGATCTCGGTGAATTCATACTCGAGCGCATGCAGAAAGAAAACATCGCAGAGGCAGATCGTGATGTTATCAAAAAAGCAACTGAAGTTATTTCTCTTCCACGTACGGCGAAGGATGCAAAAGAGCAGAACATTGCTCCAGTATTCTGTTTGGTTTGCAAGAGAAATGGATAGAGAAAGGAATTGAGTTGTCTGAAATACATTTCAGAACATTTCAAACTGAATATAAATGATGGACAACACAGAGATTTGTATTTGCAAAATTATGGTGAAAGACACCAAACGGACGGTGAAACATTCCGCATGAAGTTGGTCAGTCAACCACCACCTGAACAAACACCAATAACTGCGAAACAATTCGAATGCAACCAGTGCAAAACAAAGTTTCGAAAATAAAGGAAACTTAAAACGTCACGTGCAAGGAGCCCACGACAAGATCAAGTACGGATGTCAACTTTGTGACCAGCAATTTACTCAGCAAAGCAATCTTGATAGACATGTTACCGAAAAACACAGCAACCAGAAGAAGAAATTCAAATGTACTGAATATAGTTATGAGACATGTCGCAAAGATCACATGGATAAACACATAAAGTCACACGTCCGAATATCAAAGGTCAACGCAACAACTGGTCGCGTGCAGAAATTCCAGTGTTTCATCTGTCGACGCAAGACAACAACCACGAAAGTTTTAAAGCAACATTACAAATATTGTCATTAATTAACAAAACTTAAATAAATTGGTATTAGGTTTACCTTGTTTCATGAGATTTTCACTTTCCGCCAATTTATCGTGAATGTCAATGTCACCGACCGGTGAACCAGTTGCATGTTTTAACATCTCACGCAATGCTTCCACTTCCATCCGTAGTTCGCGAATGATGCGAGCATTTGGATCCTCGTTGATAACAGCATGATTGACAATTCGCTTCGCACGATCCGCATATCTAACGACACAAATTTAGAGGAGAAATAAAAGTCAGTAAAATCAAAAAAGACCTTCTTTGGCCAGAAAGGTATTTTTTATGCAAAAAAAAATGAGTCTTCTTCTGTGAAAAAGACTTTTTTTTCCCTCGGAGAATGAAAAATATCCAATTTTCTCAATGGAAAAAATGTAAAACTTTCAGGATAATATGAAATTTTCGTTTACCTCAACGTGGACAGTGTTTCTTCGTAGTTATCGGCGGCTGGTGAGATCGTTGCAACCATGACAGTTCGTGAGTTACCGCCCAAATTATCCTTGAGTAGCCACGTGAGTACTGAATCTCGATACGGTACGAATTTATCGTTGCGCCCTTTTCCGCCCGATGCATCGGCCAATTTGGATATCACAAGGCCGAGCGTTGTAAGCGATTTATTGATGTTTGAGCCCTCTTTCAGCCGATCACCGACCGCACCAGTTTTCACCGCTCGTTCGCTGCCAGCCAAATCGACCAATGACATTCGCGCGACTTTTTCACCCGTTACACCGGATCTTCGATCGCAAATCGTTTGCGTTAGCACCACCGAGAAAACGGCATGCGATCGTGATGATTCGGCATTCATATTGGTTGCAGCTACCGTACGCGATTTATTACCCTCGGTCATTAAATTGTCAATATCTTCGAATGCGGTGACCGCTAATTGTGACAAACCATCCACATAGGGCCCGAGTAAATTATGTTCACGCACCCGTAACGATTGCTTATTTGGCTTTGGATCCAGCAGATCGTGCACTTTTTCATTATAAATTTCCATATACGATACTTCCACTTTATACGACAAATCCTGTGTTTGTTTGGTTGAAATTGAGTAGAAAAGCTCATCACATAATCTTGGTATGATTCCTTTATTATCTTGTGAACCCATCATCGTGTACGATTTACCAGAACCTGTTTTTAGTTGAAACATTTTTTTAGTTTTTCGTTTTTGGTTTTAAAAGTTTTGTCGAATTTATGGTAAAGTCATTAGAATTGATATTAAACAATTGACTTTATATGGTGTTTCTATTAATAATGAATCTATTTCATTCCATGGTACACATTGTACTGCAGAAGAATTAGATTCCACGTTTCGAAATGATAAACTCGTTCTTTTGAAACACGTTTCTTTGTGGAAATTAGATTCGAATAGACAAATAAAAGACGAATAATGCATTTTCTTCATCGACACGAATCCTTTTGTCCATATTTTTACTAAATATATTCCAAATTTGTCCATTTTTCAAGGCCCTTGAATCAAGAGAGCATTTCAAAACAGCGAATTGAATCATCATTTATTCGACGACACATTTTCAAATTCAAATCACGTCTTACATACGATAAATATTCAATGATTGACAATCATTGATTGTAGAGTTTTCTTCCAGAAATTTACCTGTCTGTCCGTACGCAAATATGCACGCATTGTATCCTTGGAATGCATTCTCCAAAATATCACGGCCAAGCGAATTGAATACATGCTCCTGCGATGCAAAATGTGGCGCATCCTTGTCCGTTGAATAAAAGCAATGATCGAATGCAAATGTTTTTGGCTGTTTTCTGTGTTTGTCACGCAACGCGGTGACATGAAAGTAAAGAAAAGAAGACGTGTTCGTTAATCATTTAATTTTTGACATGTAATAAGTTATAACTAATATCAATTATCGTTAATAGTTCATCATTTTCTTGGCTATAATATGCTAGTTACTAGCAGCTAGTAGCTTACTATCAAACATTTCATCTTCAAAAATGATCAAAAAAATCCAAATGAATACAGTGGGCCATCGGAAATTACAACATTCAAAAATTAGAAGAAACAACATACATTCAAAAGAGGTTCTAATTTCAGAGGATCTAATGCATTGCTCGATTGACAAACTACTTCTTATTTCCGAGCGCTCGCTGTAATAATTCTATGAATGATTTTAATTTTTTTCATCGTTGAGAAAAATCAAACTAGCAAAATTGGACAAATTCAAACAAGCAGTAATTTTTCTTGATAAAGAGTGGAATGTGAAATTCCTATCACTCTGCCCATTTCGCATCCACGCATAAACATTTTTTTTATCCTTCTTCTTCTTCTTCTTCTCTTTCTTTTCACGTTGAACTGAGTGGAAGTTACAATCAACAGGTCAACATTTTTGAGAAGAGTCGATTCATAATCTGTTTTTCGTATTAAAAACCCATAAAACGAGCTTGGAAATTGTTCAACATAGAAAAGAAAAATGAATTTCATAGAAAACTAAAGGTTTTTCAAGTCAAATTTCGAATAATTTCTCGTTTCGGGTTTGATGAAATAAAGAATTGATCCGGAAATCAATGGATTACGTAGAATAAAAATAACCTCCGATGTTATTATTGTGTCTGTATTTCTGTATTTCTCGATTTCATGGCTTTCAGGATGGAGATTTTTAAAAGGTGTGTCCAGAAAAGTTGTTGCTTGTCTCAAAAACTCAAACTTTTCCGAAACTTTCAAACATTTTCAAACATATTTACTTATCAGAAATCTTTTAGGCAATCTCTAACCCATAAAGAACAAAGTTACAACATACAGGAACTAAAAAAGTCGTCGTAGATCACTTTTTTCCTAAACGATTCAAATAAAATATTAAATTCGTTAAATGAGAATGTCAGAAAAACTATCGTTTTCAATTGTTTTTAAGTCAAATTCTTAATTTTTCCATTTTTCTAGCTAAAAGTAGGGAAAAATCGATATTTTTTTTATTTTTTCAAGGAACAACAAACTCATTCCCCTACTAAAAAAATATCGTTGTGGCTTTGAAAACATTCCAAAAAATGTTTATTTTTCCTGAAATCCAGCAAAAATACTTGAAAACTGGAATTCCAACGAATTTATGTTCAATAAAAATGCCCATTTTTCAGCAATTTGTAAAGTTAATCACCCGTCATAGAATGTCTCGGTGCTTAATCAATCGCAAATCGTAATTCTTATCAAAATGTTAGTCAAATCAGCGAACAAGGTGTTCTAAATGTTAAACACGTTGCTTCGTTATTTTATTATTATTGATTGTGTTTGATAAATTAAACATTTCTTGCTAAAAATGATGTTAATCTCGTCGAAATAAAGACCCAATAAAAACACAATCACGGCCATGCCAATTAAATTGGTGTGCATTCTAATCGTTTATGTGCTGTTTTTGTTGTTGTTGTTGTTGTTTCGTCTCATTTTTATGTTGTTTACAAAATGCAAACTGCATGAAAGGTTCAATGAAACGGTGCGTGGCACGAAAAGCAATGCAGTCGTTTGTGCTGTGGTCGATTTAATTAGTGTGCGAATGCCGATTCGCATAATGCGATTAAAGTGATTCATGGAAATAACGTCTCTTTGGGAGAGAAAGAGATTGTGGAAATATGTTCCGTGTGAGGCATTTGTTTTTCTCGCTTGAGATAATTAACGATTATTTTTTTTCTGCGTTGTTGCTGCGAGACTAAACGATGTGAACGAAGCCTAAACTGAAGCTGTGATGTAAATGAACAGAACGAAAATTTGTGCGTATTTTAATTTCGGGCCTATGGTTTAAAGTACGGCGTGTGTGAATGAATGAGTGTCAAAAATGTAGGCCTAAGTACGCAGAGAACGAAATGAATGTGTGTTTGTTCTGTTTCTATCTGTGTTTCTCTTTCTCTCTTTCTCATTCACACAGACGAATCTCTTTGAATGAGTATGTGTGCGCTTTGGATTCCTAATGATGTCTGAACGTGTATTTGAAGTGATGCAAGCGTATGCGTGAGTGTGTATGACTTGTGATTGTATGTTTTTATACTACATTACATTTTTTTTTGCTTCTATCTTCTCGCGAAATTTGTATCATCGTTTTTGTTGGTTTCGCGTGGATATTACGCGCCAAATGAATGCCACGGATAAAATCATCATCAAGATAGATGTGTTTTTGCCGATTGAAAAAAAAAATGCAAATTGAACGTTGGCCAGCCAATTTCGTGAGAAAGAGCATTTTAAATATGAATAGAGAATCAAGAAATGAATGAACAAGTGATCCTTCTCAAGAAAAAACAAGGGAATCACATATTCAAATGGGTGCCTAATATTTATATGGTTCTATTTCTTGGTAACAAAACAACGACAAAAAGGTAGCTCCAGAGTCCACATTTGACTATGTTTTCTTTATATTCCTTCAATTTGAAAATGTTTCTTTGACCCCGAGTTTATGGTCTGTACATGAGTTCTAATCGGTTTTTTTCTCCGAATTCATAAAACATAATCGCTGATGTTTGACTACAAAGCGAGAAAGAGCATTGGTTTGGAAGAGAGAAAAAAGTTGAATAGCATAGCTTCAAGTTTTGGCATGGAGTTTAGGGAATCGCTTTGAAGTTTTTGGCAACCGAGAATCGGCTTGATGATATGGAGCAACAGTCAGAAATGTTTGATTTTAAATCGAATCGAATCGATATTTCAAAATTCCGTGTAATATGAACGCAATAAACGGAAAAAACCGATGATAATCAAATTAGGTGTATTTTTTTAGAGAAAAAAAAACCAAACAGATTAAGAATCGTAAAGAAAAAAAGGCCGAGCACATTTTCAACATTGTTCGAAATGTGAACGAGGAAGCGAGAAAGGGAGTGTTGGTCGGTCGGTCGGTCGGTCGCACGACGCTCATTTTCTGTGTGTATGTGTCAGTTTTGCGTGCAAAGTATGTGTGCGCGTAGACAAAGCAAAGGAAATGATTCAAACAGAGAGATTGTGTGTGATTTTCGAATGAAAATCGTCGTCGCTCGAAAACAAGGGTTCGAAAACAAAGAGAGAGAGAGAGAGAGAGAGAGAGAGAGAGAGTGAGCGAACGCATTTGATACTAAAAAATTTACTCTCTTTTATTTTTGTGTTTTGTTGTTGTTACGTTGGTATGGAAGCAGCGTCATAAACGTACGCCACCCATACCAATCGAATGCGCATTCGTTTGCCTCTCTGTGCCTCATTGAATGTCTCTCCCTCGTTTGTATGTTCAATTCCAATTTGGTTGTCGTTGTGTGAGTGAATGTGTGTGTTGGGTACAAGTACGTACGCGCGGCGTGTGTAAAAATATCTTTGGTGTGTTGAATGAAGTAGAAGAAGACGACGACGACGACAAAAAAAAATATATCGTATTATTGAAGATCGGTTGTAGGCTATTCGGTGTGTGTGGATGTATGTGTGCGCCATTCTTTGTCACTCATTCGGTTTGCCGTCAATTCAAATTTTTTTTTTCTTCCGAAAAAGCATTCGACTGTGAGTCGTTTGATTCGCTTCGCTTTTTTTACTCTCTTTCTCTCTGTCTCTCGTTTTCCGATTCCCGTATATACGTATTATTTTGGGCTAGCAATCGTAGTTCGATGTGCAAGAGACAAATACGACACTATTCGCATCTAGCATTATTTTTCGGTCACGGTGTGTATGTATGTAAGTGAGTGTCTGCGTTTGTATCGGTCTGTGTGTGTGTGTGTATTCGTGTGTTCGCACAACTCCATTCAATTTTGAAGCACGACGAATAGCAAGCAATGTTCAATCGAGTAACATCTGGAAAGTGAATAACATCTTTACAACAAAACGCGTAGGTTGAGTGATTTTAACATCTTTTCACATCACTCGTAAAATAAGATCATCTAAGAACAGCGAGAGTCCGGGATAAGGATATATACCATTCTAACAACAAATATTCTTTGAAAAAAAGAACAAAAAACAGCTTTTTTTTTGCAAACAACCGAAAAAAAACAAATTTTTTTTTGAGAGAATATGGCTGACACCGAAAAGGCACCAGAACAACAACAAGCCCCAGCCAAAACCGAGGGCACCAACAATGATAACGCTTCAAATCCACCAGCAGCGGAAGAGCAAAAGCCCAAGCAAATCATTGGTGAGTTTTAATCGAACACAAAAAAAAAAAAAAATTAAAATCCACCCCAGAAAAGCGAAAATAATAACCGAAATTCAATTAGACACCGAGAGAGAGAGAGAGAGAAAAGCACACACATGCATCGTAAAAGAATTGTGTGGTTGAGAATCGAAAAATTCATTTTGTTTTTGTGATTGATCAGTCGATGTGTCCTAGACAATAAAATGCCAAGCCAAGCAAAGCAAAGCAATGAACCGAGAAAAAAAAACCAAACTACGCGCATTTTCAAGTTCCAGCAAATCGAAGAAGAGAGCGAGAGACGCACTCTCATTCTCCGAATCAACAAAACGAAAACTTTCGCATCCATCCAAAATGTTTCAATAGAAATTCGTGCATCATTTAGTTTTTTTGTTCTTCGTACATTTTTTTCTTTCGCGCGTGTATTCTGAAATAATTTTGACTCGTTGACATGCTTTGATGTTGATTTAATCAAATCAAAAGTGTGAGCACTAATCATTCTCATACTTTTTCGTTTGCTTTCATCGTGCACATCTTCATGCTCGACGGTTGTGAGTGTGTTTTTCTTTCTACGTTGCTTTGCATCGTGTGTCTTGATGGGAAAATTCGACAAAAGTTTCAACTTGCCATGCCTTCAATGAAGGCGCATGAATGAGAGACAAAACACCCGAAATGGATGTTAAACTCATTTCCATGATGAAATTTGTTGGATTTTTTTTTTCTTTTTCTCTCCAAAATGATGCCAAAACGAATCGTTCAGAAAAGAAAACAGTGTGTTTAATTAGAGATGAGAGGAAGAAAAAATGAAGAACGAAGCAGCGATTAGTGAAGAATTTCGTGTTTAGAAATGGAACGTGCACGCGATGCGCGCCTCGATACGTCGTAGTTCAGAATCATGGCACATTGAAAAATGATCGACCAACGAACGGCAAAGAAAAGAAAAAGAAAAAAAATTCTAGTTTCTGCAGTTCATCGTTTCGAATTTCGTCCATTTCATTCGTTTCATGTGTACGGACTGGAATCGATTGAAAATATTGAAAATATGTGTTTATTAGCTGTTAACGGAAATAGTTGCCGAAAATTTCAATGGAAATTCATTTCGTTCATGGATGAAAAAAAAGCGATTGAAAAAACGCCACAGCCATAAGAACTTGAAGTGCACGTGAATGAACGAAAGAGAAATATCGATGAGACGAACAAAAAAGCCGGTAGCCATTTTGAATGCGAATAGTACACACATTTTTATCGTTCAGCATGGCGTACGATGTGTTCCTCTATTACACACCAGAAAGACGAACGAACGAACCAAAAAAATAAAATACGTTGCTCGTTCGTTCTCTCTCTAAGTACTAAAAATTCTACACACACTCTCTCTCTCTCTCTCTCTCTCTCTCTCTCTCGTGAGTAGTTCTTCATTCGCGCGCACCGCTGCCTCTCTGTTTTGCTCGCTCACTCGCTTCGTCGTGTCGTTTGTGCTGTGTGTGTTGCTGTGCTTCTTCTTTTTCATTATGGTATTACACTACGCTCGTGGAGTAAAAACACACTTGCACGCGAGAACAACAGAGACGATGGCTTACAAGTGAGAATGAGAGATAGAGAGAGAGCGGTACAATAAGTGCGGCAATGTATGGAAGAGAGCAAGAGAGAAAAGGAGATCATGACAACGACGACGACGATGTCGCCTTGGAAGCATGTGTATAATTTGGTTAAAACCTCGAAATTTAATACTGAATGACAAATATATGCATGGAAATTACTAGGAATATTTGTCATTAATAACATTTTTTTGTTGTTATTAGATTTCGAGTGTATTTTTTTTACGTGTGCGTGTCGTGCGTGTGTGTGATGGGGTGAATGTGAGAAAGTTGAGGAATCGTAGAAACACCATAAAAAAAACCAAAGAACACACCAAATATTCATGAACAATTCATAGACACACAATAGATAGATAGAACAAACAACAACAACACCAAGCCCTGACTATAATATATGCATGCGATGATTCGTGCCGATCGAAAATTCAATTTCTATTACGCATCATATTCATTTCAATTGGCCATTGGTTGATTTTGTTTCACTGTTTGGCGACCCGATGAATTGCTTGCATTTATAATTGTGTTGTTTGCATTTTTCTCTTTCCCAATATATGTTTATCGCCATGTGATTGAGGAGTGGAGAGAGAGAGAGAAAAAAAAAACGATGAACGCGAAGAGAGATAAGTCACATTGAGTGACTGAAAAAAAGGCAATGAGAAATGTGTGCAAGAGAAAGCAAGCCACTGAGAGAGTCACCACAAAATAGAGAGCACAAGGAGCGAGCACATTTCATGAAATTCTTTTATATCGATAAAAACAACAACAACTGCAACAAAAACACAAACGCCGCAAGTGTATGAGAGACGATATTGGCATTTCTAATTCTAGAAAATGTGTGTGTTTTCTCTCTGTCTCCTTGCCTCGGCTGACCGTATCGAGTGATTTTCGACGTTTCATCGTTTTTGGAGTTGGATGAACAAGAGAAATGACTTGCGAAAAATTGATCACACTATCAAATTTTGCTCCATTTTTTCTCCGAAGATGACGACGAGTTTGTTTTAGCCGTTGTTTGTTGTCGATTGGGGCGAAACGGCGATTCATTTTCATTGAATTTATGAACAGAAATCATTTCAAGGTCCTCTCAATGATGATTTTCATGATGAATGACAGAGCACAAAATGCACACGAATTTCGAAAAGCAAGTTTTTCATTAATCATTCAACCCCCGAAATCACAAAAAATAGAATCGAAATGAAAATGAAATAGAACGGCTTTTTTTTTTTAAAATGCCGATGACATCATCTCATCGATCACAATTTGTGTTTGTGTGTTGGTCGAATATAGTTTTTCTCTTGCTCATTCGACCAACCAACCGACTGAACGCTAAAATGCGCTCGTCTCAACGATGCACGACCAATTCACGCGCGTTTTTTCTCTCTCTCTCTCTCTCTCTCTCTTTGTCAGCACACAAATATCCATCCAATCGATGTGTGTATACAATGGACGAGAAATGTAGTTTATTCTAAATATAGATAGTTGGGCGTGCATGTGAATCGCGCGCGCGACTCAACCAACCATCGAAACACACAAAACTATACACAAAAAACATGTGCTCTTTTAAACGAGATTCATTTCGGAATATTTCACATGCTGTCAGTTTTATCTTCTTTTTTTTTGGGTCCGAGCACATTTTGGACTGTGTATGTTCATTTTGGATATGAGAAGAAATCCAAATCTTGGACATTCCAGCCATTCAATTTTTCGTTCTACAGAAAAAAAAATCGCTCAAATATGTATTTGAATCAATCGGTCGGTCATTCAACGGTGTGCAAAAGAAATACGTTGGCCCAATAAAATGGTATGAAGACCATATTTGCCGCAACGGAATATTGAGCACAATCACCAAAAAACCGCGATCATGCCAAATTCGAAATTCATTAGACACTTTTTAAATGATTCAGCTGAATCGATAGATTCAATTGCAAAGCAACGTGTGTGTGACTCAATCAGAGTGTTTTTTTTTGGTGTTTTGTAATACACCGGCCACAACTGACCAACCGCTGAGAATATTTTCTCGGTTGTTTCTCTTTTTCTTGCGTTGTTTACGCCATCATTTAAAAAAATCTGTAAATATTTGCCTTTCCAATCCTTCTTTACTTCATATTAGCACAGCTGAACACATTTTTTGTACACTCTCTCTCTCTCGCTCTCTCTCTCTCTCTCTTCGTTACTATTGACCGTTTTCGATCATACGCAATTGTGATGCTCGATTTTTGTATCGCAACGATATCTTGCAAGGGATTAACTTGCTGTAAACGATGATTTCAAGAAGAAATTGAATTTTTTGTTAAATTATTTTTTGCTTGAATTACTTTTGACTTAGGTGTTTACTTTTTGAACTTTTTTTTCAAATTTCAATTGATTAATTTTCTTCATTTTGGAATTCTCCAGCCGAAAAAGTAACCGGTACCGTTAAATGGTTCAATGTGAAAAGCGGATATGGCTTCATCAATCGCCATGATACAAAAGAGGATGTGTTTGTTCATCAAACCGCTATTGTGAACAACAACCCAAAGAAGGCCGTACGATCGGTTGGCGACGAAGAAGTCGTTGAGTTTGATGTCGTTTTGGGCGACAAAGGCAATGAGGCCGCTAACGTAACTGGCCCAGGCGGTGAACCTGTGCAAGGTAGCCCATTTGCTCCTGATAAGAGACGTGGCCGCATGTACCGTCCACGTCGTCGCACCCAACGCAGCGATGGTGGCGGTGAAACTGGCGGCGAAGGTGAAGGTAAGCATCACTTTTTTGGATTTTTTTTTAAACAACAAATTTTTTTCGTACATTTTTGTGAATAATTTGTTATTAATGTGAAATTTTTGTTTGTCATTTGGCTTCTGCAGAAGAACTAGGTGAAGGTGGTGAGGATGGTGACAAAAAGCCACGTCAACGCCGTTTCAGAGGTAACCGCCGTTTCGGAGGTAATCAAGGAGGTGGCGGTGGACCACGCGGCGGTGGCTTCAGACGCGGACCACGCAGAAGCGAAAACGGAGATGGAGTGAATGGTATGAATGATGTTTATATCGACTTAAAAACAAATCAGAATTTTGCATTTCATTACATTTTTCGCAAGCAATTTCATCAAATTTTATGATTTTCTCGTAAAACTCCATGGTTTTTGAGTGAAATTCGAAAAGTGTATGACATTTTTATGAAGCTTTATGAATTTTGTGTGGAATTTTTTTGGATTTTGTGTGAAATTCGTCGGAAATTTCATGAATTTCAAGGAATCCACACGAAAGTGTTTGCAATTTATCAATTCACATGTGAAAATTTTTTTGTCCATGTTTGTAGGTGATGAAGGTGGTAACACCGAGGGTGAGGATGGTGCACAAAATGGTCGTCCAAACCGGAACCCACGTCGTCCACGCAAATTCAACCAACGAGGAGGACCACGCAAGCCACGTGGCAACAGCGAAAATGCTGGTGACGGTGGCCCAGTCGAAGGTGGCGAAGGCGAGAATGGACAAAAAGGTGGCCGACCCCGTGGCAAGCGTTTCAACCGCAAACCAAGAACCAGCGGATCCAACCAAGTAAGTTAATTATTTGTCAAACAATTTGTCATCGTTTCGTTTTGATTTCATCGCTCGATACTAAACTTGAAATGTTTCTCCCTTTTTTCTCTATCTAGGACGGTGGTCAAGAAGTACAAAACACTGTCACCGAAAGTACAGCGTAAATTCTAACAATTCTTCGCAAATAAAAAAAACAACAACAAACAAAAGTTGACGCGCTCAAGAGTACCATCTCTCTATGAAACAACAACAGCAACAAAAGAAAAGAAAAAACTAAACAGAAAAAAAAAATTAAAAAAAAAACCAAACACCCACACATCCAAAGTGTTGAACATTGTTTTCGAACAATCGGCCGTGTTTTAAAAACCATCAAAACCACGAAACGACACACTAAAAATTTTACAATAAACCTTAGATTGTTTTGCATGGTGTTTTTTTGTATATGTATATCATCTTTTTTTAAAAAATTTACTTTATTTTTTTTTTTTTGTCAACTTGTAACAACTTGAGAAATTTTTAAATAAAAGGAAATTATTATACATATATAATAAAAATTATTATTGATCAATGTTATTTAGAATGGGGAAAAGTGTATAACGTGATGAAAATTGAGATTGGCGGCAATATGGGTCGAGTGCACGAGAGAGAGAGAGGACATGCCACTTTGACATAACGACAATGACATTTGACTCTCCGCATGCGGAGTTCAATGCATATTAATGAGTCGCAACTAGAAATTGCACCCAATACACTCATTCGTTTTGTCTTTGGCCACTGGCCACCCTTTCATCCATCACCTCGTATATTTGTCACAGTGCTCTTTAGCCTACGTTTTTATTTGACTCTCACCTCGATTATTTGCATTCACTCTGCCTCACTCACTCTAACACTCTTTCTCTTTCATTCTCATCCTCCTTCTTTATCCTTCTATCTCCCTCTGTTATTGTCAGCCGCTCAGCCCACGGCACTCATGTATGCAAAAGCTCAATCAACACTCGCAATAACGATATTTTCTCACACAAAAAAACTTTAATTAAAATTCATTAGCTTGTGCGTTCACTTACCGTTCGAGTTTTTCTATTGACGCTGCATTCCTTAGGATTGTCTGTTGGCCATCCATGTCCACAACGCATTGTGTGTTCAGTTCTAGTTCTGTTCGGGGTTAATCGAAACCACAAGCAAACACCAAAAAAAAAGAGAAAAACAAATGGTTAATGGTTAGTTTGGGGTGTGATTATTTTAATATGAAGCGCAATTCAAGTTATTTGCAATGCGATTAGTATCAGCTGAAAGAACGTTCTCTCTCTCTGTGTGTGTGTGTTCATTTGTTATTTTTAATTTGTCGATAATGTGTGAAAAGCGGAATCGGTGGCGAGTGTGAGCGGCTTCATCAAGCATGCATATCAAATTGAACGAAAAAATGAACATTCTCATTCTCTTTCGCTTGTTCTTCATGCAGAATTCTGGGTCAATAAATTGTGTGCAGTCGTTCGTTACACTAACAACTGCATTTTTGATATCGCACGATCTCCGGACAATTGCATGGTTTCATTTCGGTGTCGTCGTCGCTTCTTTTTTTCTCCCTTTCTTTAAATAAAGTTCAAAATGCGTTCTTTTTCTTTGTTCGTGTCGTTCGCATTGAACGAAAACAGCAGCAGCAGCAGCATCAGCAGCAGCAGCAAAAGAACAGAAACAGAGAAAAAAAAAATACAGAATCGAAAAAAACAAAAAATTGACAACAAATTGCTCGGGCTAATGGTTCGAAAACGGGCCTGAATTCAATCAATAAATCGCACAGCAATGTCTTCAAGGATATTGGCATGATATTTTTTCGTTCTGGATGAATGTACCGAGTAACACACTCCACTATGAAAAGTGTTGAACATGTTCTACATCACTGATTTTGAATTGTGATAAATGGTTGTTGTTCGCTTTTTTTGCTTCTTCCTTTCATTTGCAGCCAAATAGAACATACGGACACAGTGGCTTCGTCGTCGTCACTTCTTTTTCTCTACGTTTGATTCAGTTTTGTTTTGTTGCGAATGTGTGTTATTTTGCTCTGTTGGTTGGTTGGCTTCATTTTTCGTCAAATTTATGGCTCACTACTTTGCTACTTCACTATGGCTCGCACTCTTTTCGTTCTCACGCTCTATGGTCTGTGTAGACAGACTGGAGGCGCAAAATCGATAATATTTAGGCATTTTTATTCAAACGCTGGACAAGAGTTCATATCGCAACGAAATGAAACTGTGGCAAAATGGCAATAGCGGTTTTATTGCCCAAGATTGAAACTGGACTCGGAATCAAAACTGCATGTTGCAGCAACAACACTAAGCGATAATTTCTTTCTCATTCCCAGACTTCCGGTCTCTCACCATCGCCTGTGAAGAATTTAGACCAATCGTCCAATTTATCAAGTCAGTGGGGTGGTGAGTGTGTGTGTGCTAAGTTCGTTGGCCACTGCGACTTTAAAGGACTGTATATAAATTTTCCGCTTTCTTGTTCCGCTTCTCTTTCATTGCAAAAGGAACCAAAAAATTGGTTCATATTTATTTGAAAAAAAGGGTTGAAAATCGTTTTTTTTCGCTTACAAATGGGAGGAAATCGGATAAAGTTGAGTGTCGCTTATTTATTTTCTTTTAGCAAAGATGAAAAGCAAAGAGAAAATAAGAAAATGAAGTAAAAGCAAATCTAGACGCAGTGGAGAACTGAGAATCATGCCAGGGAAGTAGTTATTCTGATTCGAATTCTATTGGCTCAACGATAAATCTGCGAACATCTCTTGTTCGTTCATTGGTTTATGAGGCTCTCTGTTCGCTCTGCAGTTTTATGGGGGCGAGATTGTTGTGTAAGTAAAGGATAGATGGTTGTTTTGAGCATGAGTTGTGTGCCGCCGTACAGCGGCTTCCATTGTTTGCATTCGGCAGCCTGCTGGCAAAATGACCGAAAATGAAATTGCAGCCGCATATTTATCGACATTTTGCGGCGACAGAGAACAAGAAACGATTCCTTTGAATAGAGTTTAGATTGATATGTGCCGCGGCATTCGCTTTGTCTTTTTTATGTCAAGCTTGTTACTTTTTATGCACCCCGAATGCATTGTCGTCGTTTCGTTACTCCGTTACATGTATTCAGTTTGAAGCTCGTCGTCTTTTTTATTCATATGTGTCCAACGTTTGGTTACTCACCGACCGTCCAACGTTTGGTTACTCATAGACCGTTTATCGGCTGACAGTAACTACATACTGATGACCTGTTTGTCACTCATTCGAACGCTTTGGGGTTCGGTATGTGTGTCAATGTGTGGTTGCTGGCGTGCGCTCTTTGCGCCAAACGTGAACGAACAGAAGGATTTGTGACTGTTCTGGTGTTTTGTTTGTTCTTTCTATTTCAAATCGTGATAGTTTTTTTTTCCTTTCGATTCCATTGTAATGCATGACTTCATTATGCGATAGTTCCATGCAAGCACGTTTTTGCGAAAATAAAAAGAAAACACTCGCACACATCAAATAGGAGGTGTATGAGTGTGAGTAAGAGGAAATAGAACAAAAGTTAATCCCAGAACTCGAATTCATGAAAAGAGTGAATTCACATAAATTTTCATCACCTGTCCTCGCATTTCAGCTCTACGTTTCTCTCTTTTCCTCTATTTTCTTTCTCAATCTATCACGTTATTTTCTCTGATTTTTTTCTGCTGCTGTTTTTCACTTTTATTTTCTCTTTTTCCATAATATTTTCCCTTCATTCTTCTTCAGCTTGCCTTCGTTTCTGTCTTTCAAGCATTTCCATTCAGTGTGTATAGTTCTATTGGATCAAGAAACCATATTCACTCACGCTTGCGAGCATACACACATAAAAACATGCACATTTTTCTATTGTCACCGGAATAATTCCGACACTTATTACCACTGATGAGGTTTTTCTTTTCAGTGGTGAATTGCGTTTTCTTTTCTCTCTATTCGGAATTGTTTTATACATATCTATCGCCTTGTACGTGAGTGGCTGAAGCAACAATACACACATTTTCGTTCTTTGGATTTTCGTGCCTTGGCATAGACGATATCACATATCGTATACACATAGCATGTATCTCGGCCTCTATCAGTCGTGTATAGTAAACAACGATTTTAATTCGAAATTTTCCGCTATTTTATCCGTAGCGCACATACCATCACATAGTAAACAATGCATAGAGTAACACATCGCGAACGCGATATGTGTGTCTCTGGATAAATGTACAAAGTGCGCGACGACAACCACACGATGATAGAATGCTTGTGTGTTATCTCACGTGGTGGATATACGTCTATATAATCATATATTATTGTGTACGTATTAATGTGACGGACTAAATGAAAAGCCCGAAATGCGCCCATTCGTTATGATGAATAATTACGAAAGGAAATGAATGAGTAATATCGGTGCGTAACACATACGTGCACATATACACACACACACACAAATGCACGCTAAGTGTTTCCTATTGAAATAGTGTTTAAACTCGTTTATTTGCACTTGGTCATGCCTCATTCCTGATGATGCGTATTTATTTTTTGCTCCAGTCTTCTCTTCGATTTGCATTTCTCATTTCTTTTTCATCTTTTTTTTTTCTTTCTTCTTCTTTTTCTTCTCCTTTTTCTTCTGCTTCGATTCCGTTCATTGCATTACTTCACTCGATGTCGGTGTTTGCTACTCTTTCTGTGTGTAACTTTTCATTTCAATTTGATAACATAATATTGATGTTTCATTTCATTTTTAAAAAAACTCATCATTTTCTTCGTATGTTTCGTTACTCTCATATGTTTTGTCGGTTACTCTCGCACACGCTGCATGTCTTTTCGCTTGTTTCGACTTTTCTGTGTGTTGTTTCTGACGAAGACGACGACGATGACAATGCTTCGCGCAATCTTATCGGATAAATTAAAACAAATGAACACACATTGCTTCCTCACTCGCTGATTCTTCCATGACACTTATCACATGAACATGCCAAATTTGACAAATAAATTCGTTTTTTTTTAGTGCGATTCAATTCCGAGAACAACAATGAATGAAGAAAAAAAAACAACAACAATCAAATGGAAAAAAAAAACAATCAAATGCGAAAATGGTACTATCTAGGGTACTATTCGATACATCCAAAGAGAAATGTACTTCGTTTTGTTATTGAATGAAAAAAGTGATTAAAAAGCTAAGATCGAAAGAGAAAAAAAATAAAACATATAATACAAACCTCGCCGATTGAATGGCCGTACTCGAACTGCAACCTTTATTTTATCCGTTGCCATGTTTTCGGTGAAAATTCGCTAGTTTTGTATTAATTTATTATTTTCAATTCGGTTTGGTTAAAACGTTCGCAAAATTTTATTCTGTTGTAGTTCACACCGTGTCGAAAATCAGCAAAAATAGCAAAAAATACATATAGAATAAACAATCGAAATGGATTTATTTTTCTTATTTCTTTTCACTTAAAACACTGTTTGGTCGACGACCGACAGAACGAACAAAAAAAAAGTCAGTATCTGCAAAACAAAAAATCGATTCATCAAATTAATCACTCGATTGACACTTGTTAGTATTTGCTTTTTTTTATTTTCAGAAAAAAAAGAAGTTGCGTTGGTAAGCGCATTTGTTTTAGTTGCACACGCACACACACAAAACTCTTAGTTGGGTTAAAATTTCGAGAGGCGGGAAATGAACGAATCATCGAAATCGATGCAATTGTGGTGCATCGACGTTAATTCAAACCAGAATCCATGCCATTTTATCAAGTTGGATTTTTGTTGTTGTTTATTGTCACGAAATGTCAATTAGAAGCTACGACAGAGTGAGAGAATATCAACGACACTTTGTTCACATTCAACTTCCACTCTGTTCCAGTTTTTTTTTCTCTGTCGCTCGTGTTCACATTGGCAAGAGAGAGCGTTGGCTTGGGGGGCGATTGTTGCGGATTCGGTGGCCAGTTTGGAATATAGAAATTACAATTTACTTGAACTAACGACGTGGATTTGTATACACGAAAAAAAACCGACCGAAAAAAAGCCAAATCTGTATAATACAGATCATGTTTTTTCGGTCGAAAGATTTATTCATAATTTGTTGGTTGTTTGGAAAGGGAAGAGCACAATGGAACACTAGCCCAAATCAAGCGAAGATTTGATCCACAAAACACACACACCGAATGAGACCAAAACAACAATAACAACACAACAAACTCACAACACAATTCGTTCGCATGAAAGTAACAAACAAAAAATTATACTTTCACCATCATCATATTTTCTTGGTTTTTCTCTATTTTGCGTATTTTTTCTTCGTCGTGGTCGTTGTTATTGTTGTTGTTGTTGTTACTGTTGCCAAAACTCAGCTGAGAGTTTGTGTAATGTGAGTGAGAGACAGCGCGAATGTGGAAACGTTTTGATACACATTTTAAACATGAAAAACAAAAAAACCACACTGTCAAAAAAGCACACTGCGATTTAACCGAGTGGAAATGAGCACGATGTCTGTATGAGTGTGTATGTTGAACATAATAATAGTCCTATGCTTTTGTTTCCATATATCCTTTTGAAAAATGTATCGGAATGAATTTAAATTGTTTGGTGTCCCTCTTGTTCTGTCTCTCTCCTTGAACATACACACAACCGCTAGAAATGTTTTTCCTTTTTTTCTTTCAATGAACTCTTTTTTTCCCTCAATTGGAAATGATTCATTTGCTTTTGAATGACAAACACACACACACACACACACACAAAGTGGCTTTCAAAAACAAAATCATTGGATAGCGATATTAATCGCAATGGAGTCGGATTGATAATATTTGACTAAAATGGCAAATTCTTTGAGTTTGAAGAACTTGATGATTTTGACAATCGTTCATTCGTTGTGTCATTCTTTCGCCGTTGTTTTTTTTTTTTTTCATTGCCATATAGATTCATTTGTTGTGTTGAATTGCTTGTGTCGTGAAGCGAAATCTCTTGTCGCAGAGGTCGAATCATGGACTTTTTTATTTCACCGAAAATGAAGAAGTAGAAGCAAGAAAAAAGGAAACCACTTTGTCTGCATTTTTAGACCGTATATTTTTCTTTGTTGGTCTCACTGGACTTGTACCGAATCCACACACAAAATCACACTTGTTTAATAATTCAATAAATTGCCAATTTTAAATGCGCTCTTTGCTTGTTTTATATATATATATATATATATATATTCCCTTCTTCTTCTTCCTATTTCACCCAATAAGCCAATTGTTATGTTGTTTTCGGGATAGAATCACGGCTGTTTCCCCAGTTCTGCTCTCTATTTCGCATTTACTCGGGTGTAATTGACACGCGATTTTCGCTTTTTTATTTTCGCTGAATATTTTATACAAATCATTTTTCTCTTCTAATTAAAATGCATTTTCACGAAGGTTAACACCTCTCTTTCGGTCGAATCGTTTTGCTTTTATTTTAGTGTTTTTTTTTCGCTCACATTTCGTACACAATAGAACCCGACAAAAAAAAAATTGAGAAGAAGTTTTGACTTTTTTCCTTTCTCCTCAACAATACACACAGGCAGTGAAAGAAAGCGAAAAAAAACAACTCTGTGCTCTTTTTTTTTGATCCAAACTAATCGAAAAAAAGGGTAACAAAAAAACTATGACTATTCTCTTCCATCACTTGTACATCAGAACGAAAACGTCACAAACACATTTCAATACAGACAATATTCGCGTTTCCTTCATTGATTTTTCCCCGTGTGTTTATTATTCTCTCGCGACTCGAAATGGAATACCCGTACGTAAGAATTGTGTGTGTTTTATTTTTTCTGCTGCTGTTTAGCTGACATATATATACACTATGGGGTTTTCTTGGCCCGTGTTCCCCCACAAGAACAGAAAGAAAATATCTAGAATCGATTCGAATTTTTTTACCACCGAAAAAAACAAATTTTTTGGTTTTTTTTTTTAATGGAAAATGAAAGAAAAAAAATCTTTTTTTATTCCGTTTTTTTTCTTAATAGTTGGTTCGACACGTACGAAATATAATCAGCGTGCACCACACACCACGGTTACACGATTTGGTTTGGCCTGTTGTGTAGTCACTCTCTCTGTATATATTTTTCTTGTCTTTGAATGATTTGCTTGCTCTCTCTCTGCAAAAAAAAAACTATATCGTCGTCGTCGCCGTCGTCGTTGTTGTTTTTTTTCCCTTTGCCTTTTCTATATACACTTTTGCTGTTACTGTGTGTTGTGTGTGAATTCCGAATGATTTCAGCACTGAAAACACTGGTTGGTCGACAATACAAGTGTTCCAGTCATCGAGCGCTCAGTGTGTGTATATTTGACATTTAACGCCATATTGGAATTTGCTGTCACAAGGCACATACATAGACGCGCGCGGTCGGTGAGTGTGTTTAGTCAAAGTGGAAAAACAGCTATATGTGCCCAGTTGTGTTAGATGGTATTTGTGGATAACACAATATCTAATACACGAATAAATAGACATATCACGCATACATGGGTATGAGTTGCCACCACCACATGAACAACAACACGAGCGACGACGACGCAAGACTTGTACGAAGTAATCACAGCAAGTGCTTTTTTGTGTGTATATACCCAATTGTATATATGTAATAACAATAGTTAATGCTCACATTCAAATTGGACTGGCTTTTTTTTTTCTGTCGCTTTCTCTTTTCCTCTGTGCGTGATTCTCTTTTGCTCTTTTGCTTTCGTCCAGTTGTGATTATTCGATAAAGTGAGACGGAATAGTTTCGATGGTGCGCGCAATATGCGTAATTGTGTGTTGTTTTGATATCAGAAAAATAGCAAGAGTCACACACCAACAGCACACAACAGCGAATATCTTCAGCCGCAAACTATCGACACATTCCGATATATGGCTTATATGAATCTCACGTCATGGCCAACAATCTATTGTGTCATGATGTGAAAAGCACAGCATAAAAAATTCACACGTTTTTTTATGACAATTTTTTTTTTTTTGGGAAAAATCAATCGATCGAATTTGCCGGGCGTGAGCACTAATAAATCGTAAAAATAAAAAAAAATCATACAAAACAATTTCATCAATTTAAAAAAAAACCGCGCCTTTTTCAACAATAAAAAACGTATCATATTTGGTAAATAAAACTTCCACCGATTTATCGGTTTCGACACAGTGTCGCATAGTGTCGATTCGAATCGACAGCTGATTGTCAAGCTGCATTGAATGGTTTGTTCGTTGCTCTGTGCGAGACTCAACTCTGAACGGTGTGTAATTTTTTGCACCATCCGCATCTCGGTCGTTCAGCGTGTGTCGGAAGAAGACAGTAAAATCTCTTTCCGTTCTCCTTCGAATCCGTTGATGTCGCAGCTGCGAGCGTTCGGTTCATGTTCGTGTCTAATGTTGCTTTACCTCAAACATCGGTGTGTGTGTTTGTGTGTGTGTGTGTGAGAGAGAGAGAGAGAGACACACAGAGAGAGAGCGTGAGAGATTTTGTGGTTCGTGTTTCATTTTCAGTTTCGTTTCACTTCCAATTCGTCTTCAACATGGGCATCATACGAACAACAGTAACAGTAACAGCAGCAACAAAGTTATGATCTCGTGTATTTGCCGCCGTGTTTGCCGTTCGCATTGACAGTGTGTGTCTTTCAATTGGACGTGAATTGACGTGCCAAACTGCGAAAAAACTTTCGTGTTTTTCAATCTCCCTATCTCAACCAAATCACTCACAAACTACACAATTTTTTATGTGCACCAACCGATCGACGAACTAATTTTTTTTACATCATTTACATTTTACCATATGCACATTCGCTGAACCGTTTTTCTTAATCTCGATGTAGTATTTTTCAATCGTTCACGCGATTTTGTTCACAAAGTTTTTTTTTTGTCGTCGATTCTAAAGAAATTCGTGCCTTTTCCGTGTCGTTCATTCAATTGTTTTCAATTCGTTCGAAATCATCATCAATTTTTTATGTGTGTGGTACGATAAACACCACGATCTCATCATACTAAATAACAAAAAAAAGGAAGAAAAAAAAATTCGAAGCATAAAATCTAGTGTATCAATGGTAATACCGTGAGAAATATGCGATAATTGTGCATAGTGTAGAAAATATTCAGCAGAACAGAGAGAAAGAGCAGAGTTCGAAACAACAACAAAAAATTAAACGGAACCACAAAGACGACAACGATTCCGAGCTCGTATTAAATGACATTAATGCACATTAAGTTGGTTTGGTTTATGATTTCAAAAACATACGACAAACGGATTGCGTGGATTTTTGCTGCTGCTGCTGTAACAGTTAATTAGAAAATTTTGTGCGGCTATTCGTTCCGTCTGCGCACGGTTATGGATCGTCTGGATCGTTGTGCGATCATCAAAGCAGCAACGGCGCACGGATTGCTGTGAGATTTGTTGTGTATGATTCGGCTTAGTGCGACGGCAACGACACACAGTAAGAAACACACAGCGGCCCAGCCAACTACAACCGATTGACGGACCAGTTTCATTTTGCATACAAATTCAACAAGTCGTTCAGAGCTCATTCGCCAATTTTGAGCTGATTTTTTTCCGCCGAACAATTTTTTTTTCATTGGTAACCGTTTCGTCGTCGAATCGTCCAATATGCGAAATTGCTGTGGTTGTGTCAAAATGCAAACCGGAGTGATGACCATCGGCTCAATTGGTATGGTACGTTAATAATATTGTTTGCTTGTTTTCTGTGTGCTTTTGTTGCTTTATTTAATTAAATCAATTAATTCAATTGATGCGCACGTCGCAGGTCTACGGGGTGAAAACATTTGAATGAAAACTACTACCAAAAAAATATGTGTGATTTGCGACGCACATTGTGCGTTCTTAGAAGCTATACTTCTACTATCGACTTAATAAGTTGAACTCATTGGAATTTTGAAAATGAAACGAGTCCATCATCAATGATAACCTTTTGACACACATCACAAGGAACACATTACACAACTCCAAAAAAAAACGTTCTTTTTCTGCCATTTCGGTTGAAAATGCTGCATGCAGCAGCACTTTTTTACTGTGATCATCAATGTTTGTGTTCACTCAATGTTTTTATTCTGTCACACACACACACACACACTCACACTCACACACACACACGGCTGTTGTGACAAAAACTGCTGACTACTTTGTTACAGCTCAATTACAATGGGATCTATTTATTTTCTGCTTAATGATTATTGTTTTTTGTTTATAGATTGCATCCATAGTGGCGTTGGTGTGCCAATTCCTGTTTATGGCCTATCAGAAAGTTATTATGAAAAATCACGACGATCAAGTGGGCATCAATTTATTTACATTCGTTCTGATAATGGGCATTGTTGTCTGCTTTTTCAAGCTAATTTCCGATTGTTTGCTGATTTACGGCGCGAGCAAGGTATTTTTTCGATTCGATTTTCAATTTTTCATATTGTAAAGGATATAACCTACAAACAGAGGATCAAAAATGGATAATAAGCTCTTTTTTTGACGATAAATGACAAATTGGAATCGATTGAGGCAATTCACTCAATCGAATACAGTTTTATCTAGAAATGTACGGAGTTTCTGATTGAAGTTCATTTTTTTTTGTTGTTGCTTTACAGCAAACGACACGAGAAGTTGCCGTTTGGCTCGCCATCAATCTATGTACAATCATTTATGTGTTCATCATCATGGTATTCATTTACGATTTGCTGGCCAATCACGATTCAATCGTAGAACATAGGGATATACTCAGTTTCGAAGCATTTTTGTTCATTGTAAATGGTAAGTCATTGATTTTCATTTTGAAAAATTTTCTCACGTTTTCTTGCATTTATTGACTTTATTTCAAGAGATACAGTCTCTGGCGGGTTATTTCTGTAGCCATTCTTGGCTTTTTTTCAAAATTTTGGGCCATTTTGCACACTTCTTGGCCGCTTTTTGCGACTTTCGATAACTCTTTTTCGTCATTTTGTAAAAAAATTTGGTTTTTTCTCGATAAAAGGTTTTTTCAGTTTTTTTTCTATTGGCTAGGCCAAGGACTATGACCATGCAATGATTATCAAACTGGCTTTTGTTGGTAACTTTGCTAACGCCGGCTTATCAAGTCAATAGTCCAAAGCGATATCATCACAATTCCGAATATCTTCTCTTTTTCTGCGTAAATCACATCAATTTTGATGCTTCATGTGTTAATTTCGGTCTTAATTGGATTTTCGTGAAGGTGATACAAGAGCAGTTCTTCTCTTATGAATATTAGTTCGGTCGCTGCTTAGTTTTGCTTTCAATTTCAAAACTTCTTCCCTTTTTAAATAATTCTTAAATGATTTTACCTCTCGAAAAATCTAATTTAATTTATTTGTTAATTTTTTTTTTGCAGCGTTCTACATCTACATGTGGTACCAGGTGTACATCTTTTCGCGTCAATTGGACTTGGATGGACGAACTTCATTGGAAGGAATTCTACAAGAAGTAAACGCAACAAGACCATAAGCATCTGCACGGTGTGTGACTTGGAACTTCAAAGAAAAGTTCCGGCAAAGTTCGATTTTCCTATCTAAATTTATAAGAATTTCCAAACTATTATGACCTTATTTCGAAATATAAGATGAAAAAAATTTAGTTTTAGGTTTGTACGGGTTAAGCCTTAAGGAAATTATTCGTCGTTTTCGCAAAAATTGTTTAAGTCGCTAACCAAATAGTAAGTGTACAGCACGAGATCGGTTAAAACATTCGTTTTTTTTCTCCATTGGTTTCAATGTAGTACAATAGTTTCGTGCCAATAGATATATTCATAGAAGTGTCTAGACAATTCCAATCCAATTCTCGCTTTGACCGGCCAAGTTTGAATTTTTCCATCAACACATTTTGGGCCGTAAGCCAGTTGAAAACTTGGTAATTTGATTGTTCTATTACATTTTTAACATCAAATTTTCAAGACCTTTCCAACAGTGTAACGTACGGTTGGATCAAATGGCCAAGTAAAATAGTCGAATATCGGTCATTGAAACTGTGACAATTTGAGCATGAGCCGTCCAACTTGATCATCCGGACCTAGAATTGAATTGAATTTATCCAGATACTTCTACAAAAAGTTGCATTTGACAAAAAATCCAGTAATTTCAACAAAAACGAACATTTTAACCGTTCCGTTTTCCTTTGTCCTGTACTATATACGTCGAATGACTGTATTTGTGCCTTATTCAATCGACTTACGCCAAAAAAATTTAAAATAATATCCAAATAACGAAATTCAAAAAGAAATCCAACTGAAAATATCAAAGAAGAAGAGAGAAAATTCTGTGAAAAAGAAAAAAAAATCGTTGAAAAAAATAAAATCCTCGTTAAAATGGATAAAAAAAACGTTGTAAAAGAAGAAATTTCTCGGAATAAAAAGCAAGATGTTTCATCGAAAATGAAAAATGAAGCGCTTTCTCGAAAAAAAGGACAAAGAAACGAAAAGAAACAATTCATTTTACAAACAACATTTGAATGAAGTACACACAATTGTGAAGTTGTGCAGCTAAAGAATGAGAACTAATCAAAAAATAACAAAGAATAATAATAAAAACAAAGACGAAAACAAGTCTGATGAAAACATGAAACGAAGAAAAACAAATCTCGTTTACAAAATTTAAAATATTAACGAAGAAAAAAACGTCTCTTAAAAGGGAAAATACGAAACTCCTCCAAGTTGACCAACCCATGACTCCCAGTGAGATACGGTGATGCCTTTTGAAGCACAACCAACTGAAACACAAACAATAACATAAAAACTAAATGTAAAACGAATTCAAATTTGTATTACCATTTTGAACTTAATTTACAACGTAATAATAAGTAAATGATAAAATAAATATTTTTTACAATATTTTACAATGAAAAGAAACAGACAATTCCATCGTTTTTGCGTGTTTATTGTTATCATCATTCAAACGATCAAATCATCGTATCGATTTCTATTGAAATTGACCTATCGAAAGAAAAAAATGAATCATTTTCTTTTGAGTGTGTGTGGCTTTGATGCGAAAAAAATGAATACGTAAGTATCACTTTGTTTGAACTGCGTTCACATTCTAACGACCAACGGTTTGACATTAGACGATGATAAATATTTCATCCGAAAAATTGGGATTTTTTTCTGTAATTCGTAAGAAATGGTGATATTGCCCGTTCTCCTTTATTTATTCAAAAAGAAACCGTCTTCCGTCTTATCGGTTTGTTGGTTTTTCTGACTGTAATCGGTTATTTAGCAAAACATTTCGGAAGAAATAATTTTTACCAGTTACCGCGTTATCAACTAATACAATTGTAAAAAGGAAGACGACTGATGGTCCATCAATCATTCTATTTTGCATTCAATTTCAATCGGTCAATCAGAGCAGAGCTCCTTCGTCAGTTTCGAGTTGATTTTTTTCTGTTTCTGTTGAAAATTTTTATCCATTGGAAACCGTTTCGTCGTCGAACCGTGTCCAACATGAGAAATTCCTGTGGCTGTGTCAAAATCATCGGCTCAATTGGATTGGTTTGTTGAAAATATTGTTTGTTTGTTTTTCTGTGTGCTTTCGTTGCTTCATTTAATTAAATCAATTATTTCGTAGCGACACTTCCAAATAAACGGTCGACTATTTGAAAATGAAACAAATCTGCTGATTACTTTGTTACAATGGGTTGCATTTATTTTTCATGGGTTGCATCATTGGCATTGTTGTCTACCTTTTCAAGCTGATCTCCGATGGTTTGCTGATTTACGGCGCGACCAAGGTACACACAAAGAAAACAATCAAACAAAAAATATTTTTGATTCGATTTTTAATAAAAAAATTGATTTAAATTGTAAATGATATAAACTCTAATTAAGGGTTAAGGAAAATAATCTCTTTCTTGACGATAATTGACACATTGGATCGAATTGAATTGACTCAATCGAACACAGTTTTACCTAGTTTTTGAAGAAATGAACGGAGTTTCTGATTGATTTTCATTTTTTTTTATAGCAAACGACACGAGAAGTTGCCGTTTGGCTCGCCATCAATCTATGCACAATCATTTACGTGTCCATCATGATGATGTTCGTCTGCTTTTTGTTGGTTAATCACGAGAAAATCGGAGAATTTGAACCTACGCCCATACACGAAGTGTTTTTGTTCATTATCAATGGTAAGACATCGATTAACAATGTGTATTTAACTCTTTGAGAAGATTTCTGGCGTCTTTTCCATATTTACTGTCTACATTTCAAGAGAATTTGTGACGGATTATTTCTAGGGCCATTCTTGACTTCTTTTTTTGCATTTTGCAAAGTTTTCGGCCGCTTTTTCAAGACCTTTGTTACTTTTTTTGGCTTTTTGTGCTTTTTTGCACAATTAATAAATAAAAAATGAAAAATTGATAATGGCCATGCCACGACTATCGCACTGGTTTTTGTTTGTAACTTTGCTAACGTCGACCTATAAAGTAAATAGTCCAAAGCGATATCATCACAATTCCGAATATCTTCTCTTCAATATTCAGTGTAAAAATCACATCATTTTTGATGCTTCATTTGTTAATTTATTCGGGTCAAATTGGATTTTCGTGATGGTGACACAAAAGCAACTCTTTTCGGTCGCTGCTTAGTTTTGTTTTCAATTTCAAAACATCTTCCGTCAATCCTGCCTAGAATCATTGCATTGGAATACAAATTTGATAAGCTTTCATTTTATCAACAGTTTATTTTTTTCCTCACAATTTTGTTTCATCATCTCTCAGCCAACATAAAAGCAAATCGGCTGATTTGATTTTTTATTTCGAAAATTAATCTAATTAGATTTATTTGTTAACATTTCTTTGCAGTGTTCTACATCTGCATGTGGTATCAGGTGTACATCTTTTCGCGTCAATTGCACTTGGATGGACGAACTTCATTGGAAGGAATATTACAAGAAATTTACGTGCAAACACCATAAGCAGCCAAATGTGTGATTCGGAATTTCAAGCAAAAGCTTCAACAAAGCTCAATTTTCCTACCTCAATTTGTAAGAAGTTAAGTGATTAAAATTTAGTTTTAAGTTAAGCCTTGAGGAAATTCTTCTACATCCCCGCCAAAAAATTGTTCAAATCGCTAGTAAGTGTAGAGGAACGGTCAAAACATTCATCTCCTAAAAGGGAAAATTCGAAACTCCCCCAAATTGACCTACCTCATGACTCTCAGTGAGATACGATAATGCTTTTTAGAACACAACCAACTGAAACACAATCAATAACATAACAAAATAAGCGTAAAACGAATTCAAATGTGTATTTTACAATAGATTTTTTTTTATTATTACCATTTTGAACTTAATTTAGAACATAATAAGTAAATGCTAAAATAAATATATTTTACAATGTTTTACAATGAAAAGAAACAAACAATTCCATCATTTTGGCGTGTTTCTATTGTTATCATTCTTCAAACGATCAAATCATCGTATCGATTCCGATTCAGGCGAGAGAATTAAAATCGATTATTCATTATCTGCAACAGAAAAGAAAATTGCAGTACCGTCTCTTTGTGTGTTGAATTGTCGTTTCTTGATTTTTGTGCTTAAATGAAACATTTTTTTTTAAATATAAATAAATATAATAATAATATAAATAATTTTTTAATTAACATTTTTTTTTAATGTTAACCTGGTGATGTTTTGTTCTACAGATGAATTTTCGTTACGTAAATATGTTATCTGTCCGTTGATGGAGAGGAAAACCAATTAAAATGTTTTAAAAAAAAATGTGTATGTTTTTTTTTTATTTAGCCGCATTTCTTGAACAAGTAGCACGGAGCACAACAACAATATCCTGATTAGTTACACTTTTTGCCTATATTCTAATCAATTTCTCTTAAACACAACGTATCTTAAATGCTATTTTGTGTATATTTATTGGTATGAAGAATATTTTGATGAGAGACATTTTGATTTGGCGTGCGAGCCCATAATTTTGTTTGTTTGCATGCGATTTTGTTTCTTCTTTTTTGTTTGTGAATTTCAAGCGATAGTTTTGTGAACAATTTCATTAAAAAATAATTATTGTGAATTTTTTGTTTCAATTCTGAATTTTTGGTTAGCATTTCCTTATAGAAAAACAAAATGAACCATTTTTATTTTATGTGATTTTGATGTGAATAAAATTAAAAATACTTTGATGCGTTTTAAATACTGACTTTTCTGCGTGACTTTTGCGCGTGTGTATGTATGAAGGCACTCCATTAACAAACAAAAAAACATCGAGCAACATTTTGACGAAAATGTAAATTGTATAGATTTGCTGTTATCAAAAAATGTCGGAATGCCATGAAACCGAATGTGTATTAAGCTTATATCCTATAATTTTTTGTTTTCGTTATACCTGTTAATCTTTGAATGCAAGGCCATTTGAATTGTTTTTTATTGTTGTTGTTATTATTTGCAATGACGAAAAATGAAGGCAATTTATGTTACGTAGAGCGTTGTTTTAGAATTTATTTCGTTCGCTGATTCGATGTTGTGCTGGCTTCACCAAGCACTTGTCTTCACACACTTTTATGCAAATACCAACCATCACCTCACTACAAAATAATTCGAATTGATAAGTGTGCGCATATGCAACACTTTTAAGTCACTCACGTTCTGTAGCAGAATGAAAAAAAAGAACGAATTGAGAAAGAGATAGTGAACTGAATTTGAGTTAGAGAGAGAGAGAGAGAGATGGAGTGAGATGGAGCTAGAGGGAGGGAGAGCAAGAACAAGAGAGAAAGAGTGACAATAGCAGTAGGAATATGAATTAATTGAAGTTGCTAGTGGAATCAATGTTAGTATCACTGTTTTTAAAACCACGTTTACTTTCAAATCAAACGATATCAAACAAATCCGTTTTTCTTTAGAGTTTTTACTTCATTTTGCTTTGGTATTTCCACAACTGAATCCAAAATTTGGATTCCGAATCAAACGATACCTGATTTGCTCTTGGAAGGGTTTTGTTTCCTTGTTCAAAATTGGTTCGTCTACTAAATCATCGATTGGACTTTATCAAATTTCTTTGGTTTCAGTCGTTGATTAGACGGTGAAAAAACCAATAAAAGATATTTCTTTCAAAAAATTGAAGAAAAAAATCGGTTTTACACCAATCGTTTGCCGAAATTTTCTCAAAATTCCCGTCGTGACCATTTTTGATAGGGTTTTTGAACAATTTTAACTCAAGTCATATTGACTTTAATCTTTTATTCAGTAAAAACCCCGTTTGCTCATGAGTTATTTTAATTTGTAGCAATAAGTTCATTTGTTCGATTTGGTCAAACAAAATCGCAAAACACCACTCGCAAAGGCTTGAAGGAGCCCAAAAAATCTACAGTTTCAAATATAGATAGAGCCATGAATGATGGCCTATGATGAGCTTCAAAGAAAAATGTTACTTCCAAACCGAAACCGAAACCGAAACCGTATTCTAATCCTTATAAATTCGATTGTTCTTTTGGCACAAGAGTTGATGTCGTTCGATTCGTTCTTCGGCACGGTGTGTGTATGCGTGGAGAATGCGCCTTGTGTATGCGATTCAGTGGTTGCTACGCATTGACCTGAGTCATCGTTTGTTTGTTTTGACTATAACGGTTTGTGAAAAACAATTTCCAATGAAATGAGATAATTTGCCAAACATCCGCTGCGTAATTAAGGAAAACCAAACAAAAAGTGGCAGCGACAGAAAATTTCATCAACAATCAAATCAATTGGGATCGTTTTCGATCAATGACATTTGCAATGACTGAGAAAACATGGTTTTGTTTTGACAAAACAAAAATTGAATTAAAACAAATGTTTGTTTCATCGTTGATTCACGATGAGGTAGAAAAATGTGGAAATCAATTCGAAAAATTCGTATTGTGCGAATGTGTCTGATTAAAATAATTCGCCTCAATTAATGGCCATGTATAAATTTTGCTGTGGGCCGACAGACAGCAACACGTTCCGTTCGCAACGAATATTTGCATATTCTACACTCTGCTGCTGGTGTACGTGTATATAGAGATTTGTAATCAATTAGCGTTTGTTCAGCTCATCTTAAATAGTTGTTGTTAGCTAACAAGTGCGAAAGCATATAATTTGTTCGGCGGTGTGTGCGGTGAAGAGAGAGAGAGAGAGGTGGGGAGGAAGAGTGAGAAAAGCCGGATCAAAATACGGACCAGAGCGGCGATAGTTGAGGTGGTATAAATTGGTTGGCTTAATTAGCACTCATTATTATCGTAAGGCAATAATAAATCGATTGAAATTTATATGTAAATCAAAGGTAATTTCGTGTGCGTTGTCTACAATCTAAAAGCTATCTAGCGAATACTCAATTTTTTGTTTTGTTTATAGCACAGAAAAGTCATGCAACAATTTTTTGTTTTCGTTTTCTTCGATTATAAAGCACAGTGAATCCACAGTGGTGCATTTTTTCCCTTCTTCTTCTTCTTCTTCTTCTTCTTCTTCTTCTTCTACAAATTTTTGGTTGATTTTTTTAGTGGCGCTTAAAAATGGCGCGTATGTTTCATTTATAATGGGACATCTGACCTAGATTAAGTGGTTTTTTCAAATCGCTGTTCCCTTAAGTGTTTAAGTTTAACGTGTACAAATTCAAACGGTTGAATCGGTCTGGCTAAATTGAGATAGACGTGTATATGTATGTGTGGCCGGCCGCGAAAGGTGTTTGGAAAGGGAGACGCGCGCGTGCTCAGAGAAAATCCTTAATACTGTTTTTTTTTCTTCTTTTTCATTTTGTGAACAATGTTGAATAGATATCACAGCACAAAAACCTATTTGTTTTCATTATTTGAATTGGCTAAATGGGGGAATAGTGTGTCATAGGATGGCGGATTATCGTCTTTATCGTCACTCGCCGGCACTGTTGGTCGACCGGTGTGATGTGTTGATGCCGTAGCCGATGTATAATTATCGCCGGGCGTATTGAATGCCGTCGATCGTGTGTTATTCGCATAGCGACGATCATGTGCTGTTTGACCACCATTCGATGTACCACCATTTACACTAGACCTACCCTGAGTATCTTGTTCTGGTAAAAAGCAATCCTTTATGTGCCAGCACAGCCACAGACATGAACCAACACCAACCAGTGTGAAGATCAACGATGTTAATGCACTGATCACAATGTCTGTGTTGTTGGCCGTCGCTTCTTTTGATGCCACCACAATGGGTGGCTTTGGACAGCGGCCACCCTCATCAAAACAATACGGTGGCGGACAATTGTTGATGCCATCATTTTCCAGTGTCTTCGATATGCACGTATTTCCATAGCATTTTATCAAATTTGGTTCGCCACAATCTAAACGTAGGAGGAATAAAAATGGAAAGAAATTTAAATGAGATCACAGGATCAAAGGTCAAAGTAAAATAATGGAGAGTCGAAATGCACATTAAGTGTGAGTTTGTTTAAAATGTCGATTTGAAGGTTGTTGGAGATCGTTGAAAGGTTGAAAGAATCACAAGCAATTCGAAGCATAGATGAGTTGAAACCATAAAAGCGAGTGCACAGAAGAGTGTATTAACCAAAAAGACATTTAAGAAAGAAACCTTGAACAAATCATTCATCAATCTTGATGAATCTTCTCTCTTGAGAGAAGGAGTTCGAAGAAAGAGTTTGAGGAAGGATTTCAAAAAAAGGAATCTTGAAAGAAACTCATTAATTCGAAATTTTCTTCCAAAATGGAGACATTCGAAGGAGAATCTCTTGAGAAAAAAACCAGAAAAAAGAAGATTTTTCAAATCGCTTCAACTTTTCTTCTTTCCCTGTTCTTCAAGTGTTTCCTTCCAACTTTCCCTCCTTCGCCCCGTTCTATGTTTTCCTTGATCCGACTCACCTTCATTGGCAGTAAAAACCAATTCCAAGTCAAGTGTATCGTCAATGTGTTTGAATGGTAGAGTTTTGTCCAATTTCAAGCGAACTTCAATCACACCGCCACCCTCACCAAAATAGATTTTCTTCACATCATCGATGGATGCATTCAACTGGCCGCAATATTTGGGTGATTTCTCATCGCCAAATGTAAAGCGAATATAATCGATGCACTCTTCTGAATGGAGGCTTTTCCGTAGATTTAATCGTCGTATCGATACGAAAACACCACGATTTCGTGTTTTATCATCGTCAATGCTGGACACCACTCTGAATCGACAATCGTCGTAGCGCTATCGAAAAGAGATTAAACAAAATATTTTAGTTCCAGGAAAGAAAAAGAAGTTCCAAAATGAAAGAACGAAAAACTCGTTACTCTCGAAATGGTCAATTTTCTATTTCCAGAAAATTTTATTCCGAACAATCTATCCAATTTATCGGAACTCGGATGGATTTATCGACATTTTTAATTACATAGTGACAATGGGACCATAGTGCATAGTGATAATCCGATAAATGGGATGGATTGTTCGGAATCGGAATGAAAGTTCCGCTAAATTTTCTGACAGCACAATGGAAAATTGACCATTTCGAGATTTTATTATATCTAGATTGTGTCGATGATCATAGAAAATACCTTGAATGTGGATGAATTCCATGTGAATTGTACCAATGCTGCCGATTGATCATTCTCGCCCAGCTTCACCTCTTTCATGTTGCGAAAAATTGTGTTGAAACTTTTCGTCAGACTATCTGATGACGGACATAGTTCGGAGACAAGACCTACCACACCGAAAATAGAACAAAAACAGAAACGAAATAAACAACATCAATCCGGAATCAGAAAAAAAAAACAGTTCAATTTGATATTGGCATGATCCATGGTCTGCCTTTCACACTTACGGGTTTGGTAAGCAAACACTTCGCTCAATATAAATAACAATATGTTTAGAACTAGTATTTTCAAATTCATGGCAACTCAATTCTTTTATTTTCACACGCACACACTGGCACTTTATATTCTCGATGCAATTCACTCGGTCTCTGTCTGTCCCGTGATGAAGGAATCGAACGAAACGAAAAAGATGACGATCTAAGTGAAACAATGCGAATTTGCGTCGATTGTGTCGCCTGAGTTATCACTTGTGTCTCCTTCAGAGAAAAGAGATAAAAAAACAAACAAACCAACCCGAACGAAGATAAAGAAACCAAATTAAAAGAAACTAAAAATAAAAATGAAGAACGAGTGCCACTTATTCGATATACACAAACAGCTTCGATACATTCGGCTCTCGATATTTAATATGAAAAACAAAATGTACTTTGTGTCTCTCTTCTGAAGGTGCAGATATTTCGAAGATCAAAAAAATGATTCACGATTTTGGCGAACACACACACACACACAGAGAGAGACATGCAGTTTCGTGTTTCGTTGGGCAAATAATTTTTCTATTCACATGTTCTCGATGATGGGAAAAAAAAAGATTAAACCACACAAAAACTAAACTCGATATTTAACTCGAAAATCTTTTCAATTGTTTTGACGTTTAATTTTCAGCGAGCAAACGAGTCTCTATAATATTTGCTGGGTACTCTTTTTTTTCTTCGATGTTGTGTGTTGTTGCTCACTGCGACTTTATTTTCATATTGCTTTTATTATTGTTCTTTTCGCTCTGTGGTTCAGTCTTCCTGACGTCAGTCAAATCGCATTTCGTATTTTTACTTCACTTCTCTTCTTCGTTCGTCGCTGCTCTCTCTCTCTCTCTCTCTCTCTCTCTCTTTGTCTCGGTCGTAAGAGTGTAAATAAACGCTACTTTCAATACAAACACAATTTAACGAACGAACGAAGAGACAGAACACAAAAGAAATCACACAAATGAACACAACCAACTGCATGAGCGCGAACGTTTCATCGTCGATGACACCAAAAACATGTCGTTGCAATTTTTGTGTGTACAAGAAAAAATTGATTGAGATAAAAATTTGTAAAATTAAAATGGGATTTGATGAGTGATGACTTTTTTGCTTGGCTTCGATTTTCTTTTGTTTGATTCGAAATTGCGAAGAGAAAAATCCGTTTGCTTAAAATGGGTGCGTTCAATGAGGGTCTGTCGTGTGAGAGACCATTGACTAACTGTCATTAGCTTCAATTTAGATCTACCATATTGAATTTAATACACCAACACACAGACAGAATACCTTGTCGACTTGTCACTCCAGCCTAAATGTATTGTGTATATCATACGACAGCTCAGCCAACGAAACAAGAAAATACACAAAGACAAAAGAGACATTGTCGTCGTCGAATTATTATTTTTTCTATATCCATCGGTGCCGATAAACTTTTTCGTTCGCCTTCTCTTCTGTTTCGGTTCTGAACAAATTCTCTCGCTTTAATTAATGTCAATTTTGCTCTCATCATCGTTACTGTCGTCGTCGAGTAAATTGTGAGCGTAGAAATTTTTTTTCCTGTTCAACGTGATTTTGCCAACACAAAAAACATTTGCGTGTCAATTTTTTTTTTGGTCGGTTCAATCGGCGTATTTTCCGCAACGCATCTGAGGCTACACAGTAGTGAAAGAGAGGTGACAGAGGACGTGAACTATAGCGAAAGAACGAGAAGAAGACGATTTGCAGTGTAGAGAGAGAGAGAGAGTGAGAGTAGTGAGCAGAGGGAAATTTTGGATTTATTTTAGTTCCCCGTGCGGTGGTGAAATTCAATTAGATTTTATCGACAACGACTACCACTAACACATCCGACCAAATCGAATTTACGGCAAATTCGTTACGAGAGAAGAAAGAAGCTGAATATTATTTATTGATATATCATCATTATCACCAGGCGAATAAAACATGGGTTTAACAATATCAAGTGCATTGACGCGTTTGTTTGGCAAAAAGCAAATGCGCATTCTGATGGTTGGTTTGGATGCGGCCGGTAAAACTACAATCCTGTACAAATTGAAGCTGGGCGAAATTGTGACCACCATACCAACGATCGGTTTCAATGTGGAAACGGTTGATTACAAAAATATTTGCTTCACCGTTTGGGATGTGGGTGGTCAAGATAAAATTCGACCATTGTGGCGACACTATTTCCAAAATACACAAGGTTTAATCTTTGTGGTCGATTCAAATGATCGTGAACGTATTGCCGAAGCGGAAAAAGAGCTAAAAAGTATGCTAAAAGAGGATGAACTACGTGATGCGGTCGTATTGGTATTTGCAAACAAACAAGATCTACCGAATGCAATGAGCGCCGCCGAACTCGTCGATAAATTGAATTTAAATCAATTGCGCAATCGAAATTGGCACATACAAGCCACATGTGCTACACAGGGCAATGGGCTGTACGAAGGGCTGGATTGGCTATCAAATGAATTGGCCAAAAAGTGATTCATTTTCTCGGTGTGTGTGTGTGTATTGATTGTGTGTCCGCATTCCAGAAAAACAACAAACGAAAAAACAACAACAACAACAAACAACCAACAACCATCGCCAGCAACGCCAGCATAAAAACAAACGAAACAACATGAAAATTAAATAAGAGAAAAAACGATTCCAGAGTGTAATTTGTGCGTGTATGTTCGTGCGGCCACCACCAACAACAACTTCATCATCATCAATAGCAAAAAGCAAAACTATGAAGAAAAAAAATAATCTAAAATTTATTTTTTTTCTGTTCTTTTTTTTTGATAATCTAAATTTTAAATCGATACACGTAGTAAAACAAAAATTGTAAAAGCTAAAAATTATTGAATGAAAGAGAAAAAAAAAATAAAAGAAAAAATTTGAAAAGAGAAAAAAAAAATGTATCAAATACGCAAGCTAAGGGAAAAAAACGAGTATGAAATAAATAAAATGTTCCAAGAAAGCAAATAATGAAGCGAAAAAAAAAAGATTTTGTCTTTTTCTCTCTCTGCTCGTTAAAATCGGCCGTTGGCGTCAAATCGAACAGAGACGAAGAAGAAGAGAAGAGAAAAAAACACCCGAAATCCAACTAACGTATGCATTATTCGACACTTTTGTTCAAGTATATATGAAGATAGATAAAGGGCCCGATTTAATATTACCGATTCAAATGCATTTCATTTGTTTACACTAAAAAAAAAAGAAGAAATAAATATAATAATAATGAAAAAGAAACATTTATATAGATAATTCCATGATGATAAAAAAGAAAAATATCGAAAAAAAAAACCAACACATCACACTGGCATTTTCATTGATTTCATCACAAAACGGGATGATTTTTTACCTCTGATTATCATTATTGTTTACATTTTTCAGCCAATTTCGACACTTGCGAGTCTGTTTTCTTATATATTTAGCCTATTCACATGTATATGTGGTCACCAGATATTTGTTCGGCCTCTATCCTGCATTTTTCGTTTCAAATCTCAATAAAACATCGTCACCGTGTTTTATTTAAGAGCATTTGTTTTTTCTGTCTGTTTATTCATTTTACATTTAATCAGTTTACTTTGTCGTACGTGTGTTAACAGTACACGTTTCTTTTCAGTTCGTCTGCTTCGATTTCACAACCGATCGATTCGTAGCAAGCGAGCGAGCGAGAGAGAGAGAGAGAGAGAGAGAGAGCGAGAGCAGCAGTAAATCGAATTGCTAATTCAATAAAAAAAACCGATGATGCAGTCCTTTTTGACGATCACATTAAATGCGTCGACATTCCATGCATATATGTATGACCGCTAAGATGAGGGTCTCGAACATGGAATTCTGTCCATTATTCATGTTTGCCTATTTCTTCCGTTCTCTATCGCTCTTTTTTTTCAATATCTTTTGTTATCATGAGTTTTTCCATTGTCGTTCCTAATTGTATACCGTCTGAATACACCAAGACACATCAAAGCAAATAATAATGCGATATGTCAATTGTATTAACAACATACACACAACCTACTCTATCTATCATCCACTGTCGCTATTACCGATATTTGGAATTGAAACAAATCGTTTGGGTGACATGAGTAAGTATGAATTTGTGAAACATTTTGAAGTATGAAGCGATGAGCTAGTTCCCGGAGGAATAGAAGAAACGGAGCCTATAAAACTGACAAGTCTCAAGAGTTGGTTCCAAGAATCAAAAGATTTCAAAAACCATGACTAAAAAGAAGCAAAAGCCTTAGAAGCCTAAGAAAAAGCAAAAGTCCAACCAAAATTCAGTGGATAGTAAGAAGAGGAAGCCCAACGAAGGTTCTAGAACAAACGAGTTCTAAAATGCAAAGTCCCGCTCCGAGATTTCAACATAAGTCGAAAATAATCGATTTCATCACAGCTAATGAGTCAAAATGAGTCATAATTACTAAGCTATGCTGGCATTAGGACAGGATGAGATCATGGAAAATTCGTTGAATTCAAAACGCAAAAGATGGCATCATTAAAACGACTCATTGACAATTGTCGTTCACTGTCGCCGATTTTTGTTTTGTTTTCTGCTTCGCTCAACAGTTTACGAGCGGCAATGTTTATAAACAATTGACTCAGATAGTGTTTGTGAGTGAATTGTTTTTTTGTTTGGGCTTCATATAGGCAAGCTCGGTATAAGAAATCGGTGATTGTTTATTCTGCATTGTTTTCTGTCAAGCAGACGCTATATTTTCGTTGACACAAATAAAAATCGAACCATTTTTTCATTGCATTTCATTCTTTCCCGTCTCATTTCAAATCCAACGCTGAATTCCGGTAAACATCGCCCCGTGCATACGTTGTTTATTAACATGTCATTGTGTGGCCGTCAGCAGAATCAAGTGCAATATGTCAACACACAGCAACGTATTCAATGCGTTGAATAGTATTTAGTGAATACTATACACATGTACACTGTCACGTGCTACGCGACGTACACCGTTAAAAACTATGCTTTAAACGTCACAATAATCACTCGTTGTGTTTATGATTATGAACCGAATAGAGAGCAAGAGCAACGAATCAAATATATTACACATATTACCTAATTCAGTGGATGGTGTTGTGACCGAAAAACAGCTTGGCCGAAATGTCGCTGCAAGACGTCCGTTATTCGAATTATTTTGTGGCTGGTGTGGCTGCGATGGGATCCACGATTTTTACAAATCCACTGGAAGTACGTATCGTGTGTGTGTGTGTGATGACAAATTGACATTGAAATTTATTTAGATCGATCAGGCCCTAAACTGTGTGTTGTAGGTGATAAAAACACGTCTACAACTTCAAGGTGAACTCAAGAAGCTCGATCCAAATGCTCGGATTTATCGTGGTGTACTGCATGGATTGTACCAGATTGGTCGATATGATGGCATCAAAGCATTACAGAAAGGCCTGATTCCAGCGTTCGGATTTCAATTTTGCCTCAATTCGATACGGTATGTTGTAATACACTCATATGAAATCTACTTGACAATGAACACGATCGAATGATTAGACGAAAAAAAAAAATCTCAACGAAATTTCGGTCAAGGATTCATTTGTCGACGTCAGTTTTCATTTTTTTTTCTTTCTTGCAGTTATTTTTCAAGTTTTGTTCAGTTTTTCATATAGTTTTCTTTTGGCTAGCCTTTTGTTCTTCAATTTTTTCGATTTTTTTCATTTTCTTTTTTCATTCTCGAGCCATTGATCGAGTTCATCCTCAACTTTCAGAAAATTTGATATGAAACATTTGACTTTTGCCTAGACTTTTGCTTTTTGCTTCCATTCTCGTTGCGTCGGTTAATTTTCTGTTTCAATCTTAGTTTAGGCATTTTCGACACGGTCACAACGTTTGGTTGGACAAAGGATAAAAATGGTCATATGTCATTTTGGCGCGGCTATTTCTGGGGCGGCCTTTCCGGATCGATAGGTTTGTATCGGATATTTTTTTATAGAGAAGATCAGTGTCTTTTGAACAATTTTCCATTTTTCTTCAATTTATTTCTTCTCAAGTAAAAATGTAATCAATCCGTATCTACCGTTGTTGTTTTTTTAAGGTTCATGTTGGGGTTCACCGTTTTTCTTGGTAAAAACCCACATGCAATCATATGCGGATGTGAAGGTGGCCGTTGGCTTCCAACGCAATCATGAGGGAATGATGGCTGCATTCAAGAAAATCTACAAAATTCGTGGCATTCGTGGCTTATATCGTGGCGTCATTGGTAAATTACCAATGTTAATAAAAAATGTGTATAATTTTTGGTTATAACAATTTTCTTTTCAATTCACAGGTAATATTCCCCGAGCAGCTCTGGGTAGTGGTGCCCAACTGGCTACATTCGAACCGTTGAAAGATTATATGGCACGAAATGATTTAAGTTTCTCCAATAAAACGTTCAATTCATTCGTGTGTTCAACGATTGCCGGGTCGACAATGGCCGTTGCCATCACGCCACCAGACACAATTCTAACGAGACTCTATAATCAACCGCTGGACGAGGCTGGCAAAGGGAAATACTACAGCGGTGTTTACGATTGCTTCGTGAAAATTGTCAAAACGGAAGGCTTCTCTGGATTGTACAAAGGATTTTGGCCATCATATATGCGGAGTGGGTTACTAATACAGTATTTTTTGAAGTTTTTTTTTAATTGATCCCTTCATTTCGTTTTTTTTTTATTCAAATATCAATAGTCGCACCACATTCCACACTAGTATTGCTCTTTTACGATGAAGCCAAAGCGATGCGAGACAATTACTTCCCACTGGAATAGCAAAAACAATTTTTTTCCTACTAAATTGTAAATAGGTGATTGAGTACAAATATCAAACAACTCTTTTTGGGTTGGACACCCAAAGAAGACACTCAACGAAGAAAAAAACAAAATGTAAATAATAAAATTCAAATGTAAAAAAATAAAAATTGAAATAAAAACCGAAATCGAATTTCGCAACAAGTCCATTGAATTCGTTTAGTTCAGTGTCAACAGTAGGCATTGAACGTGCTTCGTGTGCACCCGTTGACATTTCACAAGGCATGTTACAATAGCACAATAACAGTCCAGTCATCAGTCGTAAATACGCAACTTACTTTTGTATTTGTTTCATTTGAAAGAGACAGCGAAAAAAAGTCAAAAAATTTGGATTATTTGCATTTTGCACGCAACGATCGATCGAACAAGAAAAAAAAACTATTGCACTAAGGTGTGTGTGTGAGCGTGTGGGCGATTTGTGTGAAACGACATTTAGTTGAAGAAAAAAGAAAATATGTCGCATTCAGATAGTGAAGGTTTTGAAAGTGCTGAAGATGATGATTTTGCTGCAACAAAACCAGCAGCTAAGAACACAAAACCAGCAACGAATCCAAAAGCACCATGTGCCAGTGGTCAAACCACAAAAAAAGAAGTTGAAACGTTGGATAAATTCAAAGCATTAGATGTAAACGACGAAGGGAACGATGGTGATAATGATGATTGGGGTTGGGGTGATGATGATGAAGATGAAGATAATTTTAAGTTTGAATCAAAGCAGCCAGCAACGACAGTCAGTGAAACACCAAAGGTTGACACCAGTGTGACCGCTAAACGACTAGTACAATTGGGTAGTCGTCAAGAATCGGCTCAACAAGTGTCTGGTCAGGAAGAGTTTAGTCGACAAGAGCCAGTTCGACAAGATTCTACATTGCGAAGTCAACTCGATACTCCATCAGCCTGGAGCCCATGGTCAGGCATGGTATCATTGTTATCTACGGCCTCGACTGGTGTAGCATCGTTTACATCGCATGTTTCGTCTGTGATTGAATCGAATATCGGTATTCCGGATCCGGAGAGGTTTGCCCAGCAACAGCAACAAGAGAAAAATGAAACGGCCACACAAACAACAGGTGATCAAGCCAATGATACACAGTCAATCGATAGTAGACAACAGAATGAGGAGAAACTACTGAATTTGGGCAGTTTTGTGTCAAACGTAACATCGATTAGTAATCGAGTGATTGCTGGCGGTTTGGACACACTCGAAGGTATTGGCAAAAAAACAATGACAATCATCCAGGAAAACGATGCTGGTCTGATTAGCAAACGTAAATTACTCGGTTTGGACAATGAAAAGCCAGTATTGTCACAGGTACTGCGTGAGGCCAAAGAAAAGTCGGAAGAAAGTGAAAAAACCATGAAATTGACACAGAAAAAACTCTATCGAAAGCAATTGCATTTTGAAACACTGTTCGATGATTATCATGGCCTTGTTCATTTGGAAGCTCTTGAAATGTTGTCCAAACAAGCATCACTCAAATTACAAGCTCTACTTATGCCACTCAGCGGTATTGCACTGAATGAACTGCAACAAACCATGAATTCGGTGAACGAATTGTGCGAACTCAACGAATTGGATCAAGATGATACACCAACGCATTTGTATGATGTGACCGAATTGGAGGATAAACTGAAAACAGCCACCGAAGATTTTGATATTCCCATCGATTTTACGGATATTTTGGAGTAAGTCTATCCTATCTAATTACTTGCTTTCCTCTTCCTAAATACAATTCCCTATGTCATTTTCATTGCAGTACATGGAAAGAGAATCGCGATTGGTTGGATACAAAAACGGATGAGCATCAGCCGCAGCAAATTCACGATAATGCATTAAAATGTTTGGCCAAAACGTCGGCATTGGCGATCAATAAATACCATAAATTAGCGGAATTACTTCTAATTAAAGATCATCACAGTACGGTTAACGAATCCGATTGTCTACTGCAGTAAGTTGTGCCTCTTTCTCTCTTCCAAGCCCATCATTTCGAAGCACAAAACAATTAAAAGTCATGTTTTTCTTCCAATTTATTTAGATTGACGAATACATTCTGCTGGCATTTGAGTGGCATTGCAACCTTGTACAGTGACAAATTAACCAACATTACGCCTAGTGATCCAGAAATTCAAAGCAATAGCCTAATTACAAACATTTTCTTAGAGGTATGTTGCTCAAATTGTCAAAGTTACAATCGAATTGTTTCTAACCATGAATGTTCCTTCTTTTCTTTGCAGGGTTCAAAGAGTACGTCATACATTCAAAATGGATTTCAGTTATTTATTCCGATTTTACAAGTTGGTGCCGTTTAAAACCTCACCCAAAAATTTGATTCTTCATTTCTCTGTTTCCGAGCACCTTTGTTCAGCTTCTTTTCCACATCGATCTTACTTTCTATTGTAATAGGGCAAGATATGAAAAAATTGTAAAAACAAAATCCAATTTCAAGCGTTTTTTTTTTATTGAATAAAATTTTTTTCGAACATTTCAAATAAATTACACAGGTTGTTTTGATATTTTGTTCGGTGATAAATTTTGGATTACATTGGTTATTCAACTAAATTACTATGTTACATTTACAAAAATAAAGAAGAAGAGGAAATAGAGAATCGCCATGGAATTAGCGAAATTTGATGACGGAAATTGACTCCGATCCAAATTAGAAGCTTTTATTAGTTGATTGATGGGTGACATTGAAAATAACCACCGTTCACGATCGACGACCAATTGCAACGGCATGGAATGCTTAAATACACGCACCCGAATGTAGGTAATTCAAATCTGGAAAATAATAAACGAAATTTATGAGCGTGGATTATGATGACTTTGATGATATTACTATTATTGATGACTTTATGAACATGGAATAATTCGTTATTAGTTGGAAAACCCTAGTGACGTGTTGGAATGAAGAAGAAAAATGAAAGACTCAGTCGAATAGAAATAATAAATTCTAATAAGAAAAGCCCAATCAACTTGAGACTTAACGTTCTGGTTTTTATTTTGCAAATTTAGAAGAAAAAAAAATATCATTCGTTTACCCAATTTTTCAATGTTGCTCTTTTTCTTGTTGGAAAAAAATGTTGAATTTTCTTTAGTTGTCATTGACAACTTGACAACTTGACAACTCAAGTTCAAGTTGAATTACTTTTCAATTTGGTTCAGTTTTTTCCTCTTTTTCGCCGTTCTTTTCTTTCAATCTAGCTTTTAATGTTGTATTAGTTCTCAATTAGAATAGCCGTTTCATTGAGACTATTCGTTTTTCCAAGATAGAAAACATTTAGAATCTAAATTTTAGATGTAAAATGGGAGATTTTTGCCTTCAAATTTTTTTCTCTCTCCAGAAAATTCCAAACGAGTTTACATTCCATCTGAAAACGTTTTTAAAAGTTTCCTTAAAATGAGCATGGCTTGATCACTTACTTTTGTTCATTCTGTATCGAGCGCAAAGCAGTGCTTCGAATGTAATGTATGAATGGCCATCGGTTCCGCATACTTGGAATTGCATCAGAAGACAGAAGAAAGAAAGAAATGATATGAATATTAATACGTTTGCACCCACATATGGTATTATTTATGCATTTATTTCATTGTTTTATTTATTTATCGGTTTATTTGGTATCGATCGAGGGCTTTGATTCGAAGCTTTAAATTTTTTGAACAAAATGAATGGTGAATTGAGTGAATGATGAATGATGAGTTACCAACCTGGTGATGCGACTGTAATGTACTTTAATTTCTCGGGGCAAATGTCAGCATAATCATCACAACGACCGAAATGAGACAAGAACAAATCTGCTTAGAGATCAAGGGAAAGAAAACTCAATTTTTGAACATTTGAGGCTGGTTTTCTTTGACTGATTTCCAACGTAACTTTTTACCATTTTACCAAATTAGATCAAAATCTTCGATGGCTCTCTTTTAACAATAAATGGACGAATGAGATTTACATACGATAATTTGTACTGACTCTTTAGACCGATACATTACATAGTTGTAAAAAATTCTCTCTAAAGATTTCGACTTCCTTTGGTAAAACGGTAATTTTTTTCTCTCGAAAAAGTCAGCTAAAAAAAAAACAAAAACAAAGAAAAAAACAGCGAAGAAGTAAAGCAATCGACGATTGGGAATATCAAGTAAGGTAAGTAGTCAAAGGTAAAACAAAAGCTATTAAGCATAGAACGGGACCTACATCGATTATATGGTCTTGAGCAATCGAGATGATGTTCAGATCGATAGGTGCGTAGATCGCTGCCGCAGGCTAAAAACTTGGTACGTTCAGTAATCGATGCGGTTTTGAGTGATTCTTGCATTTTGCGTACTTTTTCGCAGCTCTTCTGTACCGGATTTCCGCATGCACCGCCAACCTTTTCTCGCACATGTTGCAAACCACCGGCCGAGCAAATGGTCTGAAATGGATTCTCGTACGTGTGATTGTAGCTGGTGCAAATTGGGTTTTTCTCAAATAATCGACGTGACGATGAGCATGCTTTCACATGGGCATTACGGCCTAGCGATCGATACGTCTCATGTAATGTACAACCGCCTTCGTGAAGCACTCGAATATCTGTTGAAATGCAACAAAAGTGATTTAGCCCTGGAGTGTATGGATTTGATGAAGGGGAATAAAGTATATTTTTTGCATCATTCAATAGATTAAGAAGCAGTAGGAAAAAATTAAATTAAGAGCAGTAGAAGAATAGGATGTGAAATTGATCAAAAGTGATAAAAACGTTGTTTCTTCGAACGAAGCATTTCATTCACAGAAGGCACGAAAAAATGATAATACAAAAAAAAGCTACAAAGTTCTCACCTGGTTGTAAATCGCGTAGACATCGCACCTGATGAATGTGACCATACGTGTAACCGTTACTCGCACACACTGGCGCCTGTTCAGGCCACGGTCCTTGCAAATCGCTATAACTCGGACAAACAAGCGGATCACACTCACGATGATATATGATTCGAACATCTGCAAGTACAACAACAAAAACAATGCAAAATCAAACGTAAACAACATGCGAACTTTATTCATTTACACGCTCAATTGCACAATTTATTTACGCTCGACTATACAACCACTTGCCGATTTACAATTTATCGCCACTTTTTTTTCGGTATGCTCCGTTTCTCTTCATTCATTTTGAAACGATGACTTTAATCTAACACCAGATTCTTGTGATTCATCGCAGAACTATTCGAATGAGAATTGAGGCAAGAGAATCTAGGGGCTAAAAGAATATTGGTGAAGGAATCTTTACTGAAGATGAAATTTTTTTTTATTGTAATCGATTAACTTTTGTCATTCGTGCAGACCTTTCGTTATTACTGGCCCATTTTATGATACAATTTTTATTTTTTGGTATATTAATTGGGATTCTGTTCTTTCTTAAGTAATAAGATTTTTGGGCAATTAATTAATGAATTCCTATGAATAAACATATTTTATTGCCTTTTTCAAACATTTCTCCTTCATCAACTGGGTGAATGTTCCACTTGAACTAATGAATGTTCAAGAGCAACGCAAATGGTGTTAAATTTGCTTTGAAATGACTTTCCTGACTGTTATTTTTCAGAAAAATAAAAGATCTGAGCTAGAATTTAGTCTTCACTGAAGACTTTTCAGAGAGGAAAGGCCAACTTAGTCTAAAAATAATGATAAGAGTACAAAGTTTTTAGTAAAAACAGCAACCGCGAATAAAATCGCCGCTGCAAATATAAAAGAAGCTCTCATTTGCTCGATGTACCCAGATTGTGAAGCTTTAGACCTTGACATGATAAACGAATCCGATTAAATCACCCTCAAGCGATTTGCAATTCTCACGTTAATCTTGATCGTAAAAAACACGTTTTTATTCACGGTGTTAACAACTCAATTCCCTCGAAATTATTAATCATGCATAAAAAAAGAGCCCATCTTCAAAGACTATCGGCATACAATGGAGCTCTTGAACCGAAGTCTTGTCTTGAACTCAATTTGTTCCGCTGATCGTAATGCAAACGGCTTTTTGACGCGAGAAAATCGTATTTTGTTTAGAATTTATTGATTGACTTGCAATATCGAGAGTTATATCGGCCAAATTAAGAGAATAGACCCTGAATGACAAGCCCCTCGGTGTGAATGCAACGCGTGCGCCGACGATCCTGTGAAAAAGCGCAATTGTTAAATTCCATTTAAAAATTACGATCGAAAATTTAATTAATTGTGAACACTGAACACAACCAGATGTATTTTCATGACGTCGCAAACCGCATGACGACGTCGATGCACTTTGGTCAACAGCAACAAAATCTCTAGCTTGATTCCTTTATCGCACGCGAGCGTGCGGCCGTTACTTATGCAGGAAATGCATTGAAAAACTCTTCGCTCGCTTTCTTCGCAGCAAATAGCTTAAAATGAGATTAGAAGTGTAAATAAATAGCTGAATCGTTTCCAAAAGTTGCTACTGACTTGCAAACGATTTAAAAACACAGTTCGTTCATAAATTTAGCCAAGCTAATGTGAGCCGCTCTCTATCTGCGCAATTTTATCATAATGAAATAGCAAAGATTTCAATTTCAACCTATATATTTTCCAATTGTTCGGCGCATTTTATTGAGTCATGTCGAAAAATGCGTTTATATGCCCCGCTCGCACTGTGAGTGAAGCGGCTGATGATGATGCTGCTCACAGTCGGTGCAATTTCAAGCGAAATGCAGCCAATGTACGATTGAATGACTTCACATGTCTGTTAATGAATAGATTTATTGTAATGATGCCATTTATATCAGATTAGTTGGTATTTTATCTAATCTGTAGTTAAAAAAGGCGAGAATGCGCTATTCGGTGCACATTTTTCGATTGGTTTCGCGAATGGAGCGAATGAGAGAGGGAATTTGGTTTGTCACGGTGGCGAAAGAGAGAGAGAGCGGGGAATCAATTCCATTGTGGAACAGCATGAGTGGATAGCGAAAGCTCTGAGTAGAGAACGATAGAGAATGATAGAGAACGATGGACAACGATGGACAACGAAAGAGATCGAGAATGATCAAGAATGATCAAGAACGAGAGGCCGAGAAGGAGAGAGAAGAAGCTAGAACTAGAGAGGAAGACAGAGACGAAGCAATAACTGGAGAGAACGATAAAAAATGAATGAAAAATAGAGAAGGAGTGAGCGAAATAGAATGAGAGAGAGAGCGACGGATCAAGAGAGATAGAGTGACCGAGAAAGCAAATTTGTGAAGCAAAAGAGAGCAATAACGAGAGATAGAGACCTGGAAAACGGTCAGAAATTCTTTAAAAACAAGCGATGTGATTGATGAAAAGTGATGGTACGCGGAAAACAATCACAAAAGAGCACCAACCGAAGAGTTAAAGCAATTCTGTGTATTTCGTGTCAAATGAGCTTCATCACTCTACAGTAAACTCTACATGCACGATGCAATCGTAGCTGAGATATACTTACGTCGATTTCGTGGCCGTTGACGATTGAAACAGTCCAATAGGTCTTTGTTACCGTAGGTTTTCATATCGCTGCCGCAAATTGGATGATAGTATGGATTGAGAACACATTTGTGGCCGTTGGCAATCACACTCAGCAAACCTGCAATACGTACGAAGGTATAGTATCAATTACGGTTGGTTGTAAATGCTTAACAAGATGATTATTGGCCTCTGAAACGTTGGGAACACGTCGTTTTGAACGTTTTAAATACGTTGTTTTTCCCTTCTTCCCCTCTTTCCCTATTTTCGCAACGTATTTTTTCCTATTCTGTCGGCATCTTGTCGCCCAAACTGCTCGGGCCAGTCTCTTGTAACGATTTTTTCCCTTCTTATTGCAAAATGCCTTTTCCCTTCGTGAATTCCAACCATCGATTCAGTGACGTGATAAACACATCGTTCATAATGCTTTTTTTTCCTCTTCGCTCCATTCAATTGGTATTAATAAATTCGCGAAAAAGTTGTCAGCTAATAAGTCGATTACATTTTTATGTGATAGAAAGACACCGTGTTTTTTTTCTTCTCTTCTGTTGTTCGCTCGTTGCCACTCAGCGCGTAACATTAAATCATCGATTGATGAATAATAATAGCTGAAAAACGATACACAAAGCACCGATATACATGTTACTCACAAATCACGGCAATCGATTAAATTATCGACGGCAATAGGAACAAGTGCTACCACATACAATAAACACACAATATTTTTTGTGCGTGCGTACGAGTGCGCGCGAGTGCGCCAATCGATCAAGCGCCTGCATTTAAAACATCAATCGAATCACGCTGGTGCATGCTCGTGCGCGCGCTCCGGTTCAGAGAGACAAAGTAATTTGTTCCATGCAAAACTTAATCAGGCAGCGAGAATACACACAAATTTCCAACTTACATAACAGAATAATTACAGAAAATGATTGATATTTCTTGACAAACATTCTTTCTTGATTCGTTTTGCACTGATGGTCGTCGTCGTCGTCACCACCGTCGTCACCGTTGTCGTTTTCGTCGGCAAAGTTGTTTGACAAATTTGAATTTGTCGCGATCGCGAGATTTATGTGATTGCTTGCACTACTTTGTGTTGTGAATGATTTTGGTTTTACGGGGAAGGCGAGGGGGCGCACCGTCGTTTAAATCGGATACGATTTCGCTTTGTCTGATCAAATTCGCGAGTTTAATCGGTTAAGATTGCAACCAAAATGGCACAAAACCAAGAATTCTTTTTTCTGCTTAACAAGAATCGAACACGGCAGAAAACAGAAAAAAAAACAATAAGAGAGAGAAAAATAAAATAAACAGCCAACGAACGAGATCGAAAAATGATCGCGCACGCGGTCACACACAACAACAGCAACAATCAAAATCGAATGAAGCGATCTAGCGCCAATCGCTCACAAATTGATCGAATGTCTAACTGTTTGGTTTCGATCACACACCAAATTCCATCTGACACACACCGAATGGTGTTTGGCTGTTGTTTCGCGAAATCGGTACGGCCGTTTGTAAAGGAAACAATGTTCGGTTTGAAACCTATCGCTCTAACGGTTCGTAAGCAACTGACTCGAGATAATTGAAAATTTTCGCTTTAAAAAAAAATCTAACGATTCGTAACAACAACAAGCAGTACAAATCAGTCGCTTTGGCTTGAACTGGCGGCGGGTGCTTTGCTCGCACTCTCGCGAGCGCGCACATGCCATCACACACTAGATCTTACTCGAGTTAATATCGATAATGAATAACGATATTATATTTTCTATTCTGTAAACATTATGCACAAAAAAGAAATGAATTCTACATTGCACAATATTATTAATCGAAATGGAATGACGAATTGAAGTTGCATTACCGAATCCAATCGTACGTTTAAACATTTTCATTACAAAATGTAATTTGCACTTTTAATTAAGTTCTTGTTCTCTTTCATCTAATTCGATAGTCGATTTAATGATTCCAAAGGGTATAAATAACACAAAGAACAACTTGTAATCAGTTCAGTTTTTAACAGAAATCAATAAATGCACATAGTGCTTTGATATAGAAACTGTTCTCATAAGTTTATTTGTCTTCATTACAACATGTAGACATTAACTGGGGGCTCAACAGGGAAAGTTTGAAAAGATCTGTGTTATTCTCATAAAAAGGTGATTACACATTGAGTCGAGTGTAATAATAAAACAGTGAGCTTACTTTCCTGAACCGAAAACGAGCAAATGTTTGATTAAGAGATCGAAATTTTGAAAATTTTGTGAGAATCAAACGACTGGAGACAGTATAAAAATAAAAATTGTGATTAACTTGTGTGGCTGAAAAAGAGCTTATTCCAATTAACAAAGACGGAACCTTTACAGGTCAACGCTGGGAAAAACGGAAGGCAACTCGCTTCAACGTTGAAAAAAGTGAAAATAAACACTATAAAATTAAATGTTTTGTTATGAGATCAGAATTACGAGAGTAATTTGTGATAACAAAACGACTCAAAATGAATATAAATAAACCAAGCTAAAAGCTTAAAATAAAATCAATATAATGAGTATTCAACGTGAAAATTGGGTTCAAATAAAAATTTGAATAAAAAAGAAGAATTACAAAAAGTTTAGTTTGGATTTTAAAAAATTGTTAGAATCATTGCCACTATTCGTCTTAACCTCTACCGTATGACCATGTACTAAAAATTCAATCGGGCAATTCATCGCATGACATTAACATAGCTGTCAAATTATCAGCCATATTGACGCTCATTTATTTCAGTTGTGTCAAATGTGTTTGAGTGTCTTTATAAATAAAACACAATACAGAACGAGAAAATAAAAAAGAAACAAAAAAAAACAGAAACATTTCGACCGTTACCTTTGATTATTAACTTCATTTATAGTATTATCAAGTGATTAAAATAAAAAAAAGGTTTAGCAAAACTATTTTGTGGAGTTTAGAAAAAAAATGCCAAAAAGTAGCGATAGCAGTGACGATGTTGAGGTTGATGCCATAGAGACGACAAACATATCACCCAACGTGGAAAGCTATTGCAAACGAACGTTCAAATGGACTTCTTTGTTGTTAGCTGAAATCAACGAAATTTCATTCTGCCCATGTGAAGATGCACAGCTTTTGAAGGAGTTGGAAAATGTATTAGCGGCACTTGACGATGAAGGGCTCGTCATGAAATGCCTCACCATAATTAAAGAAAAATTAGAAGAAGCAGACGTTGAAAATAAACTCGATACTACGCCACCTAATCCATCGAAAAAGCGCAAAACGGCAGATGTCCAGCTGCCAATAAATAAATCAAAAGGCCTCACATACACAATGAAAAACATTATCAAATTTGTAACTTTATTTAAAGCGGAGGCGATACGTTTGAATGAAAAGCAAGGGTATGGATCAGCAGATGTGACTAACATGTATCAACTGGAATCGGATGCAAAATTGTCCAAGAATTTACTGCTGGAAGCTCGTGAAAATCTAAAAAACATTATAAATACGATGAAGGCAAAAGGAATTTCATCTGTCGCTAGTACATGATTTTGTCGAATCAACAACCGAACAGAACATCGAGTGCGAACGAAAAACCATTTTTTTTTCCATTAAATAAATTTATCGTCACACAGCTATTAAAAATTTATCTGTTCGATTCCATTCGAGTTTGCTGCCATGTCCAATTTTCAACTATTCAAAAGTCAAAAAAATAAAAGTCAAAATTAAATTAAAAAATATTCAATAAAATGCACAATCAGCACAGAACACAAATTTAAACATGTACTGATCAACCGAGGACGGTCAATTTTTTTCGAGGGAGAGAGTTAACGTAACGTAATATTTGATTTCTATTTTACTTTTTAATTAATACACAGTTCACCATAACATAGCTTATCAATTTGAAAATCTCAATAATAGAACAAAGAACTTGATTCATTTCCAATTAATTTTAATTAACACAGAAATATCATTACACAATAAATGCACACCGAATCAAGTTATTCGTTACACCAGAAATGCACATCAAATTACATTTGTTATAAATACCAAATTGTATTTAACGTTTTCAGTTCAGTTGCAGTAGAGAAAGATCAATAAATATACATAGTGTTCGAATCTTACTATTTGTAGCTGTTCTCACTTGTTTTATTCCATCGAAACATTTTATCGTTCCTACAATCATACACGATTGTTAACTGGGGGCTCAACAGGGAAATGTTAGACAAATGGACAAAAATAATAATTATTCAGTAACAATAAGAGCAGAAGAAACAGATGATAGACCATCAAGTATGTATATTTGACAACATTGTTAAGGTTTCTTCGAAGGTGTGGTCCCTTATCGTTATCAACCGCACATCGAGAGTGTGTGTTTGGTTTCTCTCTCTCTCTCTCTCTCTTCTGTTCTATTCTGCAGTCGCCGTTCTCTTGTTCACTCACACGATGGACGCAATCAGTCTTTCCCTTTTGATTGTGCATGGAATCACCTGTCTCTTTCTAACTTGTGAGGGGAAAAAGGGAGGGAGAGAGAGCGTATAGAGAAAGAGAGTGCATGTGTCAGAAAGTCACAATAGAGTCGCGAACACATGTTCCATGATATGTGCAATATATCAAAAGATATCAATATTGGTGGTGAAGCGCACAAAATTGGAAGAAGACGGACATTAAAGTTGGTACTCACTGTCAAATTGTGCCCAAAACCTAGAGAACGACATAGAAGCCGCCACAACAAACAATCTTCGTTTGATGAGATGGAATCTTGATTCGTGCATGTACGCGCGATGCACTCGACTCTTTGCTATGTAGACGGATCTTTCATTGCCTACAAAATCAACTATAGCTTGAATCAAGCAATGCTTGATGCGCTAGAGATTTTCACTCCATAATAGCTATGGAATCGTTGACATGCTAAAGTCTTCACTTGATCGAGTCGATACGCTGAGCGCTCTCAGTTGGCTAAAATTGGCCGAAAGCACAGTAACTGTAATTGAACTGGTTGCATGCTCGTTTCAGTTTGCTCGACTATGTCGTACCCTTTGAACTTATTTGTGACAACCTCTTTGTTTACCAACAATGACCACCGCAGCGAGCGAACAGTGTGTGTAATGTGCATGGTCATAAATTAGATTTGCCATTTGACAAATTTGTGATTGGTGTCTGTTGTTGTGACAATCAGTATGAATTATGAGATATTCTTAGTCAACTTACCGAGCTGCAATTTCATTCGTCGGTTCATTCATCAGTTTTTCGTCTTTTTCGTCATCATTTTTCGGAGCTCGTCATTTTTGCACTTGTTGGTGCTTTTTTTTCGTGTTTCTAGTTCTTTCTTCGTTTTTTCGTTTTTTTTTTTTAGATATTTTCAGATCTTTTCGTCTTTCAATAACTGTTGCGTTGCGATTGTTGTTTGAAAAAACTCGTTTCATCTCAATGGCTCCTACATAGCGACTACTGTTGGCCATTTCTGTCCAATTGCCGTTGTTTTTTTTCGTTTTGTTGTCGTTAACTGCATTCGCACGCAAGCACATTAGATGCTTCATTTGACGCATTACTTTCATACCAACGAACCGAGAGTCAATATTGCTTTGTACAGCATCGAATCGAGTCAAATGATGCTTATGATCGGATTAATTAGTAAATTAAGCGACCTTTAACGGTTGTTTGCCGGTCAAAATATTTGAATGGTAATTCTATTGACTAGATCGAGAGGAGAGTAAGTTCATCTGACTTTGTTATTGAAGAGAAGAGTAAATTTCTTTCGACTCAAAAATGGTTAAAGGCGAATATGTTCATTTTTGGCGGGTCCTTGCGGTTTTCCACGGTTTCCGCGGAACTGATAAGAGATAACAACTTGATGTCTTCGGCAAAGTTGTAGCACTCGAATTCTTCTATAACATTGCTGAAGTCAGTTATCTCTTATCTCTTATCAGTTCCGCAAAAAGCGCGAAAAATGATAAGAAAAAAAAAGTTCTATATAAAATTTGCTTTTTTATGTGCGCGATTTGCGCGCAATTGATATGAGATAAGAGATAGATGTCTTCAGCAATGTTATAGAAGACCTCGAGTATTACAACTTTGCCGAAGACACCAAGTTGTTATCTCTTATCAGTTCCGCGGAAACCGTGAAAAACCGCGGAGGCTAGACGGGATGCCAACATACTTCCTTTTAACGCAGATAGAATCAACAGTAAACATACTCTCCTCTTTCAAAATGTATTAGAATTTTTTCACATACTCTCCTCTCGATCTAGTCAATAGAATTGATGGTCTCTTTCTTCTTACTGTACATTTCAATCCTCCTGCTGTTCGCTCCTCTCCTGCTTTTCGCTCCTCTCCTGCTGTTCACTCCTCCCCTGCTGTACACCTCCCTTCTCGTCTGCCCATTCATCGGTCAGCGCGTCTCAATTGACTGAATCATTTGCATTGGAATCTTGGTCGAGATTTCATAAAAACAGTAACAAACATTGAATAGAGATAGTACACCGAATCGAACTGCATTTGTTGTTGCTTTTTGTTTTGGTCTTTGTGTTTGTTTGTTTTTTTTTTATTCATTTCTCAACTTCATTTATTTAATATCTTTCAATAATAAGTAATGTACAATGTTCTTTTCATTATTATTATGATTATTATTATTTGTTTTCCACTTGATTTGTCCTCAAACTCATTCTGACAATGATGAACAATGGAATGATAGTATAGCATTTAAAATAAGACAAACTTAATGTACGTTTTTTGTTTCATCTTCTTGAAATCGGTTCATTTTTAGCACTACATCAAATGTAGTGTTGTTTGTTGTTGCTTTTAGCTAAGATTTTCTTTTTTTTTTATTTTGTTAGCTTTGTTCAATTTGTTGTTGATTTTTTTTCCTTTATATTTTACTTTATTGCAAATAAACTATATGTATTAACAACTCGATGAATGTCTACGTTCGCACACACGACCAACGAAAAAGAATTTCAAAAATAAAATTAGGCGAATCGATGGATATTATTCGAGAATTCCAGCGCGATCGTAAATCGATAATATCGAATTGCATTGAAAATCAAATGATGACGATGATACACATGAACGTTTTGCACGATGCCCTCAATTTGAATTTAAATAAGAAAAAAAAAACTAACGAAAAAAAAAATCGATTGAAAATAGTCTTTATGGCGGGAAATTCATGAGAATATCAACGCGGTGGCGATCGATTTTATTTTCTTTCGGTTTTCAACTGAAATTTTGCCTCAGTTTAGCTTCAACAACATTGTTTACAAATTAATTAAATGCATGATTTTTTTTTATATGTTCAACATTCGAGAGAGAGAAAAAAGAAGTAAACTAAAAAAGGGGGGAAATGAATATGGAATTTTATGCTACATTACTGGTGTGTGTTGGTGTGTGTGTGTGTGTGTGTGTGTGTGTGTGTGTGTGTGTGTTTATATATATTTTTCTTCTTCTCTTTTTTTTTGCTTTATAAACTAAATACACTCTAAATTGTTGTGCAAGAGAAATCTAGAAAACGCAAAATAAAAACAAACAACGAAATTTTGTGTTGTCGTAAAGGACTAAATCGCCAGCGAACATTCAATCTCAACTCAGAATTATGTACTGTTGCCGATTCAGGCTCTTCATTGAAACAAACAAAAATAACCAATTGTGATTTTTGTTTTGTTTTTTCTTCATCTTCTATCGCCTTGTCTAATCTGGTTTCCTTTTAAAAGAGGACCCTTTCTTTGAAAAGCATTGCCATCGTCTACAGAGAACATTTCGATTGCATTTGTTTTTTGTTTTTTTTTTTTACCGGCGAGAGATATTTTGTCTTGTGAAGGACATTGGCCATAAGATCATTCGCGCTTTTTGTAGTGGTGGTGGTGGTGGTTGTTGTTTGTTAGAGACACTCTAACATATTAATGATTCATGCAGTTGTTTGATTCAAATAAAATTGTGTATGTGTGCATTGGGCATGTTTCAATCCGAGAAAATTCTCTTCGAAAATGACGACCGTGGACCGTGTTTGATCTCTGTTCTAAACTTTTTTCTTCTTCGGAACTTTTCAGCTCTTCTATCTGTTCTACAATCGTCACAATTTCCACAGGCATCAACTTCAACACTCAAATCCTAACACTCAATTTGGTGCGTGCAACATATTCTAAAAAAAGCCATCTCATGCAGGAAATTTGTCACATTCTTTTCTCACCCATCTCATACCAAAGCATCACACTACTATTATTAAAAGAACTTTTTTTTTTATTTTGTTTGTATGGAAATTCGGATTAACAACTGGAACATTTTGTGGGCTTTTGTTTTCATCATCTGTTTCATGTTCTCAATCCATTCTCATGCTCTTTCTCTCTCTCTCTCTCTCTCTCTCTCAACCCTCCGCTATCTCGCAATCTGTTTCTCTTTCTATTAGTGATAATTTCTCAATCACAGCGCGCGCATATCATCTAAAAAGTCATTTTTATATACTCAGTACATCTTTACAATTATTTTCAATTTCATATTTATATAATATATATATTCTTGTTTTCTTATGTTGTTGTTTTTGTTGTTGTTGTTTTCTCATTTCATAGATCGTGTTAACCATTTATAAGTATGTTTCTTTGTTACTTTTTTTCATTCTCTCTCCCTCTCTCTCTCTCTCTCTCTCTCTCTCTCTCTGTTCACATCTCTATGTCTCTCCTGCTTTCGCTAACTCACTTTCACTTAAACAGCATTTCGGGCATATAACAGTTTATAGTATTCAGCTCGCCTAGAATTGCACCCAGTTGGCGTTCGCTTTTGGTGATGCCTGAGGCTGTGGTGTTGACTGGCTACTAGAAAAGAAGACAATTTTTGAATAATTAATCATGTTTCGTTTCTTGACAATTAACCTATTTTCCAAAATTTCATTACGATTTATAGATAAACTAATAGAGATAACTTTATTAAGATAATTATTATCTTGGATTCAAATTTTACGGGTTGAGTGATAAAAAAAAGATAAAAATGGAGATAAATTAGAAGATAAAATGCGATAAAAAAATGCAAATTTTATTTTAGCCCAATTTATTCAAAAATGACTGAATGAAAGGAAACAATTGGAACAATTTAAAGAAACAGGATTGTAGAGTGGATTCGTTTCAGTTTTTATAGCTCCGAGAATATTTTTTATTCAAAAAGTTTCTTCCCAAGATTTGATCCATTAAAACAGTTCCCTTGTAAACATTAACTTCAAAGGAAACTTTTTGCTCATGAAAGTCGAAATGATTTTAGAAAAAATTGGAAAAAAAAAGAAAAAAGAAAGAACTCACAGAAAGAGAAACGCAAGAAACGTTAATAAATTGTCGAATTTCGATAAATTTGAATGAAAAAGGAATGAAAATTGAACAAATTTGATACAGCAAAATAGGGAAATCTGAAGAAAAGCTGAAATTTTTCAATTTTTTTTTGGAAATATTGATAAAATTTACAAAATTTAAGGAAATACATCGAAAAAATGGATAAATATGGATCGAATATGAGTTTGACAAGATCAACAATTTTTGTGAAGACACCAATTCGATATTTTTTGTCAATAAAATTAAAATCGCCAAAAGCCACGAGTGAAACATACTTTATCAAAATATAAGTCGTCAAAAAAAATATACACTACTCTCAATCTCACCCATAGAAATGAAAATACCCAAAATAATTCAATATGAAAAACGAAACAAATTCGAGATAAAAAGTGGGAAATTTTTAAAAAAAATGGAATAAAAAGTCAAAAATATTGAAAAAATTAATAAAAATAAAACAAAAAGTGGTTTCAAAATTCACACACCTGTTGTTCGATGACGGTTCCGTTGGATTCGATGGTGGTGGTGCCAATTTTATGCCACCTGGTGGCGGTGGAAACGCGCCCGTTGCCCCGGTACGTGTTCGCCGTGACGATTCGCTGCCATCTTTTTTCTACAAAATGAAAAAAAAAACATATCCCATTAACGAAACTAACAACGCAATTTTGAATGTTGAACAAATAACAAAATCTATCCATTGAATCATAATGCACTTTATACCATGTACATCGCAAATGCTATCTAGTTTTTATCTAACTGTGTGTCGCAATTACAGCATATTTGCTAAACAATGTTCAGTAAACATGAATCCGATTATAAAAATAGAATACAGCACCAAATCACATAATTTCATACGTTGAGCAAAGATTTCAAATGTCGAATTCGTTCTGGCAGAGAAATCTCTTATACTAAAGTGATTTGCGGACAATTTTGTGTCATTTCCACCAGAAGAATGGAAATACTGCTCATAAGTTATAGTGAGTCATAGCATGAGGTATTCCGAATTAGAATTTTCAAATACTACATTTGCTGACAACGTCAATTTTTCAGAGTCAATTTTTCAAACAGAAAATTTCAATGCGTCTTCCGAGAAATTAGCGATTGGTTATCGCTATTTATACGAAGTTGTCGGTCGTCCAAATGGTCAATGTATACATTCGTAAAGATCTGAATGCAACGACACCATTTAGACTTGAATTTTTCAATTCAATCTCATAAAAAAAAGCGTTCGGCTCAAAACTGCCGCATGAAACCTCATTCAAATGTCGATCAAAACTGTGCAAATAATCCAAATCCAAAAGCGATGTTCAGACCGCTTTCAAATCCAAACAATGTTCCGAACAATGAGATATTGTTTATCGCAGTTGTTTATTTACGCCCACATTCAGTGTACGTGTTAAATGCTGAGTGTGTGACTTACGGTGATTTTCATGTTAATTTTGATGGTTTCGCCTTCTTTGAATCCTAAATCAAGCTCGGGTCGCGGTGTTACTTTTTCTTGATCGATTTTCTCTTGGTTTTTCACCCATTTAAAATGATCCTGTAGGGCGACATTCAGGTCAAATGAATCGGATCGATCGCCAAAGCCGAGACCCAAAAATGCCGTTCGACCTAAAAAATAAGGACAAATTTATTTCCGTTTAATCATCATCAACAAGTTCGTTGTTTGCTACGATTTGAAAAGAGAAGCATTTTTTTTTTCGTTGAATGAACGAAAAAAGAAATGTTTATAAACATTGTTATTATAATAACAGAGTGAAAAAAAAGCGCTGTCTGCTATCATATTGTCATTGGAACAACACATATTATCAACGCATATCATTCAGTGTTGTGAGAAAATGAAAACAATGGAAAAAGTTTTCTGACAACAGTTGACCTTCGTACTGATAACCGAATCTCATATGTAAATGAAGCGAAATGGAAAGTGTGTGCCACACACGATTTGGTGCGAGATTCAATTAAAAACTTCAACGAAGGAGAAGAAGTAGGAGGATAAGAAGAAGAAGGAAAAAAGAATCCACTCATATTTACCATTGTCATCGACGACACGAATCACGAAATACCTGGAACTGTCACTGACTGCCTCAATAGCAACACCTATAAGATAAATCGAATCACAAGAACAACAACAAATAAGAATCGTTGAATACAATGAATGCTGAAATTTTTGAAGGTCACCATACATACACACCGAGAACGGTATCGGTGTGTGTGTGTGTGTGTACGTGTGTACCATTGCATCAAATGGTCATTGTTATCATTCACCAAAATTTTAATTGGATCAAAGCAAATAGCGATAGAAAAAAAAAATTGAAGAAAATTTTGGTCGAAATTCCCACCTGGATATGTTTCAACTGGACAATTGGCATACAATGCGCCCGTATTTTTATCCTCCAATTTGAGATTGACATTAATACCTTTGGCCACAAGTTTCATGCGACCAGTCCACAGTGGTTCACTTAAATTCCAGTTTGCAGCCCTGCAAAATTTGAAAAGAGAAAAAAAAATTCATACACGTACACAAAATCCATCCACATGAAAATCAATTCCGAATTTGTTCGTTGTGTCATTTTGGCGAAATTGGTTTTTTCTTCCTTTCAATGCTACACACTCGCAACTCTCTCTCTAACTTGCGGAACACAGAGTGAAGAAAAGTGGATTCCGCAAGATTGAATTACACGACACAGTAAATGAAATATCGAGCAAAATTTCGTTCTTAATACCTGTGCTTTCTATTACTACCAGCTGGTGGTATTTTATAAACAAACACTTCTTGTTTAATCAACAAAATGCTTTCGTGGTCATCCATTTTTTTTTCTTTTGCTTTTCTCGTTCTTTAAACTAAATCAACCAAAAATAACTAGAGTTATGTTCGTTGTTTGGAAACTTCCGAAATATGATGGTTCGATTGCAGTTTTCTCTGTTCAAACAAAAAAAAAACCCCTAAGCACAAAACTCTCGCACGATATACACAGAGAGAACACAACGTTGTTGTTGGTCAAAATTGATAAATTCCTTGTCTTGTAGCTCTTGCTCTTGTTCTCTCACTCTCACTCACTCTACCCGTTTCGTCGTCGCTGCTTTTTTTTTCTTCTTGCTTCCTATTTGATTTTTTTTTATGTGTTACAAGCACTAATGCTCATAAATTTTGACACACCACATACACACACTGTATGCGCGATTGTAGGCAAATAGATGGAAGAAGAAGAAGAACTATTTCGTTCACTGACAGTTTGCCATAGTATCCACCACGCAAATATGCACGCACGAGAGAAACAGAGAGAAAACATCTTGTATTTGACTGCAGCATATTACGATACGTGTATGACTTTTTGTTGCCATATTCGAGTCACTTGGATGTGGTGAAACGTGTGTATGTGTATGTACTTGTCGTGTGTTTTTTCTGCTTTATAAACACATTCGAGCTAACAACAGATGGCGCAATATGACTTGACATTTTTTTTCGCTGCTTTTCACACAGCAGACTCACTGACGGACCGAGGTGATTCATCCGACTTTCCAATCTGCAATACTACGATACTTGTGACTACTTTTTTTGCATTTTTTCGGGGGTTTTTCTTTTGGAGGTGAAGAATTCTGTTTTTTTTTTCAGTTATTTTCCAGTTTTATTTCTTCTTATTTTTACTCGTTTTTCCTTATTTTTTCTTCAATTTTTCTTTCTTTTTCTTTATTTTCACTATTATTGCCTATTTTTCCTTCTTATTTCCTCCATGTTTAACCCTTTTTAATTTTTTTTTCTTTTTTTTCCTTTTTTTCTCCTTTGAGAAGGTCTTTAGACGGAATGAAATCTTTTCTTTCTTGAAGAAGAAGCAAAAGTTCCTTCGTCCAAAGAAAAAAATCTTCTCCAAATTTTTTTTCGTCGAATTCTTCTCTGAAAAAAAAATTCTAAAGAAAAATCCTAAGAAAATTTCCTGAAAAAAATTCCTGGAAAACAAATTCACCAATAAAAAAAGGCCCACTAAAGCATGTTTATTCCTAATTATACATGTGCATTTTATTTAATGTGTTGTCATTTTTTTCATCATTTTTTCGTGTGTTTTTTTTTTAAATTTTAAATCTTCATTAATTAATAGTAGTTTGTTTTTCTTTCATTTGTATTTAAATTGGGTTTTGTTGGTTGTTGGGTTTGTTTTTCCTCTCATTTTTGTTTTGTTATTTGTTTTTTTTTTTCATTAAATATTCCACTCCGCACGTTCCTGCCTATATGCGAACCATTTTTTTGCTTTTTGAATTCATTTGTTGATCGTTTCTAATTGAGTTTTTTTTATTCGATATTACATACACTTACGTATTAATAATTTAGGTATAAATTATAGTTGTTTTGTTATTGTTAGTTAAGTTAAATTTTTTGGGTTTGTTTTCTTTCTCAAAATGTTCCACTTAAATATACGTTTGCTATTATCATAATATGGATTTGATTGTTAAATGGTTTTTTTTTGGCCAGAAGAAAATTGGGGATACATTCTATGTGGTATTGGTTATGGAATTCATAAAAAAAATCTCCTTTTAGTTTGGATGATTATTATCGTTGGAGAAAAAAAAAACGTATAAATCAAAATAGGTTTGATTAAATCAAACCGAAAAAATCCAAATTTCATACAATTTTGAATGAAAAACGTGTAGAAAATAAACTCGGTGCTCAAACGGAGATTCCAAATTGGTCGGACGTTGTGCGTCGGTGAAGCAAACAAAAGAGATGAGAAAAAATAAGTTAAACCATAAAATGATGCACTCTGAATAAATTTCTCTCACAATAAAACGGTGCATATAACGTATTCACTTAATCAATAACAATTCTAACGCGATAAATAAATAAAATGTACAAATATATTCAATATGCATGGTTGACTTTGTGTTTTAAAAAAGAAAATCATAAAAAAAACAGCTTCATATAGAATTAATATTGGCTTAAAGTCAAGAGTGACAAATAAAACATGGAAATGATTTTCCAAAACATAGGAGGCGGCAAATATTAACACGTTTAACGCATGTGTGCAGCATAACTAGCGACGAATTTGTCATCTCGGTGACACAATATTTTTTTTCATATAGAAAAAAAGAGAAAACAGGAAGAGAGAGAAACAGACAAAAACAAATTCCAAGGCTACCGATATATCTAAATATTATGTTTCAACCTGAATTTCGTGTGTGTTTCTCTTAAACAACTTTATGATTTGTGGGTGAGTTGATTACCAACTGTAATTGACTGATGAAAGTCGACTGAATGGATGATTTTGACCAACATGACTGCGATCGGATGAGTTTCTTTTCGGCCAAATCGAATCGATTTAGCCCATTTTCATTGGTTTTTTCTTATACATTTTGGTTGTAAATGAAATTGTGAAAACTGCTTTGAAGGAAGAAGAAATGTCAACGATTCCTTTTTTTTGTTTCGCTTATGTCTTAATCAACATGTGAAATGATTTTTTTTTTTTGAAAATTCGCTTGATATGTGCTATTTAGACAATATTTTCATTTTGGACCTTTGCCGGCGGCGCACTCATTTTCTAAGGAACGTAGAAAATCTACATTTTAGGGATGAAGCCGTTTGCTACCAAGTTGATCATATTTTTAAGGAAAATTCTATTGGATGGCAAAATTAATAAATTTTTTTTCTTTCAGATTTTTTGCATGGAAATTTTTCCATTGAAAATCAAAGTTCGATTATAATCGAACGCCTGGTAGAAAATGGGTCACCAGATTTCGTAAAATGGAATATATGGAAATTTTCGAAATATCCGACGTTCCCTAGAAAATGAGTTGATTGAACCTAGCATCCATTTTTATCTTCCGACTGATTCTGGCCCAGAATTGAGGTGATCCTGTGCTAGCTCCGATTCTGAGTCATACACTTACTTGACAGTCGTCTGGAAAACGTCATTTGTCCATTTCACCCGCAAACATTTTGTTTTGTTTTATTCATTTTGGATTTGTCATGTTCAATGGTAAACGGTTTGCACCTTGGTCAAAAGGGATTGATATGAATTTCCATATAGACTCTCTAAATTTCACTTTTATGACTTTTTCTTATCCGTTTTTTTTTTCGGCTATATGCTTAGCTGCAATTATCTACATTTGGGTCTCAAACAAATTGGCAATTTCAACTTTTGAATAGTGGTCATTTTTTATATCGAAAAATGGTGATCATCAAACCTAAAATGGTCAACGAGCGCTCGCATTTTCTACGGATATAATTTGTCATATAAAAATGAAACACTTTTTTCATGCAATTTTATTTTGTATTTCCTTACGATGGGTTTAATTTCTTTTCCAAAAGAAAAAAAAATTATTGAATGGATTTCCATTGAATTCCCACATTTTTTTCCTCATTTGCCTTAGATTTTCTATCTTTGTGTATTTTTTTTTTAAATATTCTCCAATCGAAAAGCAATTTGCATACTTCCATTTCAAATTTTTCCCATTCTTCCATCATGAGAATCAGTAGAATTTTCTATTTCCCTCGCAATGTCTCTTTCGACCGCATATGTTTGGATTTTTCTAAAAGATTTTTTTTCGCGATTCAAGGGACTTGTGAAGAAATTGAAAAATTTAAGAAAAAAGTATTTTAGTTCGGAATTTTGGAAAATTGTTTGAAAATTAAAACAAATCGATGGAAAAATATGGAAAATCAATTGGATTTTTTTCTGCATCGATGCAATGTGCATAAGAAGCATCGCTACTTTCCATGAAAAAATGAATCACTGTTAAACGTAATTATTTCCAATTTGTTTGAGCCAAAAACCAATAGCTGTTCAGGTCATTTTGGTTTGAGTATTTTTGTCAGTGAGGATATTAAGTTAATGTTTTCTTGAAAAGAAAAACCGACTTGTAAATTTTCTCATGTGAAAATTTGGATAAACACACATCTCATGGTTGGTTTGTCACAATTAAACAACTCATTTCATTAGAATTATCACTGGTTGTAAATGTTCCTCTATAAATGTTAAAATTAGGAATCCAAATTTTGGATGTTTTATTATTTACGGAGAAATTTGGGTATTTTCTTCAAATGCTTCGATCCAAGTCGTTATTTTTTTCAATTTGTATATGTTCAGGTGACTTTGTGTCATAAATTGTCAACAGATTGTACAAAATAAACTAAAAATCTACGAAAAAGAATTTAAAAGTTTCAATATACAAGAAAAAAAAAACGTTTTTTTTTACCCAAAAAAGTAAATTCAATAAATAAAGAATTTTGAAACAAAACAAGGGCTCAATACAATAAATCACTAGAGAAAATTGGCAATTGGGGATGTTTTGGCCATTCAAAAAAAAAATTCAACTAAATAATAACAACGAAAAGTTCTATTCAAAATAGAGAGATTAAATTCCATGTGTGCGAAAGGAAAAACCGAACGCTGATACAATCTACATATACAAATCTAATCCAAAACCTATTAAATATGAAAAAGAAGCCGAATGCGATTTGGTTTGTCCATTCCATTGTCTAAATACGTGATAATTCGTGTACATCATGCATTTTTTTACGTTTGACGCAAAAAATCGATGATTTTTTTTTTTAAATATTTTATTCCTATATAATTTCTATCATTTTTTGTGGTTGTTTATCAATGTCATCTAAAAATTGATTTTCGTTAAAAATGTGTTTTGCTTCGATTTTAATTTTTCTTCTGTTTTTTTTTTCCTTAATATTTCGGCTTGTCATTCAAATATTGTTGTATATCGATCGAAAAAGTGTAATTCCATTTTGAAAAGTATTATGTCGAAATGTACTGGTGCACGGCTTGTGTATCCGAATGTATGTGAAACAGTCAGTTTAGACGAGTATCGCGTTTGATTCATTTTCATTTTTAACTATATATCTTGTGTGTGTTTGTGTATGTGTTTAGCTACTGAAACACTCAGTTCAATTTTATGTGGCAAGTATGTATATCTCTCTCTCTCACAATAATTTCATAACTTAATTTTAAATTTAGAAGCTAAAGTTCTAACGAAATAATTCTTTTAGTATTTTCGGTTTTTGTTGTTGTACGTGTTTGAGTTGAGTTTGTCAAGAATTCATCGGTTTAATGCATGAGTTGTTTGGTTTTTCCCGGTTAATTTCCTTTTTTGTGAGATGTGTGTGTGTGCGAGAGACAAAAAAAACTGTCATCATCATTCGGTTTATTGTTTCTGTGATTAATGTATGATTTTCTTGCGGATTGGTACAAAAGTGTGTTCAGTTTCGGTCTCTTTCACAATTCGCAGTCATTTGTTGCAGTTTTTTTTCATGTTTGTTGTTGCTGATGTTGCTTAAACAAATTCAAGTGATTTTTCTTTTGTTGATACTTATCTCCTATATAATTTATATGTATAAAAAATGAAAGAAAAAACTCAGCTTAGAGAACGACATCTGGCAACGCGTTTCGTGGCAGGGCGTGCGATCTGGCCTAGGTTTGTAGTTGTGTATTGTGTACGATTTTACGTTCTTTAAAGTAAATCTCTTCCGATTCTTTATCGCATAACAATAAAATAACACCACCAAACAAAAATATAGCCGCACCCCAACATACACCGTACGCCCAACCAAACTCCCAAATTGGACGATTACCCAGGCTTAGCTCGCCGGAGAAACAGAGCGGATACATGATGAGCGCAACTAGAACAGCTATTACTGCACAGCGTGAAGTGCGTAAAATGAACAGCGATTCAACAGGACAGCGATGGACCAGGAAGGAAAATCGCACCGAAAAACAGCCACGTCAGCCAAAGGCAGCAGCAACAGGATCAACGGCCACAGAAGAAACAGGATCAACGTTAAAAATGAAGAAAAAAAATCACGTTATTTCCAGCCTAATTTTAAGTACCTTTAGGTATAGGCTTATATTTAAATACGAAGTTTCTTGTATACAATTCCCTATTTTGAGTAGTTAAAAGCCTTCGTTTGCAATTTTCTTCAAATTAAATCGATTTATTGCACAATTTTTGGCAACAATTCGAGATATTTCATTCTAGAAGATGAAAGTGATTCCAAAAAGTGAGTCATTTCCTCTTAAAAATGAAGACGAGTTCTATTTTCGATGAGAAACGTAACTCGCATCCATTTCCTAGGAAAGAGCTCACTTTTTTCAAGAAGGTTTTTTTCCGGAAATGAATCATCTTCGATTTAAAATGGAACTCTATAGCGAGAGATGAGACTCTCTTGCTCTATAGACTTCGTATATGGAAAATTGAGCCGGATTCAACTCTTTAGAAAACAATCGATCTCGATTGAACCAGATTGAAATGTAGGCTTTTAAAACCAAATGGAAAAATCGTCACTTACATGCTACCAACATAATCAGAACAGCTCTTCGATAGAACTTGTACTTTATGTTTTGATTTTTTGTGTGTAAACCAATTCCCGTTAAAATGGTGGCGATCACGTCTGTAACCAGGCTGAGTATACACAATCCGGCCGTGGCTTTAATGTAAACTGCAAAAAAGTCGAAATATTTTATCAATTCGTTGGAAATCGGAATTTACAGAAATCGAACATTTTCAACGAGTTTATATTGATTTGAAGCACGTTCGACACGATTGGTCAGCAAAAAAGTGTTTATTCTTCACTGCAGTGGAAATCGATTGAGCTTGGTCAGAATTTAAGTAGTTTGATTACTCATTCACTAATGTTTTTTTTTTACTTATTCTGGTGCATTGGCTATTTTCCAACAATAAACGAGCAATGCAAAAAATGATATGAAAATACAATTTCCGATAGGTTTTTGATTTCCTTTTCAACACATATTCTATCTTCATTTTTCCACGCTTCAAGCATTTAATATTCCATACGCAATGAGTTAATTTACAAACATCCAAATAGTAATTTATTTTGCGCCTGCTTTTTTCTGTGCTCAAAATTCTTTGAGCGCAAACAAAAAAAACATTGAAACATTTTTTTTTTTTGACTCTGATCAACTTGATTATCATTCATTGCAGTGAAGAATAGCAATTTTATTGTGGAAAAAAAAAGTTTTGTTATAAAAATAGAGACAAAACCCGTGTGAAAAAAAATGACTGACTGACTATAACTTCAGTTGACTTTAGTTGATTGAATTCATATTTTTGTTCTAAGAAAATCACTTGGTCCCAAATGAAGCAACTTAGATTGACTTGTAACTTCAAATGATTTCAGTTAACTATCGTAGATTTACACTGCACTTTGTACTGAAATGTCAATAAAAGTAAGTCATTTTTGTCCCAAATTAGTTAACTGACTGCTCAGTTACTATTTTTTTCACACGGGAATGCATCGAAATGTGTTTATTTTTGGTATAAACTCGGATCAACATCAAGATGGTAAATGAAATAAATCAGTTAGAATATGAGTAGATTGATAGTCATAGACTGCTTGACTTAGCGAATTCCTCAATTGGTTTCAATCACATTCAATTGAAACGCAACAGGACTGTTCCGCCACACATGCACCACCACCGTATGTGTGTGTGTACATAAAAGCGTTTTTTTCAATGTGTTAAACTTACAAACATCTCGGCTTGGGTAGCATCCTTCTTCTTTCGCTTCATAATTAAACGGTATGGGCTGGGTGAGATCTTCGATGCAATGTGTGAATAGACCTTGACGCCAGCCCGATGACAATAGCCAATCGGTGGACGTTAGCGCCATAATCAGCAGGATAACAACGATATTACCACAAATGAAGGCGATTACCTGCGATAGAGAGAGAGAGAGAGAAAAACAATCAGTAAAACGTTCAAAATTGAAAAAAAAAATTCACATGCATGCTGTAGTGGGATGGGTATATATTGAGAATGCACAAACAAACATAAAACATTAAGTTGCCATCAAATTCGTTTCGGTCGATTGCAATTCATTAGTCTAATTAATGCATTGTTGGGCTATAAATCAATCGTTCAATTAGCGAAACATAGTGGTCGAATGATGTCAGCTAGTATGTGTGTATGTACCTGTGCTATATAATTGGCAGCCATAATTTTTTTCGATTATTTCGGAGACGACTACGACGATGACGATGACGACGACTACGATGATGATGATGACAACAACGAGAGCAAACAAAACGTTTGAACTACATAGAAAATGCACGGCACTCCAACGAAAGAAAAAAAAAGAATTGGGAAAAAAACAACCGAAAAAAATTCAGCACGGCGAAAACAAAAGGAAGAAAAAAAACAATTGGCTGTGAGTTTTTTTTTTGTTTTTTTCTCTCACGCGCGCGTTCGGAAATATGTCACTCAATGTATAGAATGATGCTTGGTTCTCCTATATATCTACTTTTATTCGTTTTGTACAAATGAAATCTTTTTTCTCTCTCTCTCTCTCGTGTTGTTGTTGTTGTTGCTGTTGAATATCAAACTTTTTAATCGATGCTATAATTATTCCTCTTTTTTTTCTTCGTTGAGGGTAAATAAATTTTACCTCTCTCGTTTCCCCTTCGTTTTTTTTTTTACTTCTTCCGTGTATAAAAAAAAACCGTGAATTATCTAAAACAGACCAAACCGATGTCTAAATAATGAAGCAATTTTTCCCGATAGTTAAAAAAGTAGCATCGAAATGCTTGCCATTCGCTTCAACTGGTACTACGAGCAACAATTTTTCTTCGTTTCCATTCGATTGTGTGTGATGTTGCAAAGATGGTTCACGTGCATCACCACCATCCAATGTTCAACAAAAATCACACATATTTTGCCATAATTTTCGTGTTCCGTTTTCCTCTTTCGTCACTTTCAGGCTTCCGCTCACTTTTCAAAAACAAAAGCACACAAACACACACACACTGGGATCCACTTGGAAATTTCGCTCGATTTATTCTCGCGCGGACAATTTCTAACGAGATCGTTGACCGATTCTTATGTTCTCTATTGATACATAGTGGCAATTTGATACATTTCAATTTTGATACATGGTTTCTTTTATTTTCGGTTTAGTTTTTATTCGGAAGAGGGTTGTTTGGACGATTCACACAAATTTCATGATGGACAAAACAATGAGACAGATGCGAATCGGAATGCGAATATGAGCGCGATTTTAGTTGCTTCGATATTCGATGAGTTTGTCGATTATTTTGGCATCACCACCGAAATTGCCTTTGTCGCGTTTTTCTTTTCCTTTCTTTTCTGTTTGTTTGCCACCATTTAGTCTGGGACAGGCCACACGCATGCGTTGTAAATTCGCAACGGATTTGATGCGTTTGTATTGATGTGAGAAATTTAGAATTGGTGCGTTTATGGTGATGGAGGTGTTGATGTGTTGGTGTGTGTGTGTGTGCATCTGTGAGACAGTGAGAAGTTTCTACAGATCCAACAGAGGGATGAAGTTTCATTCATATTTCAAATGGGCTCATAAAATAGCGCAAACTTTAAAATTATTCGCTATATGCATGCAATGTTCAAACGGTGATGATGATAGCTATGTTTAGAGTCTGAACTGTTGACACCAATGACAGGTATATAGCGCTTATTTCCAAACGTTTTGTTGCCCATTTTCAGGCTGAAACACATTATTCACACTAAATAATTTAAGTTTTGCATTAACCAAACTTTTCGACTAGTTTTAGCATGTTTAAATTAGCGAACCGAAAATGCACTTTGTCAATTCGACCGAAACACTCACTGTCGACTATGATGATAAAATATTTACCTTTAATGGCCTCGTTATGGTCACCGTTTCGATTGTTGTCATCGGTGCAGACATTCTTGCGGGCTGTACAAATCTTCGGCTGGCAAAATATGGCAGATGAAAAGAGAAATACATGAAAAATTCATTAAATTCACCAAAATTGTTTAAGTGGATACAAGTAAAACCAAACAACAACCCAAGCAAAATAAAAAAACACCAAAACAAAACAATAAATGTTATTCGATAAAAATTCACCATATCAAAAAAAAAATTGTACTCGCAAAAGGTCAGTCAAACAAAAACGAAGGAAAACAAGTATTGGCAACTGGCGAATTGTTACGGCAACGGCAACGGCAACGGTGGAACGTTCACACACGGCGGCTATTAGTTGTTTTTAGACTAATTTTCGAATCGTGTACATAGTTCACGTTTCTATCGAACGGCACAGAGAGCAGCAACGAACAACCCAAGGCATAAAGAGCAATAAAAACGCCACAAAGAGGTAATAAAAGTGCAAGCACAGCAACGAAGCGTCGACAGGCCGATGCGATTTGGCCAGAAAAATCAAATCTCCGCACACAATTACCTTTCTCTGCGATAGTCTAATACAACCGATTCCGAATCGAATTCACTGTAATCGGGCAACGAATCATCTTCGTAGTTACTGAAGCCATCAATCAGCATGCGATGATGTTTTCGCACCGTATTATTACTCCGTTCACTCGATTGATCGCTCAATTTTGGCATTTTGTCGGTGCCCGTGTTTCTTTTCACTCCTTGTACTTTGTTTTTTTTTCTCGGTTCAGTCAACGAACGGGGAGGGAAAAAAAGAAGACGAGAGCTAGAATTCTCGTTCGGTGCAAGCAAATTCAGTTTTATTTCTCGGTGCAAGCAGCAATGACAACAACAACAAAATAAATCGTAAATGAATCGCGGACACGGTTAATGTGTCTTACTGCTAATTAGAATTGATCAGACCCCACTGAACGGCTTAGTTTTCTGGTTTTTTTTTCTTCATCCAAATCCCCGGTTGATATTCGATATAATTACCTATTATTTTGTGTGTGTTTATTTTCGTCGTCGTCGTGCTGCTTCTGTTCAATACATTGAACTGTTTTTGGTTGATTTCTTGCTGGCTTTAGCCTCACTTGCTTTTACAATTGCTGAATCGTCGTGCTGCTTCTGTTCAATACATTGAACTGTTTTTGGTTGATTTCTTGCTGGCTTTAGCCTCACTTGCTTTTACAATTGCTGAATTTTCTTCACTTCCTACAACTTTCACAAAGCATTTCTTCTTCACGGAATTTGGCACACACCACCAATTATTTTTACATATTTCTTTCACGTCGTTCCTCTCGTCCAAACGACGCAATTTTTAATGCAAATATTTCCGTCCAAATCACACACTCAATTTCTGCAATACTGAAATCCTTTTGACAAATATAGCACAAATCACAATCGAATATTTTTATTACTAAATAAATCAACAGAGAGAAAGAGTGTGTGTGTTTCTGTGAGTGTGTGTGTGTATGTGCGACAAACAAAAACAGAGAATGAATGCACGACGGCGAGCGTAAGAGAGACAAATTGCCTACCCGGATCAATGAGTGCAAGACTTTGTGAATACGATCATGCTTAAAAATAACAACGAATGTCAAAAGAGAAAAAAAAATGCATTGCAACACACAGACGAATCGAGAGAGACAGAGAGAGAGAGAGAGAGAGAGAGAGAGATCTATCATTGCGATCCCTATCGGTGATCTCATAGCTCATGACATGACATGAACTGTCATTTACTAACTCACACACATACACGCACTTACAAAGTATTCATTGGCCCGTCTTTTGAATGTCTACAGAAAACATCACCATTGCTCGTTGTGGCATGAAGCTAAAACATCAAAACAGCAAAATATTTTGAAAAAATACGAATGACATTTATTTAGACTCAATTTTACCATTCCTTTTTTTCAGCTGACAAACAATTCTTATTAACTTCATTTCAATTTTTTTTTCTCTGTGTTTTGTGTGTATAATTAAATTTTACTTTACAATAAAAATTCAAGCAATTATCATGGGTCAATTATTTCTTAAAAATAAATTGTTTTGGAAATATTTCTAATAAACATTTTGTGTGGTTTATGTCTGGTTTGAGAAAATAACACATCTATTTTCGGGGCCGACCGGCCGCTTTTTTCGCCATTTGGTTTTGCTTGTCTTTGTTACTTCGGTTCAATAGCAGCGGATGGATTTCTGAAATAGAAAATTAATGATGATTTGGTGGATAAAATTGATGATTTCAGGTTGCTTCTGTGTGATTTTCTTGATTTTAATGGGTTTTGGTGGAGTTTTTGACAATTTTTTGGGTTTTTGGCTATTGTTCAGAAGAAAATTGAGCATAATTTCCAATGTTTTATTTAGATAAACGAAATTACTGGAAAAAATATGAGCGGTCACCAAAAATTGTTGGCCAAATAGACGATTACCAACGAACTTCTGTCCAACAAACAGACAACTTGAACAATACGATGCTATGTTTGGCTCATTTCTGAACAAAATTCGTATATTTCACCATTTTCATATTTTTATGTAGTTTTGGTGCATTTTCACGCGATTTTTACGATTTCAAGTCATTTCTAACTTTAAAACAGATTTAAACTCAACTTGATCCACGTATGACTCGGAATTGACTGGAGTTTTCCTAAAAATTGACTCAAAATCGAGTGAAACTTGCCTTAAATTTGGCTAGAAATTGGCCAAAAGTCCCAACTTTGGCTTCGATGAACCCAAAAATTTGTGTAAAGTTCCAAAAATTGTCCCAAAGAAAATTTGAGCCTATCGCAAAAAATAAAACTCACCATCTTTAGGCGGTGCTTCGAGTGTGATGTCGTACGTAGGTATTTTTTTGCGAACGCCACTTTGTGATGACAGATCGTCGGTGTCCATTTGTTCATCGGCGTCTTTCGATGTGTTCTTCTCTTGGCCGTTTGCATTCTCTTGGTTCCATCCATCTTCGGGATCTTCAACTTCGGGTGCCATTGGCAGAAATTGTAGGCCGGCATCTTCTTCGTATTCTTCATCGGAACTACAAAATGCGGCAATCGGATCAACTTTAACCACATCCACTTCGATTTCTTCGTCTTGTTTTGCTTCGGCCGACAAATCCACCGATTTATCCTCATCTTCAATATCAAATTCCGATTCTCGTTCTTCGTATTCCACATTTTCGTCGAGTTCCTTGAAATCGGGCGCGAATGCCGACCAATTTTCCACTTGATTTTGTGCCCAAATCGATACCAGCCCAGAACTAATACTCGTGATGATCGGTCGCACCGGATGCCATACCACATCCAGCAGTAATTCACCTTTTGTACCATGCAAAATTTTCACTAAATTCCCAACCGACTTTTCCCACACGTACAACGCATGCTGACGCGCACTGCCCGCACACACGTACTCACCATCGCCCGAGAAACAGCACTTTTTCCAGGTCGTTCTGGAATACGGAGAATTGTGTTGGAAAGAGAGAGAAAAAAGTGAGATTTGGAATGAGAAAGTTTGAAGAGAATAAGAAAAATGAGATTTTTGGAATAAAAGTTTTGATTCGAAGCAATTTGCGAATCAAGCCAGGAATCAAACTTCAGGCAAACTGCCACTTTGAAGTTTTGTGTGAATATTCTTTTTTAAATTTGAAAAGAAATTCAATTTTTTTTAATGTGACAATGTCTTACTTATTGACCAAATCCTGCAGCTTTTGAATCGGCTCCGGCTCACCATCTTTACCGCATGCAATCACTTCCTTCGCATCATACACTCGTATTATTCGATCGGATGTATTAATTAAAAATGAACTGTAAAAGCAAAAATTGACGATCAATGATTGAAAATCCATTTTTTTCAGCAAAAACGAAAAAAAAATTTAATTTTCGAGTAAAAACGAAGAAATCCATTTTGTCAGTACAAATTGAAAGAAATCCATAAAGAATCGACAATGTATGACAAATTCTGACTTCAATGTCGATTTTTCTATTTGAAATCACTCTCAACTTACTCGCTACGCCGGGCAAATTCGATACTTTTGACAGCCGTCGCACTTGATGTTCCCACGACAATCCTAAAGCTGGCTTCGATTTTTAGCGTGTGTGAGTTAAGCACTAGAATTTTCCCCTTTGCATTCCCCGTGTAAATGTATTTGCCGCGCCGATCAAATGATGCAATTATATTCAAATCTCCCTAAAAATGGATAAACAAATGACGTGTTTTTATAACTTTTTCCATTTTCCCGCTTCAACGAACTTCAACTAATACTAGAAATTGGCCAAACAATTTTTTTTTTCAATTTGCAGAATTTCTCCAAACAAAAAGCAACTTCCACAAAAATTCCAAAGAAATTTGCAATTGAAAAAAATGTCTAATCAAAATTCTGATCCAAAAAAAAAAAAACAAATCCAACCACTCACATCACTGTCATACGGCAAACATTTATGTGTTCCATTGATATCGACTAAAACGGCGGCATATCGCATGGGACAAACAAGGCACCTGGCATCGTTCCTCGGATCGAATTGTACTTTCAGCACCGGCGATGGAAACCGAAACTTTTGCTCACAATCGCCCGATAGAATGTCCCAAATGCACACATTGTTATCGGTGGACGCTGAAATAAGCTGCAAATTAATGGAAATCATTAGTAAACCGACGAAATTGCATCGTTTGATTTGTTCATACTTTGTGCCCGTTGCGTGACCAGCCAATACTGCAAACGGGATGCACGTGTGCCGATATGATTTTGGCGATTCCTCGTGTCAGAAAGTCCCAAACGACAATCCGGCCATCGTTGCAGCCAACAGCCAAAAGTGTTCCGTATTTATTGAACGAACAAGTGACGGCTAACGATATACAGTCGAGCGAACCATCGAATTCTTCAGGGTAATTTTGCCCAAATGATTCTACCAAAAAAAAAAAAAATGAAATCCAAATTAAATCCAAATTGAAACGAAAGAAAAACCACATTTACACTCAAATAGTCGACATCAAAACAATACCCAATAATTCCAAATTCATGTCGGCTTATGCAGCTCACACACTTTTGTCGATAGAAACAAACAATGCGATAAACCTAAATATTTCATCTGTCAAACAAATGTTATTCGCTTGCCGCTCTATGTGCAGCCATTGTTTTTAACACCTAGCGACATCTCACAACAATCAGTCGCACTACCACCGTCGAAGCGGTTCTGAAAATACGGTTTTATAATTGATTCACCTTTTAATGGATTGAAAAATGATTTTTTTTTCTTCAATTCAAAAAGGAAATATTTGGATTTGATAAAATGAAGAAATTTAATGAAATTTACCAATTTTGTATGTTTTTCTGTTTATTTCAAATAGCCACTGAGATTTTTACGGATTTTCTCGTGTGTTCATGCATTCGATACACGTATTTATTAGAAAAAGCATGTCTCGTTCAATTTTCTAACGAATAACTCGCACTGACATCAGACGGTCATCCATGTATTCGTTGACATGAACACAATATGTTTTTGTTTTCTAATTAAATTTTGATCCAAGTCTAAAAAAAATATTAGAAAAAAGAAAAAAAATATTTTGTCAGAATGGGGATTTGAGCCCAAGCCTACAGATGTAGACCAGAAGACTCATTCTACATGAGCAAGACGATTAATCTTGAGTCTGGCGCCTTAGACCGAATTAATAACGATAAATAAATAAATAATAATATATATAAATCTTATTCGAATAGACCGCTCGGCCATCCTGACACTTGGATGCATAAAGTTTGTGCAATCACGCACACTGCCCAAACGGCTTTAGAACTGCCCGCAAAAATACCGCTTATTTTATTCCCTTCATCGGTTGGACATTGTTTTGTTTTGTACATTTAGTAATTGGTTTGATTGTTAGCATCATCTTTTTTGGAATCTAAAACTTGTGATTGATCGGTTGTTTACGGTGTTTGAAAATTTCTCTTGTGTTAAATTAAGCCCACGACCCTGGGCCCATGAATTCACCATTATGTTTTGCATTGCCATCACGTTGTCCTAACAAACACATATTGTTTATACTTTATTGTCCTCTAGTTTGTACCATCTACCAAACGAAACGTTTTTAAAGTAATTTATTAAAAAATGACTGAATTTTTATACATCAAAAACATGAAATTTCCATTAAAATTTTCATAATCTCTGTGAATAATGAAAAAGCGATCATCGTGCTCATTCAAGCCATCTTTTCTATGCCATTGTTTTCAACTAATTCCCTTGCGAAATCCATCAACAAATGCTCATGTAATTACCATGAGACGCTAGTGGTAAGGCATTATTCTCTGATTCATCATATGTATTGGTAAGGCGTAGAAAATCGTTTAACTTTTTTTTTAAAATCAACATTCTTTGAATGAAAAGTGTATTTTTAAATGCTGTCTTTCTCGATGACGCTGCTGATAATAAGGGTTAAGCGGACGGTAGCTAGATCATCAGAGTCATGAGTTAGTTGGAAAAAAATGATAAATTGGATTGATTGGAATGCGTCCATAGCTAGATTTCTGTTCTGATTTTCTTACTTTTTAAGCTGATATGCCATCCAACGGAGATAACACATCAAACTCGAAAAATGGCTTACGTTCTTTTACGTCTCACAATGTGATTATAAATAATGTGCCGACTAGCAAGTGACCTCGCTGATTGGTTGAAACTGCGAAAAATACAGCAAAAAAGAACTAAATTGAGGCTAATGAGATTGAATTTATTACTGGGAAAGTATGTAAATTGAGTTTATTCTGTAATTTACATGAGCAACTGAAATTGATATGGGACCACTCTATCATTCATTCACTGATTTATCAGCTGTCGTTGTTAGATCGATGGATTGATTTTAAGAGTTGAGTTTAATTATGGAAAATTATGATCAACAATCCTTGAAGCTGAAACATCATCCTATAACCGTTCAAAGTGGATATTGGTGATGATTCATTCAGGTTGCAGACTTGATTTTGTCACATTATTCAAAAGCCAATTGTTTCTTCGCTGAAATTAAAATTAACATTTTTCTTCTTTTCAATTTCATTCAATTTTGTTTGATTCAAAAATAGAGCTTAAATCTAAAGTGGTAATCATGATATTTTGCGCTAGAAAATATTAAATTGTTCGAAAATATTTTCAAATAATGAAAGTTTTCAAATAAATTGAGCTTGAGTTCAATTAATAAATCTATTTAACGGAATCGTGAATTGATTTCAAGCTTTAGTAACTTTTAAGAAATGTATGAACTATTTCTTCATTGAACGATGAACTGTTTTCATATGTCGATTGGCATAAATTTTCCTGACGAAGCTTGCTGCACAGGAATTCGATCGACCGCTAGGCTCCGTGTTTTGATTGCATGTGTTCCTTCAAACAGTGTTTGTGAACAGTTTTGTAATGACACTGATTACATGCAAAAAGACTTCGTTGGCAGCGCCTTTCGTGTGATTCTTTCTCTTGTGGTGTGGCAAATCGTCGACCACATTTTGCACAAGCATTTGGCAGTTCATCTTTGTGAGTCATCGAATGGCTTCGGAGATCAATGCTTTTTGCAAACGACTTGAAACAAATCGAGCACACGAACGGCTTTTCCTGAGTGTGAGTTCGCATATGACTTTCTAAATTTGATTTTTTCATTGTTTTATATCTGCATTGTGTCACATTCGAATTGAACAGGATCGCACAACACTTCGTGGTCGATCTTGACTGATTCTTGTTCAAATCCTTGATTACACTTCGCGCAACGGAATTGGCCATGCATTTTCTTATGACTGTTCAGATTACTTTTCACGGCAAAGAATTTCGAACAAACATCGCACCGAAACGGCTTTTCCCCAGTGTGGGATCGCAAGTGTGCTAGAAGGTGAAACTTTCGATCTGCCAAATGATTGCACACATTGCATTTGTGTTTCTTTTGCTTTTGGCTGATCGATTCCTGGGTCGATTTCAATGCAGAGTTGAGTTTGCCAAGATTTCTTCATTTTCTAAAATCATTTGTTTTTTTTCACTTGCCGAGAAAATCGGCAGTGAATTAATTAAAAGCAAAATTGTTCTTCCTCTTTTTATTTCGGTTCCAATATTTTTCTGTAATATGTTCTTTTACAGTTAAAATTGGGATCCTAAATCTAATATATTAGACACTATATATAGTGTTGATGAATATTTTATGATGAGAAATGTTGAATATTATTTTAGAATAATTTTGAATTGTTGTGAGAAAAGTTTTTGGAAGTCTTTCAAATGGATCAATTGATGCACGTGTCTATTAAAGGAAATCAGGAATTTGAAACTTGACTACTTTTCAATTAGTGGGGTCATTGGTTAATTATTTCTTCGAACGATGTACTGTTTTCATGTGTCGATCGGTATTACTTTTGTTGGTGAAGCTTGCTGCACACATCTTGCAATGAATCTGATCTCCGGTGTGATCTTTTCGCATGTGAATCTTCAATTTGTGTTTGTCTCGACGATACTCCTTACACAAATAGCATTGATTGCGACGGTAGCCACAGCTATCTTCATGAACCTCTTTTACATCTTCGGTCGCGTATCCTCCGAAGCATTTGGAGCAGTGGAATGGGAACCGGCCGCTGTGTGCTGATGATAGATGTTGATTTAGTTTGGTCTGTTGGACGAACTGTTTGCTGCAAATTCCACATTCGATCGATCTTTTGGCTCCGTGTTTTGATTGCATGTGCCGCTTCAAATCATGATTGTGAGCAGTTTTGTAATGACACTGATTACATGCGAAAAGACTTCGTTGGCAGCGCGTTTCGTGTGCTTTCTTATCTTCTGCAGTGACAAATCGTAGACCACATTTGGAACAGGCATTGGGTAGTTCATCTTTGTGAGTTCTTGAATGATTCCAGAGTTGAGTGTTAGTTGTGAATGACTTGAAACAAATTGTGCACTCGAATGGCTTTGCCCCGGTGTGAATCCGCATATGAACTGTCAAACTGGATTTCACTACAGTGTGATATCCGCAAATATCGCATTCGAATTGGCGTGGATTACATAACGCTTCGTGGTCGATCTTGGTTGATTCTTGTTCAAATCCATGATTACATTGTGAACAACGAAATTGGCCATGCGTTTCCCTATGACGATTCAAAGCACCTTTTTGTGCAAAGGACCTCAAACAAACATCACACTGAAACGGTTTTTCTCCAGTGTGAATTCGCAAGTGTTCTTTGAGGTTAGACGTGTGACGTGCCAAATGATTACACACATGACATTTGTGCTTCTTTTGCTTTTTGGCCACTTGATTCCTGGGAATCGATCGTTTGTTTCGTCTTTTGGCGCTTCCATTCCGTTTCTTTCTGCTGCTGACCGGTTGCGGTGGTTGCACATCGACTGCATCACCCATTGGATCTTCATTGTCATCATCGTTGGCAGCTCCGTCATTCGATCGTTCACGTGGTGTCGAGTCTTTCTCTTTACCCGTCTCTTCCCCTTCACATTTGACTTCATCCTTTACTACATCGAAGTCACAAACAAAGTCGACCGGTCCTTCGTAATTCGCACGATATCTTCCATTAATTCTCGGCCGTGGTATGTTCATGACATCGTCACCGTCGTTGGGCTCTTCCTTAATCACCGGCTCTTGCTTGACTTCAACCATTGCCGAATTTGGCTTGCGCTTGCTGCATCCACCAGAACCACCCTTGAATGGGTTCATTTTCTATTGGATTCGTGAGAAACATAAAAAATCAAACATTCATAAATGGATCAACTCCATGCAGAACACGTGTTTGCCGCGTGTGTGGCCAAGAAAAAGTGCATACATGTACGCTTCTGTTTTATGTAAAGTTGTTTGACAATCTTCATGAATACCAAATCGATCTGTCATTTTTACAACAGAATCGTAAAATTCTAAACCGAACATCAAAATAAATGAAAGAAATTTTCAACACTTACGTCGGAAATGTTCTTCCGATCCCTTCTTTCTGCTGAACGTGGAATTGTTTTTTCTCTGCGTATCGTCTTTCAAGATGTCTGCCTCATTGTGTGACTCAGTGAAAAAGTGCAAGCTCAGCATATCGTATAGCGTTGATACTGCGATTCACACGGTTGCTATTCGTGTGACATTTCGTTAAGTTGACAACGTCCCCACATGTATACACTTCGTCTCGATGGGTA